TGAAATTACTGCGCATAAACACATCCGTGTAGAGACATCCTAGAAAGTTTGAAAAGCATTAAGGATGTTTTTCATGTACCCTTTAAGGTTCTCTTCTGTTGATATATCGACTGATCTGTAGTAGCAATAACAAGTGAACATCCTTGCGGACAACCCCCACAAGTATATATTTATAGGATGAGTGTAACCTGATGAGGATCAAAAATAGAAGAGAGTGTCCGTATCAAAAGCCAATGTGAAAACAGAAATTTAGGAATAGCCAACACCACATACGACTGTTCGAGTGGGACAACACCAAGATTCACATTATTGTATTGTAAGGCGGAAAAACAGAGTGTTTGGAAACGAATCTATGCGTACGCCTCTCACATACGCTTAAAGTACTGATGAGTATAGACTTAAATTGTCTCAGAATAACCGTCTGTTTTATTGTGTCAGTGGTAGAATTGGGGCCGAAACAACAGATACAATACGCACCAATACTACTGATTGACGCTTTACAGTGTAAAAAGTAGACAAACGAAATACACAGGGAAGAAAGATATCATAGGAGATTCCTCTAATAGAGGTATAGCGATGGGTACACAAAAGCACCAAAGTACTAAGTTGATCTAGTGACTACTATGATAATGCCAAATTCGCTGTCAACTCATCAGTATGCACTAACGAGGAGATGATGGTTAATCGTGCAAGAAGTGAATTGAAGTTTACACTCAGAGGGCGCACAAGAAGGTGGAGGTACTACTAGCCAGGGGAGGTGTGTTTTGATAACAAATACATAGAGAAAGCTATATGAGCTACGCATGGGGGTTCTGCAGCAGCATGTGAGGTAAAGTAACGATGGCAACGATTGCTATGTTGTAAGGAGGTGATTATGACACATCCGGTCCTTCAGTTTATCCGTGCGAGTATAGCGGTACCTGCAAAGCGCTTCCTTGTCGACCATGAGTCTTTGACGTGTGATCACATTACAGTAGGTCTCTCAACACCTTCCCGCTCACGGTCAAACCAGAGTTCATATGTATCATCGCCACTACCATACTCCACATATGGGACTCCCATTGGCATCAAGTGTTTCAAGGATCAACCTTCTGGCCCGACGGTGTAGCAGCCCGCATTACATTGAAATCAGTACTTTTTCATAGTGCGTTTGTCAACCCTCTTTTCTGACATTATAAATACCGACAACAACGGTATTTCAATAAATCATCGTCTACACAAAAAAGGTACCTGCAAAAGGTGCGGAGCTCAGTCCCAAGGTGAAACCTGGGTGTGTAATGCAGACGAGGCACGAACCGGGAGACATGGAGATACTCGGTGTATGTGTAAACTCTTAATGATATCCCATGCAGAAAAAAAGCAGCGAAGCAGCGAGGCTTAGGCAGTGCGCCATGGTTGTGTCGTTGTTTCAATAATTTGACAGTCAAGTAAAGGTTTTTTCCATCACCACTCTTGTCTCTTTCAACAAGAACCGTGATGGCAACAAACCTGGGCGTGTAAGTAGAGCAATGCGCGAACGAGTTACTTCAATCAGTTCCTCACTCGCTCTTTCAAAAGAGTTCTTTTTTCTAACACATACTCCATTGGCAATTCGCTTTCTTTATGAACCCTTGTCGGCGAATCTGCTTCTGACACACGCGGTGTACTATGGAACCTTTGCAGTGTAAGTTTTTCCTCCTACTCTAATCTTTCTCTTTTCCCCCATTCAAAAAAAATAACACCTTTCAAATTTCAATGATCTCCAACTTGTTTTTTTTTTTCGAATGCGTCACCAACGTTTCTTTTAATCATTGTCGTTGATTTTGCGTGTGTAGTAGTAGTAGTAGCGGCGGCGGACGGATATGCGTGACGACTACAGGGTAACTATTCTTTTTCTGTACTTCTTCAACTAGGGTAGCATTCTTCTGGTATTTACGTCTTAATAACTTGATTTTCTACGTGCTTTCGCTGCTGTAGTTGTTAAGATTTATCAGGATTGGTTCGCGGATTGGGCGATGCCTAACCTTTTTCTCTTTTGTCGGAAGGCCTGAAAGAAATTTTGGTTTACCTTGCGAGTGGAAGAGCGAAAGCATGGTAAGTTCGATTGCGCATGCACCTCTCCAGTAAATCGTGACCTGCGCCCACCTCTTGATCCTGTACTCCCTGTGACCGCTTGCTGAGTCCTGGAAATGACTCGATAAACTGACCACCGGCCGCGCATAGACGTTAGGTTCGGGGCACGGGTCGGCAACACGTAGAGACTATGCAGTGGAGCGCGGCCACAACTAAACGCGATGACTGTCAGGGTCATGCCGCCGTAGCAGGCAGCCATACGGGATTGGGCAGTATGGTGAGGTCACGTACACGGATAAGAGGAGGCGTCACAGAGAACGGTTAGTGGCAAAATATACACAAGAAAACGTCTGAAGAGCGAGCGAGGGGATAATTGCATCTATGATAGGTTCTGGAGCCCAGACGAAAGTGGAGGTTCTCCCAGCAATGGGAGGGTAGGGTAGGGGCCGCGACGATCTGTTCTGGAAATACGAAGTGGTGAGTGATTGTTTCAATTGTTGCTTGCTTTTACTAAATACTCCAAGTATGGCTTGCTCTAACTTCTTTCTTTGATAGTCCTTTGGCTTGTCTGCAAATATTGCTTGTATCAACTATATATTGACGGGATGTCCTATTACCTAACGATATATTTTTCATACAAAATAAAAGACCAGGAATCATCCTCGTATCATAATGCTGTTTTTTTGTTGATTTTCTTAATCGTATTATTGAGAGTGTATATTTATACTAGCCACGCGAACACGATATCCTGCCGTCAACACACGACATCGTCTCTCTGAAGGAGCCCTAAGAATTCTTTGCCAAGTAAGACATGTCTTCTTCTCCTACATGGATTAGGAGGAAGTAGATGTCGTTGGTTGAAGCGTACACTATGTACTTACGTAGACAGCTTCTTTGAAAGGATTTAATTATTATTTATATACACATAGGTATCATCATGGACTTCATGGTTATAGATTATGCTTTTGCTGAGCCATTTCCACAATGACAGACAATCTAGTCGCATGAATTCTCGTTTTTGACATGCACGCCAAATTCGGTAACTACTGTAAAAATAGAGTGCACGGGCTCAGTCAACAAGACATGTCCATTTGGTATTTTCTATTTATGCAAACCCTTCAAGCGGGCAGTATTATAAATCACAAGTAGGTATTTCAAGCAACCATTCTTTCATGCTTTTGAAACACTCTCGTCTGGCGAAATCATATTTGATGACATCCCTACTTGATCGCCCACCGGTCGACATACTGTAATGCCTTTAAGTAAGCAAATTTTACGTTGACAATATCTCCTGCCCATTATATTTGACCTTGTACTGATTTCCATTCGGTTCCGATGCATTTTGTTCAACTCTCAGTAACACCATCATAATAATACGATGACCGAAATACGTAGATGCACAGGCTAAGCGGTCTCGAAATTCTTTCCGCCAAATAATAATGTTCTAGGATCTGGAACTCGAACTAGGTACGTATATGTGTTTTATAACATATCCTTCGTACTGTAACTTGCATAAGATGAACTTGTTCGTTCATCGGTAGTTCTACTCATAATTCAACTGTGATATATGCCTCGTTGGAGATGCGCATTTTTTGTATCCAGCCGATATAAACAAAAGGTATCAAAGGTATATCTGTGTATGACAATAATGATATTGTTGTCCTGTGCTCACTTTGTGACACTACTGTAGATTGTCACTGGCAGTGCTCGTAAAAATAACATGTATACGTCTACTTTCTATCCTGTGATTTCTCAGTGTGGCTCCTTGATACACCATCAGGATTATATAGATAACCGGTAATATGGTTTCTAGCAGCAGCTCCGGTTCATAACGGCAAATTGTACATCTGCTGAAGAACGCCTTCAAATCGACGATTCAGTCTTTTGAGGGACACTTTCTCGTTCTCGCGGGGGGTTTCGTACTGTCTCGACTGGAATATAATCTTGTGATTGCCGTGCTGTGGTCTATGTGCTTTGAATTACTTTGCTTTGCCAGTATTTCCGTCGATGACCATTTCTTCAGACTGACTCCAGGAATACGACAGTGCACAGTATCCCTCGCTTACTGAGGAGCCTGTCTGACACCGTCTTCATATCGAATGTGCGAACGAGCCAAGCTGAGGTAAGTGCTGGTGTCGTCTGGTAACGAGTGTTAGAACCTCTGCGGTGGGAGAACATGAGGACCCAGTGAATCCAAGTCAAGTTGAATGGCCATGCGGATATTTTTCGTATCTTCAATGCCTGGTTTTATACTTGATACATATAATTCTGGGTATCGTAAGCCGATCCCATATATCTCAATCTCTTTACACAGAATATGTCGTTGTACTACCGGGCTTTCAGACTAACGATAGTGGTGTCAGAATGACGTGCTTTGTCAGAGTGCGATAATTAATAAAGTAAGTAGAATGCAAAGCTGCCCGGTAGCTATACAGCCAATGATAATAATGATAGACGGGGATTCGGGAAGAAAAGCAAAGTAATATGGAAAAGGGACTCTACTTTTTACTCGGAATGTAACGCTGACGCTGATGTACGACGTACAGGAACGCTTGTGTCTGCGTTGAAGCGGTACGATGTACATTATATATAAAGGGCTATAAAGAGATGATATTCTAACATTTTGCAATGTCTCTTCTTTTTTTCTGAAAGATAGACACGCTGATTGGGTTGGGCAAACTTATGCGCTAATTGAGCGCAATATTAAAATTGCTATTACACCTATGCACACATTGTTAACTATGCAGTTTATCGCTAAGTGCAGATGCGAACTTAGGCGATACAATATAGAAGAATTGCAGCAATGAGGAAGAAATGTTCGAACGGTGTGTTTAATCAGAAAAATGTCGATGAACGTTACTGATATTGGGATGGACGGTTGTTGAGTGGGGAAAAAAGAGGTTGGATGGGTACGTAAAGGATACATGGCAACATTTGTGTGAAATATTTTATCGTCGACGGTGATGTCGTCTCTCTCTGTTTCGATCACGATCCCTTTCACGCTCACGGTGATCTCGTTCGCCTCTGTCTCGTTCGCTTCGTTCAGCTCTTTCTGTTCTTTCTGCACGTTCTCCTCGATCACGTTCACGATTGTGTCGCTCGTCTCGTCTGCCTTCTCGTGAGCCTCTGTCCTCCCTAAAAGAAAATTGATAGATGATGAATATCACCACGTAAAAAAGTTCACACAACTGTGCCATTTCTTTTATTCTTTACCTATGACGCTTATCAGTACGGTCTCGTTCGCGATCTTCATCAGTGCGTTCACGCTTTCGTGTTTGGCTACCATTGCTGGTTCCTCCAGTTGCTGATGTCCGTACTTCTCGGGTTGATGGTGACTCTTTCGTTGTTGCTGTTGTTGCTGTTGCTGCTGTTGTTGTTAAGCGTGAAGAAGTGTCTCGAGCAGCCTCACGGATGGCTTCACGAGCTGGATCCCGTACACGTCCTGACTCGCGCGGTGATTCTCGAGCTGAAGAGCGTCCTCCTGTATCTCTTGGTATGTCTCGTGCATATTCCCTCGTAGACGATGGTAGACCTCCTCCTCGTTCTGCAGACTCTCTTCCTGCTTCCCGTTGATTTGATTCGCGAGTGGCCGATGACAATAACGCTTTTTCTTTGGACCTACTGCGATGACGGCTATCACTGGAATCGCGCTTAGGACGTTCCTCGTCTTCGTGTCGAACACGCTTGGAGGAGGCGTTGTTGTTATTGCTATGGTGTGAAGGTGATGCTAGTTCTTCGCGGGAACGCTTGCGTTCGTTAGGTGTTGATGACAACTCGTGCTTATCATCGCGCCGTGGGCTTGCTGACTTGGCAGGAGTGTTAGCACCACTATTTAGGCCTCGGTCGTTACGGTCGTTACGCTCCGTGCGCTCTGTGCGTTCGCCTCGTTCGCCTCGTTCGCCTCGTTCTGTTCGTTCTGTTCGTTCTGTTCGTTCTGTTCGTTCGGTACGTACGCTACGTTGTGTAGGTTCAGGTTCAGGTTCTTCGATACCAAGGAACTTGTTCTTTGTCTTCCAACAAGATTTGCTCTTCTCCACTAAGCCCAGATAACTACATATACAGTATACACTAGTGTTACTCATAAAAGTGACACAGCATTGGTAGCAAGATATGTATATATACTGTACCTTCTAGCGAGGACCTTCAGATGATCCATTCTGTCTCGATTTGCAAGCTCGTCAGTCGCCTTGACAATCACTTGGCCGTGCTCACGTATGATCGGGAAGTGTGGAATAAATTGCTTCAGGATCAGGAAAGCGTTTCGGATCTGGTGCGGTTCACCGGAAAGAAGGGCTTGTTCTATGGCAAGACTGGTTTTCAAATGCCACTTGTGTGTAACACGCTTGAATTCAAGGAAACTTAGCAAATCCTCGCTAGCCACTTCGCCCTGAGCTGTTGATTGTACGTTCCACTTCTTTTGGAAGCCAATAAGACTGTCCCCATGCGCTCCTGCAAGATATACCTGTTCATCTTGATGCCACTCTGACATTTTGGCAAATATACGGTAGATGAATCGAGCATGGATAGTCGTTTCGTATTCGGTGAATGACATGAGAGCTGTGGGTAGGTTTTCAGATAACACCTTGTCGAGCATCGTCAAGCTGGAGAAATTGCGGACGCCCAAACGGTGCATGAGCAAAACGAACTCGGCACAGAAAACGGCGTCGACTTCTGAGGCAATACTTCGGGGCAACAGACAGTGCTGGATGATACTAGATATCAAGGGCAGGCGATCAACGGTCGTTGGGAACCAGCGTGCTTGTGACGCTTGAAGCATACGCATCACCTTTTCGACGTGGGCCTTGTGTCGCGGTAAATCTTCCAGCAGGTTAGCCAAAGTATTTTGTGCTTGCTTTTCGATTTTATTGACCACGGCATCTCGATTGCTCATGCACAGTGAGGAGCGAGGATCACGGCAAGCAGCGATTATATCTCGTTGTTTTCTAATTAAGACCTCGTAGTTCGCTTCTGGTACAACAATGTCATACAAGTTCAGTTGCCAAAACACTGCGTAGAATTCTGCGGTGATCGTGTTGAGAATGTTGCTGCCAGAGACAATCTGCGGTATCTGCTCAATCAATGATCGGAAAGCGGGATGGGGCTCGTCGGAATTGTCGTCGAAATCAGTAGTTTGAAGTAGGTGTCTTGTCTTTGGTCGGACCAGTTGCATGATCAGGTATTCAGGCAAGTTATAAGCAGCTGCAAGTGTGTTTGCATCAGGCATCAAATTCGAGTACTCATCAGCATCGAAAACGGTCGCAAAAAGTTCGAAAAACTGGTTGATTGTTTGATGGATAAGGTCGGTCTTGGCCCCTAAAGCGATTGTCGAAAGCTCTGTCTGTTGCAAGCAAGACTCCTTTAACCGGTGGAGCAAGACGATGAATTCCAATGCCATGTTGTTTTGTTGAAGCGTTCGATTAAGGCGCTGGAGAACACGTTTGCCAGCGCGTCGATTGTCAGGAGATACTGCTTGAAATGCTTCCGCTTTGACAACTTCACTACAGGATGCCGCATTGATCTGGTCGTCCGTCATTGTACTGCCGATGATTTCGATACCACACACCTTGGTTACAAACTCGTTAAAGAGTACGAGATCTTCCATGGCGTCTTCCTGGCGCAAACGGAATTTCATGTAACGAAGCAAAGGAGTTGGGTCGATGCCTTGTTTCTTGTACAGCATACCGGTGAAAACGGAGAGTGCTATAGAGAAGTACATTAGTAAACGTCGTTCAAAAGGACAAATGTTCTGTATTAAGCGCGTAGGAAAAGTATCAGCTTACCGCGCAGCCACGTAGTTGTCATGCCATCTTCCTTCATCTTGGACTTCTTCATGCGGCCTGCTCCTTGAGAGCCCGTCCATTTCTCCGTCATCAAATAGCCCAAGACATCGTAAGCAAGATCACCCATGTATCGGCAAGCATCAGCCATGTAAGGGGCCATATTGTCAAAGGACTGGATTTGGTCAAGCATGACATTGAAAACGATCATCGGATTGGAGTTGGTGAGTTTGCCTAGATCGCGACCACACTGCCGAACATCGTTCTTGGACACACGCCTGTTGTCATGAGAAAATTAAAATGAGTATTCCCTTATCCTTTCTCATGTTATAGCTGCGGCTAAGATAGCATATAAACTTACTGCATAACACTTTTCACAGCCCGTTCTGTGCGTGCCTTCAGTAACTTGCATTCGATCGATCGTTTGTAAAATTCGTTGCCCCATTCACCGTACAGTTGGCATCTTGATAAACGTATTTCAGTTGGTTTCTTTGCACTCGTCAAGTCAGCATTAAAATAACCGAGAAAATACGATACCTTTCTTGATACGACAGCAACACCAAGAGTTCCCAGACCATTGCCTTGATACCTGGGTTACTTCCACTGAATGAAGCGGCTGGCAACAGAAACTCGCGGATCACAGCAAGGCAGTATTTGTTACTGTCTGGTAACTCTGCTTGGCGGTCCAATAAGCTTCGAATGACGACTTGAAGCTTTTGCATGAGCCTGGGAGCAAGGTACATCTTGTAACCGGCCAGGCGCATGACAGGCGCGAACACGTTCAAAATATCTTCGATCGATTCGCAGCGCGGTAGATCTTGTTTCCAATTTTGATAAAAAAAGCAGAAGCGCTGCTTCTTGCAAGTATCATGGGTGCCATCCTTCATATAGTCCGTCACCAAGACGCGTTCCATTTTTGGTATTTTGTCGCGGCCACCAAATTCGCTCACAAGCCTTGAGTCCTCGGCACGTTGCTCGAGAAGGGTATAGCGATCTCGGACTTCTTCGGGGACGTAGTTCTCAAAAGCAGGCTGCAGGATCACATCGCATAAGCGGTAGACGTAATAGGCAATTTCAGGGTGCATATCGATGAGCTTATCGTATTTCTCAAAGATCAACATTGCGTGGTGAATGTCGCCGATTGCGAGCAGCGCCTTCGTAAGCTCCACAACGTCGTTGTTAGAGTATTTTGTTTTGCTATCACCGCCGTTAATATCTTCTTCTTTGGCCTTAGGTCGCGCGGTTCGTTCAGTTGTACCATCCTCGCCAAGGGCGCCAAATTGAGCAAGCAAACCTCCCGTGTTCGTGGTGATCTCCTTGTTCATGTGGTCCATATATTTCTTTTTAGCGGCCTCCATATCATCAACGAAGGGATGCAGATATGGCAGCAAATCATGGAGCTGGACAAGGCCACACTTAATCAATAGGGCGCATCCATAGTAGAGCTCCGGAGGAGAGTTTGTCATTTCGTACTTCTGATAGTACTCAAACTTGTAACCTAAGAGATGCGCCATGATGGGACTACCGCGGTTGCTGTTCGATTCGTCGACCCATTTTGACTCTTTGAAAAGCGCGATCCAGAATATAAAGTTACGGAGAAGTTCCTTGATAAAGAAGTCCAATAAGACATCCAGCACACGATTCGGATCGAGGTGGAAGATGCCTGGAAGAAGAGGAGGAACACGACGACGCGTCTCGGTATTAGCATAACGTTGTGTCGGTCAAAAAGCAACAAGAGTGGAAGCATCATCTTGATAGGAGAAAAGTTGTAGAGAGAAAGGTGGCCGTACCGATATGGGATGAAACAGTTTTTAGAAAACTGGGTATACGATCAAGTGGTGTAGGCGGTGCTTGGCCGTATTCGTCATACGGGAGGTCGATGCTGCCAACAATGAGGTCGTTGACCAGCGCCGTGTAGCCGACATTGTCTTCTCGAAACAAATTAAATTTGTTTTGTTTGTAGCTATTTGGGTAAATCGTCAGTACGCCAGCGCCTGAGAACCGCAGTTGCGACGGTAATAATAAAAACAAGGAACTTACAGCATTGACGTGTTTAATCGTACAAGACGGCGATCAAACATGCTTTTACTTGGAATCAAGCCGGTGTCTTCCAAAAGTTGACTTGAAAAGTTTATTTTACAGTCGGCAATGGTGAAAATCGAGTGATCCTACATTATACACAATAATAAAAACATTAATCGTTAAAATCAGTATTGAATTCACAGAAACTTGAATGAACATAGCCACTTTTGGATATATATGAGAACTTACCACGGCACCCTTGACCATTGCAATAAGGTTGGCTTTCTTTTTAGCCACCTTTTCTGCTGCCTCGCCTTCCGACTTCATTTCAAGCAAACCTTCGAGATTGGCGTCCTTGGATTTGTGAGAATTAATAAACAGCATGCGAACGTTAATGTTGTGTGCTTTGAATTCGCCGGTCTCGTCTTTAATAATGGCGCCCATGAGCTGAAGGAAGCTGTCCACAGGGCGTTTGCCAATATATGCCTCATTCGTAGCCCGTGAGATTAGCCGTCGCAAAGGATTGCTTGCGAGAAGAACGTAGCTTGGAGCTAACGAACGTGCGTGATCAATCTCTTCTTGTATTTCCATGGGCTGTAGGAAGAAAAGGAAAGAAAGTGTTGGCGAAATTCAATCAAGCCAGCTGCCATTTCTTTATGTTTCGCGCGCCGCAGCGGCCGCGCAGTCTTATGACACTAATACTAAGCAATCTCCACTCTCAATATATATTTTATACGGTTTATTTTTGATATAATGCTGTACAAATATATATATGCTACATGACGATAATATGAAGGGTGAGGAAAAAGTACAAGTGGATGATGTGTGTGTTATGTTTGCTCTTAGCAGTAGTAGTGGTAGTTAGATTTTGACAATGAAACTGTGGGTCATTCTGAATTTAAGTATAATCAAAAAGAAGCCTCCAACGATATATGTCACGCCACAAAATATCTTGTATGTCAAGTATGGCTCAACAAGGACCTGACTTTCAATGGCAGAAGCAATACTGGGACCAAATACCTAGGAACGTAGTAATAAATATTTAAAACCTGGGGAAAACTCGATTGTGCCAAGTAGCTGATGGTGAAGTGGAGTAGCATCTGATTTCACTACTTACGCTGACCATATTGGAAAGCAACAAAATGGATAAACCTGTGGGAAACCGTTCGATTCCGAGGATAGTAGCAGTGATAGGTGAGACTGCATGTTGATCATTCATTAGTATATTTTCATTGAAGGCGAAGAAGATAAATGCATTTCACTGTAGTAGCAATGAATTATACTTACGTAAAGCAACATAGGAGCTGCAAACAAGACCAAAAACGGCTGCGAATGCCATAAGTGTTCCATAATCGTATGCATACACCCAAATTGTCAGCGAGCTGGCTCCGCTTATCATTGTAAAGAGAATGTTGGCGTTCAAGCGCCCTATGTGGTCACCAATATACCTACACATGTCCACTTGTCAGATGCATCGCTCATACACCTACCTAAAAATGCTAAAGGTAGTCTAGGGAAAGAGATAGTACATAAATAAAACTTACCCTACGCCAACACGTCCGATGCAGTTACCAGCAGACATGACTGCAACAAGAGCTGTACCATCGGCGCTGGACAGCCCGATATGTCTTGCATATGCTAAATCACAACAATTTTCATAGGATTGATTAGTCACGATCTGATACGTAAGCACATAATGACAATCTAGTAACTTACAAGGAAGGAAGAAGAAAGGTACGAAAAATCCCATGAGGGAAATCATGGAACCGATCATCCATAGGAGGTAGTTGAGATCTCTAAGCACGCTAAAATTGAATATCTCTCCCAAAGCCGGCTGGTATGGCGCTGGCTCCTCTTGCTTTACTTCTTCTTTACTAGCCTTGTATTTCTTGTGTCGAGGGTACTTTTCTTTGACAAGCATACAAGTGATTGTATTCAATACTAAACACAGAAATCCCATTATTCGGTAAGTCCTATTGCATACGACATTTAGTAACATCTTAAATTTACATGGTATTGAACGCTACTCTGTACTAGTAATTATGTGATTAAGCTGCACATAAAGAAGGATATACTGATATTACCATGAAGCACCTAGTTTGTTGTTGAGAACAGTCATTAAAAACGGTAATACTAGCCCGCCAACGCCAGACCCGGAGGATACCACACCGAGGCTTAATCCTCTTCGTCGGTTAAACCACTGAGCAGGCACAGACATGGCCGCCTGTAGTGTTTAAAGTAGGGAACAGTTATCAATAAACCAGAATACATAGCAATGATTTTCATGGGCCTAAACAAAATCTACATTTCAATTTCTCATTACTTACCACATACAGAAAGGAAGCGCCTGATCCAAAAAGCACACCTTGTGTTAGATACAAGTGCCATATCTGATAAATATGATATAGTGAGTGGATATGCAGCAGCAGCCAAAACAGCCTACGAACAATATGCGCATTATGTGCTTTTTCGCTCTGTCAGTTTGAAAAATGTTTTACCTTTGTGGTGAATCCAGCCATTTCTAACCCGAGAACACCCAAGAACGACCCAAGAATAAGGACGGATCGGATCCCGTAGCGAGCTGAGATGATTTGAAAGACAGGGCCCATCACGTCGACCATGAGTTCCATAATGGTGCCTGCAAAACTAAGTTGGAGCTGTGCATCGGGTACATCGTAAAATACTTTACGCTCAAAATATTCTTGCATAATACCCCTAGATAATAATATCGGCAAATGTAATAAGTAAAGATTTCCCATTGTTTCTGAGGTCTTTAACGCAGAAAATAACAGTGTAGGTACTCACCAACTAGAAGAGGTTCCAAACGAAGTGAATTGACCGAGGAAAGCGCCTGCAACCACTAACCAGCCTAGACCGCCATCAGGACCATCATCATACCCGTCGTTAGTGTCCCATTTTGGCTTGGTAACTTGGTCAACTGGCGTCGTAACTGTTTGTTTTATTAGAGAATATGATTTATTACGATTCACGAATAGTTTTCATACAGAAACGTGTCAACTGATTGCTTTAACTACCAGATACTGTCTCGGTAGGTGACGACGAAACTATAGATGCAGCAGTAATGGATGACCTCCGATCAAACTCAATAATGGTTCCGGCAATTGTTGTTGTTGTAGCCATAAAATAGATAAAAATTAAGACGGTTGGGGTATAGGTGCTATGTATGAATAGGTGGCAATAGTTATTGACGTTATCAGTAGGTAATCATATGCGCGTCGTCATGGAGCCTTTTAGAATTTGCTTTTATACGGCTCAAGAAAAAAAAATTGCCCCGTCAATGCCATCGCCATTGGTTCCTCATTTTTACTTCCTTTATTGGATATCATTTAGCAAGCTGTTTCTCGGTGTGTAGAAGTCGCGAACGTGCTGTCAGTATAGATGGTTGTTGTGTTTTGCGTTCTGGATGTGCCATAAATGGCTCGGATAAATATAAGGTAGCTGGTAATTGGGGCCAAGGCATGAATGTACAGTAAAAGGATTATTGATGATAGGATTTACAGTTAATGAATGTGTATGTTATTTCTAAAGGAGTTACCCACATGTTGTTTTTTGTTTCGCATTTTTTCGGCACAATGATAAACTTTGAATGGTGTCTCCGTTTTCGGCGATTCCGCTTTCATATTCACTCTTTTTTGATCGTCAAGTGGCTCAATAACAACTCATCCGGTGTATACTTTCTTATAGTCATCCTCTCAAGAAAACAACAATTGAGTTCTCGGTTTGGCATCGTGCCATTTCATAATAATCCACCAAAGTAAACTTGAAATAATCTCTGTGTCTTGCTTTCATGATAATGTTCTAAGTTAAGGAAAACAAGGGCTGGACCTTTCTGGTATAATAAGTGGAGAACGGAACGAAAAGAAAGACCATTGTTGTACCACTTAGCAGACACATTGAATGGTTCAGCTGACTTTGTTGAGTTCCTTGAAATGGCAACTTTTGTTTTTTTTGCAAACCACGCATGATTTTCCAACCACGCTAGATAGCGCACGCCCTCAAAAATAAATTAAGCTTTTTCCGATCACGAACGAAGATCACTTTCGTTAACTTAAAAAAAAGCTTCTGTTACTGCTACTGACAAGGACTATAATTACCGCCGCTTGTAGCTTAGGTTTCATATTTTAAACTATATACTCAAACTATCTTGTAATGGTATGTCATTGATGTATAACGTCTTCTATACACTGCCTGAGCTTCAGCCTCATATATGAAAGACATTCCTCAGTGTGATAGTTAATAATGGAGGTTAAGCAAGTCATTATATCTAGAAGATCCGGTTGTACGACATACGACATCAAAAAATAGAATCATCGTGGAATCTTGATCCTTAAAATGAACACGCAAATCATTCATTCGCTGTAATGTTTCCGAAGGAAAACGGAGTTGCTGGATGTAACGGTGATTCCGTTCTCACTCCGTTCCTCTTCCTTGCCATTACCATGGATTGGTTAACTGTTTTCATTAAGGTATCATAAGCGTTTGCGTATAAAACTACGGAGTTGCGCACCTACAAATGATTTCGTTTTATAATGGTAGATGTACCTAGCATTATAAACCTGCTCAACGGAGACAACACCTTTTGTATAAATAGGGGGTGAAGACGACGCGAGAACGAGTATGACATTAGAGCACCAATGATTTTTCTTTTTGCAAATATATGCTATATTTGGACAGTGCCCAAACACAGCATATGGCACTTCAAAATGTTTGGTATCATCATTCAGAGTTTTACCAACGCAGTGCAACTTCCAAATATTCCTAACATGAATTCAAAGGCAAGAACTCTTTCTTGATACGTCTAAAGGGACGTTGACTTCCATTATGCTTCTGTGATTATTCCCTAATACGTACTGTACGTACACATTTATCTCAATGTGCTTAACAATATGATTACACCTTCTCTTCTGCTTTGGCTAGGCCACCGTCTTATAAGACTTATCATATCAATACAACGAAGTGTTGTCGTCCAGTAATCCCCTTATGTTATATCGTTAAAGCTTGACTGCTTCTCTAGTGTTGATGAAAGTCCGAGCCATGTTAAAGGATCAATAATAGCCGTATGTATTTGGAAAGAAATGTAATACAAAAGTTATAGCATAGATGATGTACGAGCTTATTCACGATGGATTCAAGAAGTTACGGCATTAACAACACATGACAATCAGTGTCTCGCGTGTTTATCATCTACTGGGTACTTACATTATATCTGTAATCTACAACCGACAGTCCTATGTTAGAGCTTTGCGGTCAAAGTACTCATCATTGATCTTGAGGACGGCTAAAATGAGAGGATTGAATATTGGCGTGACACCACTGCGAATTATATATGTCGAGCAAGGTTTGATATTGTTATTATCAACTACAAAATATTTTGGAAAGCTTTTAAGAATTTAAGGCTTCAAAAAGCATCAGATTACAACCTCTAATTCCGATGTACTTTTGCTGTAGTTCAGCATCACCATTTTGCTTTTCTTCAACGTCCTTGTATTTCTTGTGGCGAGAATATACTGTGATGCAAGTGACGACGTACATTCCAAGACAGATGAAACCGAAAATGCGATACGTCTCAATATACGTGTGTTTGTGAAATATCATGGTAAGCCAAAACAATGTTGTCACAACTTTCAAGTGTTGACAGACTCGTACAGCCAGGGCGAGAAATGATGAATAATTCATGTACGAAGAGCCGCCAAACTTGTTGTTAAGAGATGTCGTCGCAAATGGAAGCATTGAAACACCCATTACGGTAATACCAAGACAGAGACAGAGACAGAGACCAATACATAAAGCAGGGACAAACACCGTTGCCTGAGTAATCAACTCACTGTAGTTTTTTAAAATTAGGAGGCGTTATGAAATGAATACAATGAACACCCCTCAAATTTCAAACATTAAGTTCCCTTTTTTTCGTTCGTGAAAGTTAACGTATACCAGGAAAAACTCACTCCGCGGACATTCCTTTATCCATGCACATTTTGGTGTTACACGAATTTCCAACTCTCATGAATTTGCCACTTAATATATCGATCACGCGCCTACCAAGCCGTTTCAAAAAAATCGCGGAAACCCGATTTCGGAAATTAATTTCTCCGGTCGGTTAATCATGTAACCGAACCAAAATCCGTTTTTCAGAATACAATGCTAATCAAGCTCTGATTGATAAATAACTATGAAATTACTATTACTATGTCCGCACGCACACTATATAAAATAGCACGCTATGTACTGTAGCCTTTTCTGTTATATTATCTCAACTTCTTTATCTGCATCATGTATAAAATGTTGTTTTTTTCATGGAGCCTTCCATCCCTGGACAGTTAGCATCAATCTCTTGCAGTGTCCATGCTGATATCTTCTCTGTATCTGTCTAATTTCGTAACATGACATGTGCAACTCCTGATATAAGCACTTTTGATCTTGTGATCAAGGTAGAGAAATTTAGTAAGCTATGTAAATATGTTGAGATAGATGGATGAATAATAAAAGAGAAATCTAAGGTCGAGATAAATGGAAACTATAATGGAATCTAGAGATAGCGAGTGAATGGGTGGTCGTCACGCCACGTTCTTTGTCTTGTTCGTCTGCTCGATACCGGCCGACTACTGTCAAATATTTGTCGATTCTATCGGTACGAGTGCGTTTGCGGTCGACTACCTCGCGCTGTCGTCTTCTAAGGATCGTACGATAATTATTGATTCCTGCATTCAACTCATGAAGAGTATCGGCAATCCCTTGCTCCGCATCACGCTGGCTCGCCCAATCATGGTCGTCTTCCTCAGGCAGGGGTGGTTGTAGTTGTGGTTGTGGTTGCGATTGCTGTTGTTGTTGCGGTTGGCGCAGTCGACGTGGATTCAATAAAGGTTCATCTTCTGAGTCAGAAGAACTGACTACATCAGACGAGGTAGGACGAAGAGTTGCCAAGCGTGTGTTGTGCTCTGTATTGTCACGTCTAACTGGCGAAGTACGTACAAGAGAAGACGGAGAAACAGTTGATTGCATAGCTGGCACAGAAGACGTAGTAGTAGGTGCTGGCACTGATGCTGATGGCGGATGTGATGGTGGTGGAAGGATAGCGTCAGGAATTTCCACTGAACCATAAGATAATAACGAGGCTACAAATAGCTAAATACGATATTTGTCTCTCATTTGGTGGCAGATTAAAAAAATAAATTTACTTCTTCTATTTGTACAAAAGGCGGTAAAGAACTATAATGAATGTAATACTCGTGTGCTGCAAACGGGCTTGAGAGACAGGGATTGGCGCGGTGATAACGACTGATCAAATGTTTGCAAAGCATAAACCGACTAGCAGCAAAGGACGGACAACCACAAGTCCAGCGGTCCAGCGATACATGGTGGTGTGTGTCCACATTTTGCCGTTGTTGCCCACTACGATCTTTTAGCTTGCGCCATTCACGTGCGAATGCAGCTTCCCAATCCAATGTCTCGCGACGATTGACAATTTTCAAAGAAAAATTGTTGTGTACGATGGGTGCCTGCCTCTCAAGGATAATCCACACAAGCATATCCAATCGCGGTCTGCGCGTATTGATAAGGAATTCTCTCTTAAAAACCCTCCATTGAGCTTCGATCATCATCGTGGTTTTTGCCAACGGGATAGCTTTCGGGAATGCTGCTTCGTGCCCATCTAACCCACCATTCAGGAGCTTACCATCTCCTATAAAGATACACCCAAGCATCAGGCAAGGCGATATCCACGCACAAGTGTACATTTCTTCCACAGCGCGAAAATACAACTGCTGCTCGTTTCGGGTGCCAATAATAATGCATTCGCATCATATCTATGATGGCATTTCGATTTTCCAGGTCACCGCATAAACTGCCAGTTCTATCTTCCCAGGACGGAACATTGCACTTATAAAGGGAAATAAACCTCGAGCCTCGTCCGGAATATTTTGCGGTCTTGCTGTTTTAGGTTCTGCTAAGCGTTTCTTCACCGAGCGAACGAGAGGGCTAGTCGTTCAACCCAGGCGAAAATCATTCTGGCAGTTACCGTTCGCTTGGTGAGCATGAGTGAAAATTGCATACATTATATCGCCAGAATCAACCTCTCAAATAATTATCTATTCATCCCATCAAAATTGACATCCATAGTTTTTTATTTTTTAGAGTTGAAAGAATATGCTGATCTCGAATGTAGAATACCAATCCGCAGCTTAAAAACGAGGTTTTTGAGATAACTCTTCTGGATCTGTCCCGTATTCTTCAATGTACTTTTCATGCTGACGGATCGCATGCTGATAATTCGAAATTAATGTACGGGCCTTGATGTTGACCGTAGGATGGTTGGGCTGAACTTTATGTAATGCGTCAATAGCAAGATCATACCTCGAGCATCCTGTTTTTGCGTGGAAAACGCCAAAACCATTACAAAGTTTTAGTAAGCTTATAAAGATTTCTTCCTTCGTTCTATCATGAAGCAGCAGCGAATCTGTGACAGATCTTACCATTCGCCGTAAGCATTCGGAAAGGAGTAGTGGTGGTTCCCTCCTCGTTGTATCCATGCTATTGATAGACATTATCCATAAGTAAAAACTATTATCACACACACTTTTCTGATTCTGTATACATAGTAGTATAACATTCAACCCCAAAGGAATATATATACGCACCACAGACATGCGTCTGCCACTGACACGATCATAAGCAAGACTGTGGATGGCCGAAGGATATCCATGGAAATTGAAAACAACAGGCTTATCCGGTGTGAAAATAGCCTCGAATTCGTCTTGGGACAATCTATGTGAATGGGTCTGACCAAGCACCATCAGATCTGTGACATTGACTAGACGCACACGTAGATCGGGACAATCTTTGTGAAGTAAAGCTGCAGCTGCAACGGCCTCGAATGTTGTCTCGACACCACATCCGGCAATCACAACGTCTGGCTCTTTACCGCCATCTGTGCTGTACTCGCACCATACGGATATACCGGCTCGACAGTGTTCGGCGGCTTTTTCGGCCGAAGTGATCCAAAGCGGGGTGGGGTTCTTGGCGCTAATAACAAGATTGATATAGTTGGTAGATCTTAAACAGTGGTCGATCGTTGAGACCATGCAGTTGGCGTCAGGTGGGAGATAGATGCGGATCATATTTGATTTCAAATTCATCAGGTTATTCAAAAAGGCTGGATTTTGGTGACTGAACCCATTATGCTCTTGTCGCCATAATGTGCTACTCTACAAGATTCAAAGCGAGCATGTGAGTTTGTTTCTTCCTTCTCATCTTGATACGCAAGTAGAAGAAATCGCCTTTTTTACCTCGATGTAATTGATGGATGGCACTGGTCTTCGCCATAGCGTTTCTTCTCCCAGTTTCAAAAACTTGGCATACTGGATCAGCATAGTCGTTATGATACCAAGGAACCTTTTGTATTTGATTGAAAATGAGCATAGTCTCTCTATTACTGTTAAAAAGAAAAGTACGAATGCTACTTACGCTTCGTAGCTTGGGAATAAACCTGTTCTTCCAGTTAATGTGTAGCCTTGCAGGAGACCCTGACAAGTGTGCTCTGAAAGAACCTCGATGATCCGACCGCCTTTGGTGAAGAGATCCTTATCCCACTGGAAAGTATATTGATATATCAGCTTATCATGAATGCGACAGAGAGCTTTACGTGTATATTACCTCCATCGTCCGATTTGTGGCGTCAAGTACACGCGTCAATTTGTTGGATGTCAATTCGTCAGGCGAGAAGATCCTGAACGTGCTATGATTACGCTTGATCACTTCGGCGAGATATCCACCTGTTGCGTCCATAGACGATGTGTCTTCATCCTTGTCGATACAATAGTCTTCCCAACGAGGGGTATCCAATTTCTTGTAGGACCCTTCATGGGTCTCGATGCGCATACCCATCCGCAATGCCTCGTCGTCAGGAAAACAGTCCTGGATTTCTTTTACGGGTGCGTAGCCATGCTTTTTGTCAAACAGCTTGTCTGGATGATATTCCAACAACCACGATTCCAACAGCTTGAGTTCTTCATCATCCTTTTTGGCTTTGGGCAGGGGTACTTGGTGAGCATGGAAGGTGCCTTCAATAGGCTTGCCATGGGCTTCTTTAGGTCCAGTCCAACCTTTGGGTGAGCGCAGGATGACAATGGGCCAACGGGGTTTGTATATCGGCTTGTTGCCCGACCGCGCTGCTTTTTGAATCGCTTGGATTTCTTGCACCGCCCAACCTAGGGATACGGCCATGTCACGTTGCAACGTATCCATGTTGTCAGTAACGATGCGTACTTGATAACCATAGCCACTGAATAGAGCAATCAATTCGTCGTCACTATAGCAGCCAATATGCTGTGTTAGATTTGTTTTGCAGCAAAAATTTAAAGGGGATTCCACGACAAAATATGAGCTCACCTCATACATCCGTAAATGGTACGATTAGCAATTTTGAAACCGTTTAAATGAAGCACGGGCAGCACAGCGCCTGACTTTGCTGGATCCAAGTACTTGAATGCATGCCATGCAGTTGCTGTGGGTCCAGTTTCGGCTTCGCCGTCTAAATTTATAACGTAGAATCATGTTCAAACTTTGTCGAAAACGATAAGAAGAGCTGTTGTGAAACGTCGCCACTCACCTCCTATTATGCAAGTGACAATTAAATCAGGATTATCGAGTACAGCACCAAAACTTACAGCGAGTGCATATCCCAACTCGCCTCCTTCATGGATTTGGCCCGGCACTTCAGAGTTAGTATGGCTATAAGAAAAATAGCACAGTTTGTAGTTTAAGTGGCCACATTCTTCTTTGAGAACCTATCATGAAGTACGATGCTAATTATTCTTTACCTTGGGAAACCAGACGGCCAAGAAAAGCCGCGGATCAAACGCTCGAGACCTTCCCGATCGTACGAGTATTTTGGATAATACTTTGTGATGGAACGTTCGAGAAAGAGGTTGGCAAGGTTGGCAGGGGCGCCATGGCCTGGTCCGGTCACGAACAACATGTTGAGATTGTGTTGCTTGATAAGGCGCGTGCAGTGTGCATAGGTCAAGTTAATGCCCGGGCAAGTACCCCAATGGCCTAAGAGTCTTGGCTTTATATCGTCCGGTTTTAGCGGATTTTCGAGTAGCACGTTTGACTTTAGGAAAATCATGGCTCCCGCCAGATAATTGGCTGCACGCTGCAGCGTAACATAAGGTGCGAGATCGCTGTCACTGACTTTGTTCACATCCAACTGAACGCCTGAAGTAGTAAAAGAGGTGGTAGTAGCAGAATCAGTAGACATGGTATTTTCTTTATTCTTAATTAATGATTCAAGGAAAAAGTAAAACAGAGAAAGCAGTCGAATTGAACATCTTTTTTATATAAGAGCTAGTATTGACGTCAAAGTGATGTGCAAGGGTTTATGTGGTGGATGACAATCAACGCAATCAATACGCACGCATCGAGACAGCACAACCAGCGGAGTTGCGTGCCACCCGCACGCACCATACTCTTTGGACTGTGAGACGAAAAAGTTGGTGTTGCACCCTTCTCTCTTTTTCCAGTAGTGCCCATTTAGCTTCGCAAGAAAAAACAACAACAAATTATGCATCCTGCAAAAGCAAACAAGATTGATTTAAGTGTGAGCATTCTTTTGTCGTTTGGAAAAACAAAAGGGGATTGCAAGGTTTGAGGAAGCAGAGCCCGCTGACTGGTTCAACTTTTCTGCATATAGCAACTCAATGAGGAAGAGCGGAAACTGTTTCGAATGTATGGCAAGCTTCCTGATCGCAAGGATCTCTTGGGCCATAAATTAAAGGTTTGTTTTTTCCCAATCTCATTTATTTAAGCTAATGAAGAGCTGCCAGTTCACAATAGCTTTTCCTTGACATTTGTAGGAGCGCAAGTACTTTGACTCCGGTGACTATGCATTGTCAAAGGCGGGCAAGGAGCCCGAAGTAGCGATCGGATCAGAACATCCATCGCCAGACACGATTCCTCATTCGAACCCAAACTCAAGCTCCAGCTCAAGCCCTGTCAAGGAGAGCCCACTTGTTCCCGATACTGCTGCTGGTGGTGCCACGACAACGGAGGAATCCAACAAACCGACTTTGACCCCCAAACCAGATACCACCACGATCGCTCAGCAGCAATAAAATAAAAAAGAATGTTGTGTGTTTTCCTTTCTATATGCATTGTTTGTTTTTTATTCTTTTTTTTCAATCAATACAGTACTACAGTGGAGGAGGAGGATACGAAAAAGAAGAAGAGGGAGGAGGAGGTGGTGGGTAATAGAGGAAAGGTCGTGTACCAAAGTTGACATTAACCTTGGCATGGCCATCTGCTGCCAGACTAGCATAGTAGTTTAGCGGGGATATGCTGGAATACGCAATGCCTAGCATCTGTCCGTTCTTCGTGAAGAACACATTGCCTTCCGTGGGAGAGTAGCCACACCCGACAGTATCGCCTTTTTTCCAGCTCGGTCCGTAATCTTGACCTCCTGAGGCGTCGTCGATAAACTTTCTTCCATCGTCACTATGCATTGTATATGTTATTTAGCTTCGCCTTTCCCTTCCCCTCTTCATGTGTTCCTTTTTCTTTACAGCAGGTACATTATAATGAATAAGAATTCCTTTCTATCATCATCTACCTATGATATCCGATCGAGTGGTTGTTCCAACCTGGCATTCGAAATAGAGGATATGGTTTTGTCGACAATCCTATTGACAAGACCACATCGGATTTGGCCTCTTGCACTGTGATTTCGAAATAATGCAGCGAGTGTACTTTATCATCACCTTCCCCATAGGATACAAGGTATGGATGCGTCGCTTGTAACGTGATATCCCAATCCATATCATTACCACGGTTACGCAGCCGTGGCCAAAACTCGACAATAGGAGTAAGACTATCATCACCGGACATGGTAGTAATATGAAACGGCGGCTGGTTTGCAGTAGCCAAAGGGTGCTTAAATAATGAGTTACTGTGTGTCGTTTGATCCAGTCGCTGTACAGATTGAAGCCCATGTTGGCGCACTTGTTCCACTAATTCTGGAGGAACAGCTCCATTGATCTGGGATCGGAATGCTTGTACAAATAGTTCGCCTCTTTCGAATGAATCGAGACTGGTGTCCTTGAACCGGCCAAATTCGTGAACAACGGAATCTTCATCGAGACCAGCTTGGAAAGCGTGCTGGTAGCTCGGTGGTTCTTCTTCGACAAATTCCGGCATAATAGCGTAGAAAGAGGAAAAATACTATGGCTGTGCTTTTTATATGGAATTCTCGGATTGCTGCATTATAACCCGCAAAAATGCTGAGCACAGACGAAGAGATGAGAGAAAGGCTACGCTGAGGCGTTGCTATATAATAGCATGCCGTCTGTTTAAAGAGTGATTGTATCAATAAGGCATGTTTTCATCTAACAAGCGTACAAGCTAATATCCAATATTCAATTAATCACGCCCTTTCCTTTCACAGTATACACTAGGGCAAAAAATATTGCAAGTCTTTACAATATGCACGAGCATGATCATAGATACCGTATACGTTTGAGCATAGGCGAGACTTGGAACTCTTGTTATACCATCCATTTCGTATCTCATGACGACCAAACTCCACGTTACCACAGACATGAACAGGAGCAAGCAGTGCGCTTAATACTTAAAGCATACGGATCAATGCAAATATCAAGTGAGCATCTGCAGCCCTAGAGGGATTGTGTAAGTGACGTATATTCAGTAGCAAGAACTTAAAGATGATGCTGTCCTTGCCCAATTTGACATACAAGATTCCTTGGAGGCTGTTGATGAGGTAGAGTGGAATTGAGTGGTAGCGACAATTCTACACAGAAGAGAAAACAGTGATACGATCCTTCTTGACTATGTACAAGAAGCAAGAATGTATATGATATGCATGCAGTCAATTGTCTCTATGGTATAAAGATGATGTGTAGACGTTTTAACGTAATACATAAATTCTGAAGGTTTTGGGTTAGCAAAGATATTGGTATCGGTTTTTATTTGGGATGCTGATACAAAGCACTATCAATGATGGATAAAAAAGAGTTATTTGAGCACAAAAACATGTTGCACACCATACATGTTGCTGCCACCTTCTTCGTCACCCCTTTCTGTAATAGCCATTGCTTTTCAAGTAATTAAAGCACTTCTTTTGATATCTCCAAATATGCGTTGGATGGCCCTCTACTGTCAAAATCTTGAGCGAATAGCACCTTTCTAGTACCTTGTGCTTGATAAGCATTTCTAGAGCTTTTTGGTATATTGTAGAGCATTGTGTCAAGCGTAGTTCCTGCAATGTAACCAAACGACCGAGATAGACAAAAGCATAGATTGACAAGGCAAAGTTTCTTAACCACATGCGTTGGAGTAACGTGTTTTTCTTTAAAAGCATATCTGTAAATTTGTCAAGACTTTGCGACTCGGACAAGTATTCACCGTTGTTGTGGAGTTCAATGGAGCGCAGAACACCAAACGAGCTGATGGCGTCCAAAATAGCATTGGATATCGGAAATCCTTGTGTAGCGGTGCCAAAAGTCAAATTTGCAATAGAACAACAGCTATCATCGTTGTTGCCAGAAAAGTGAGATCCCAGTGCTTGCAGCAGAGATGTTGTGATTCGATCTTGACGAATTTGTTGCGACCAGAAGGATTCATAAGGTAATCGAAATCCGAGTGTTGTCAGTGCTGGTAGTCGTTTCAAGACCCTTACGAACGCCGGAGCGGTCAGAACTTCCAAAGTTGCGTCAAGTTGAATGTGTGTCAGCATAGTACAGTGGCTAATGAATGCACATAGCTCGCTCGTGGAAGTACAGATATCGTTTCCAATGACCAATTTTCGAAGGTTGCGCATCTGGATGTTGTTGCGACTGCCTTTGCTAAGAAGAGCTTCTAATTGACAATTTGCCAATTGCAAAGTCTCGAGCGAGTCCTGACTGTATTTTAACACGTTGACAATGTCCCCAAAATCGTCTAACCTAGACTTCGTTCCAACGTATTTGAATACACGTAAACCATCATGCTTGCCCGATAACGCACGTCGTAAGAACCATGAATTATCCTTGTCTTTATATTGCTTCCATTTTGATGACTGCTCTGTGTAGAATGTGCCATTGAGATTGTCGTCTATACGGTCGTCGCCCTTGTCCAAGCGGTTACACTCAATGTATTCTACACGCGGACAATGTTTTATTATACTGCTCAGATCCGTGAATTGCCACCTACAGATCGTGTTGCTGCCATACCGCACGCAGCGTAAATTCGGACACCGTCGCAGGATGTTGTTGATCTGGTTTGTATTCAATACGTAATCCAGAGACATGCATGTCAAATTGTCAAACGTGATAGTTGTGTTCTTCTTTTCTTCTTTTGCTAGTAGTGGTGCAGATATTGGGTCTTCAACATACATGCTGTAGTGATATTCAAACTGCAGCTGGAAATGGAGGGTTCGTAAATTGGGACATGCCGCAAGAATAGCGAGAAATGGTAGGTTAGATGGCTGCTCGTCGAAAATAAGCACGCGCAGACTGTTTGTCAGTTTCTTCAACAGATTGATAAAGTGCTGTTCAACACCAGAATGACATCTGGTGAATACTAGATGATATTTAATGGTATGTACATGTGTAAGTCAACATATCGTTTTCTTTTTCCTTCACTCTGTCTGTATCACTACTGCTACTGCATTTAAAACTCACGTGTGACACAAAATCAGCAAACGCAGGAACTTACCAAGCGTACTGATATTTTGACAGCCCCAAGACTCGATGACGGTACGTAGTTGACGATAGAAGCGGTAATTGTCCCACATTGTATTTGTATAGCAGTCAAAGAGCACGGTGCGAATATAGTTGCTGAAAGGAGGAGGTCTTCGAGGAAGTCGTCGTTCTTTTTTGCCATTCAGCTGGAGATCTTGCCATGGCTTGAACGATAGTGTCAGTGCTTGTTCGCGCCAAAGGCGGCACACAAGCATGCATTCGATAATGTCACTTTGCGTGAATTGAGAAAATACCTGTTCAAGAACGTCTGAATTTAATTGCTTTAAAGGATCGCTCCGATCTATTGGAGTCGACGAGGTATGCAATAACCTCGTCATTTGTGAGCTTCGAGAAAGAAAGGACGAAAGATTTAATGGAAGGAAGGAAAGAGAGTAAACATTGAAAGCATAAACTCGCCTCCTTTTATGTTACAGCAGCATTCTGATTCAAAAGACCATTACTCATTGTGTGGACAACTGTCACCTAAGGATGTTTATTACCGCAGATAGATATTCTCAACTTTATTCGCATTATGTATAAGGTGCAGAGGGTAATCCTGTGGTAATGTTGAATTGTGGTCTGTTATGTAAGACAAATGCGTTGGTTATCTCCAAATAGTAGCCAGCATCATTGTCAGCTCAAGTGCCTCATTGTTAAAATTGATGAGCTTATATAAAACATTCATTTTTTTGTGGTATACCCTGCAGTGACAACATTACACTAGGCCACGGATCAATAAAAAGAGAAATAGCAATGGACTCTTATGTAAACAAAAGAGCTATTAATGCATAAACCAACTCCGGTTCGGATGTCAAGCAATGTAGAAGATACATGCGTGTGTGCTTCAAAGAAGAGAGAGCTACTGACTCAAGTCGGGGACGGGGGTTGCAGTAGGATACAATTTCCAATGTTACATCACTGTTATATTGCAACACATGTTTCAGTATGATAGGGCCGCTGTGATAACAGTTTATTGACGGTTACATACAAGCCATTCCTGAAGATAAGATCGAAGGCGGTTCAATGCGAGCAAAAACTAACACACAATCGTACTTGTTACGTAGTTACTGCTTATTTGTTCGCTATTCTACTCGCTTGTTGTTTCCTTGGCAACCATACGCTAATGAGGAAGTGCTGGCAAAGAAGGAGCAGTGCACTGGCTGAAACCGCGATACGGCGCGCGGTGTTTTAAGGAACCCTGTACAGAGCCCTGGAAGGGTCCATTTTTTCTTTTTCAAAACAAGGATCTAATTAGAAAATCAAGAAAGGATCATAATTAAGACTTGGCCAGTTTGTGGCAAACAAGTGGGGTCATTATCGTATCAAATTTAGACATTTTTAAAGTTCGTTTCTGATGGTTTTGCTGTACCCTGCAGTCTGTTCTGGCTTTTCAGCAACAGCTATATCAAGACAGTTTTTAAGTTTGTCCACAAAGAAAACACATCCTTTTTGGAGAAGAAAAGGCCCCAACTTTTCTTTTGTCTGGCATCTTTGGGGTATAAACGTACATGTAATGTACGGGGAATTCTAAGAATACATGTTCTTTTGATTATAAGGAAAAGCGAGATATAACATCATCATTATGATCATTGAATCTTATGAAAGCGAAACAGCACGACGTCACTATGATTTCCTGCGCGAATCTAGGTCAATCATGACCTACAACACTTCCAGGGCAAGCATGTATCCATACAGCAGCCCAACAACAAGTCTATATTGGCGATGGTACAAACAGAAAAAGGTGGCACCAGTAAAGTTGGGAAATGTCCAAAATAGCTCTAGCCCGCTACTTTACATATTGTGTGTGTTACAAGGATAATTTTGCAGAGCCGAGATGATCGGCGTGCCCGATGAAATTTCAATCGGAGGTAAGTTAGAGCTATCTTTGCACCTTTTCGGTTTTAAATAAAGCAGGGAGGGAGGGGGGGTTTAGGCAGTCAGAGTGGAATACAGTAATGATAATGTATATAGATGATCGTACGTTAGGGATCTGGCGTGGGCGTAAAAGCATTTGTCAGCCCTTGCTTTCCAAGCACATCCGCGAAAAGCCCGAGAATACGAGCAAAGATGTACGGATGACCAATCAACACTGCAGGTAATGATCACGGATCAAAAAGTCCCAACCAATTGAAATTCGTCTATTCTATTTTCTGTTCCCGGATCGATAAGAGACAGAACAAGGACAGCGAGCAGAGATTTGCTGCCACTCGCTTCATAAGCAACAATGACCGTCACCAGACCAACCGGTTTCGTTTGTGCTCAGAATATCCCATGATTGCCAGAATCATTGGCTAGTAGCCCGAACCCGTCTTTTCCGAAAAGTGAAAAATTAAAGTCAATGATTTATCCCGCAGAATTTATGCTGCCTTTGGGGTGTGTGTGTGTGTGTGTGTGGTTTTATTTTGGGAGCAAGCCAACGCTTCGCCGAGAGCGGACTTTTGAACGCGCACTATGCCCAATAAATATGCTTGCGTCTCCCAGGAGCTCGAGCGAGAGAACCAGAAACTTCTTTCTTTCATCTTCATTTCCACTCCCACTTTAGCAGATTTCAAACATGGCATCGTTTGGACGAAAAGCTTCCGCTGGAATTACACCTCCCGACAGACATCACCCTCACACTCTCTCGACGCTCGTAAGTGGATATACCTTGTACCTTTTCCATGTGCCTGCTTGTTGGCCATACTATGCATATGTCATGCCAGACACGCGTTTTTCTTTTTTATGGAGCGAAAGGTCTTTCTCTGGGCTCGCCTGTTCTAATCTTGTCCTGTTGATATCTAGGATTTTCAAGGCGCCAGCTCTGCAGCTGCGGCCAAGGCCATGAAGACCGAGTTGAGCCGTTTGGCGGCACAGATCAAGTCAGAGGACGAGCGCAAGGTTTGTGGTTACCTCCTCCATTTCTTTTAATCATTGGGGTTGGATGAAATGAAACCTGGTGAGAGTAGTTCAGAGGGTACTGATGACAACACATCAATGGGCAATAGTTCTTCCAACAAGAGATGGATGGCTTCTACATGCTGTTCACCCGATTTATGGACGAAAAGGCCAAGGGAGCTAAACTGTAAGTGTGCAGATCCGAGAAAATAGAATGGGGGAAGGGGGAGGAACACCCGGTACAGTGCAAGTCAGATGACCCTCTAACATTTCCCACACAAAACATTAGGGATTGGGACAAGATCCAGTCTCCTTCGCCCGAGCAGATTGTGCATTACAGCACGTTGAACGAGTCTACCTCGGCTCAGGAGTTGAACAAGTTGGCTGTGCTCAAGCTCAACGGCGGTTTGGGTACCACCATGGGCTGTGTCGGTCCTAAATCTGCGATTGAAGTTCGTGACGGCATGACTTTTTTGGACTTGAGCGTGCGTCAAATTGAGGTAAATTGATGATACTGAATTCATACGTTCGATAAGTGGGAGAGTTCTTGAAATAGCTTTCTTGTGTATCTGTATGTGTATGTGTATGTGTGTGTGTGTGTGTGTATCGGCTGTTGGACAGTTGGACTGTGCGCTAAATTCACATCATTATTACTTTTTTGTCTTCCCGCGCCCTAATTACGTGAATAGTACCTCAACAGGAAACATGACGTCAATGTCCCATTTATCTTGATGAACTCATTCAACACGGACGAAGAAACCCGCCGTATCGTACAAAAGTATGCCACCCACAACATCAACATCACGACGTTCAACCAGAGCCGCCATCCACGTATCAACAAGGAGTCCCTGTTGCCAGTGCCCCGTTCGCCCGACTCGCCCATCGAGCAGTGGTACCCCCCAGGCCACGGTGATCTCTACGAGTCGTTGTACAACTCGGGTTTGCTGGATCAATTGTTGGGCGAAGGCAAGGAGTACCTCTTTATTTCCAATGTGGACAACCTGGGTGCCACCGTGGACCTGAAGATTCTGCATCACATGGTCGAGAGCGACGCCGAGTTTATGTTGGAACTGACGGATAAGACGAAGGCTGATATCAAGGGTGGTACTTTGGTTGACTACAATGGCCAAATCCGGCTGTTGGAAATTGCGCAGGTCCCCAGCGAGCATATTGAGGACTTCAAGTCGATCAAGAAATTCAAGATCTTCAACACCAACAACTTGTGGATCAACCTCCGAGCCATCAAGCGTGTCCTGGAGGAAGAATCGATGGATCTGGAGATCATTGTCAACAACAAGACGACGGATACTGGCGAAAAGGTCATCCAACTGGAGACGGCTGTGGGTGCTGGTATCAAGCACTTCCGCAACGCCCATGGTGTCAATGTACCGCGTACTCGCTTCTTGCCCGTCAAGTCAACCTCGGATCTGTTCTTGGTGACGTCCAACCTGTATTCCCTTGTGCACGGCCAGCTTGCGGTGAATCCCCAGCGCATGTTCAACACGGTTCCTCTTGTCAAGCTTGGTGACCATTTCAAGAAGGTTCAGCACTTTTTGTCTCGGTTCAAGACCATCCCTCATATCCTCGAGTTGGATCACTTGACCGTCACTGGCGATGTCACATTTGGTGCTGATGTCGAGCTGCGTGGCACGGTCATCATTGTAGCCAACCATGGTGAGCGCATTGATATCCCTTCGGGTGCCATTCTCGAGAACAAGGTTGTCACTGGCAATCTCCGTATCCTGGACCACTAAACATTACATATATATCCTGCCGCTGCCCCACCCACCTCCCTCACCACCCCACATAATATTGCACCTTTTTCTCTCCTCATACACGTCATGCAAACACACGCGCACGCCATACACAAATGCAAAACATGTTCATAGCACAAAATATATTACGCAAACAATCCAGCAATCACCATGACTACCTATTTATATGTGAAGGAATATACATGGCAATATTGACGTTGAATACTCCACCTAGAACAGGTGGCGGCTCATGGTGTCTCCATAGCAAATGATTGGTGTGTGTTATATAGTGAAAAAGGGTGGGGGAAACGTTGATAGAAATGGATATAATATAGGGTAGAAAAGAATGATCAAGATGGGGACAGTTTATCGCTGACGAGCAGAACATGCTAGCAACTACCAAAGTTTTTACTTTTTGATACAACGCAATGAGAAGACACGAAAACACTGCATAATAGATCATTATCTTTGATAGGAGAATCAACAGCACAACAGGGATGTCTGCGTAAATCTGAGGTTGTACTATGTAAATACAATAGTGAGTTTATGTTTAAGTGACTTCTTTCATCTTGTACTATGTCTTTGCGCTAACTAGTTAGGACTTGGGTCGGTTATAGATAACTAGATCTCATCGTTATCATATTGGTAATCTACTAGTATGTAAAATTGCAGATTTATAGTGTTTGATATGGAAAGACATTACAACAATACTCTGCATGCTGCTTCCCTTTCTTTCTAGTTTAAACCGGCAGAAACAAGAAGCGGGGCCCTCGCTCGTTTGTTATACTTTTTCTTTTTGTGTGCGTGTTTAGCTGCGTACTTTTACGGTAGCTTATAGGCTTTATAGTAAAAGACTTGAGCATGGCACATTGCAAAGACGCGATAACAGTTGTTTTCGACTGGTAAAATCCATGATCTGTTCACCATGGAAAAGTCGTTATAACACACGAGAAAGAAAAAAGAAGTATATGCGCAACGACTTTGTTTCGAAATAATTGCTCTTGATCCACATAACTGAGCTGTTTCAGTCGTCATCCACCAAAGAGTTTAGTCCCAATACATGAAGGTGACACTGAATATAGAGACCCTTGTTATCACATCCCAAATTCATCTTTTCTCGTCTTATAATAGATATACAATATTTGGCATGTCCCCGATTCATCCGTCGCCACCTCCGAAGGATCAGACAGCAATACGTCGCGAATGGCATACCAAATATAAATCATCGGATAATTGGCTCTTACTGTCATAGGCATATCAATCCAGGCCGTAGATTTAAAGCTTAGCATCGAACGGGGTAGATCAAATCACCTAAACTCCTTTTATCCAAGGATATTTTTCCATACTTTACACAGCACATATACACATACGATGCGGTGGCCCTGGTCAGCCTCATCAACTGTCTATATGAGCCTCAATCAATACACAACTCGAGTACGACGGAAGCCGCAAGTAATTTTATTCAGCATTTTGAAATGGGCACTCTTCATTATAGTCCCCACAGCAATCACGTTTTTTATCGTTTGTCGGGTGGACACCCACATGCGCATTTACTTTCGACAATGGCTCTCCCCACCAGCACCTGCAGTGATTGAGCCACTGATCCATGACGGTACCTGCTTCAAGCATCTCTCCAGTGATTACCAACAAGGCCAAGGTCTGCATCACTACAACTTTATACCCGGCCACCGTCTCCAAGACGACACTTGTTTTGGCTTTGCTTCGACTGTCCGACCGTCTCCTCAGATCCCCTCACACGACACCATTTTCCACACCCGCTTTGACAAGAACCACTTTGGCCCAACCGAGCTGGCGACTGTCAAATCATTCTTGGCGACCCAAAACAGTACCACCACGCGACTGGTCGTGTGGGCCGACAGTACCCAAGAATCCCTCTTGGCATCCCCTTACTGGCAACACATTGAAAGCAATCCTCGGATTGCGGTCCAAGTGGTCGCCACGGCGAAAGAAAAGCAGCAGCAGCAGCAGCAGCTGGAGCTGATGCCATTATTAGCGCTTGCTCAGTACGGCGGTGTATGGTTTGAGCCGTCCGCCTTTTTCGTACGTGAACTGACCCCGTTGTTGGAACTGGATTGGATTGCACAAGGCGATTGTTTCTCGAGTGTCGAGGGCAATCCGTTCTCACAGACTGGTATGCTGCATTTCCGACAAGACTCGCCGTATCTGTGTGAAATGCTTGCCGAGGCCAAGGCGTTGCAGAAGGATCAGAAAAAGGTGGAGCTGCCCATGTTGTATTATCGCATCTATCAGCGGGTGTTGCGGAATGGGTTCAAGCCGTGGGCGATCGTGCCATGGTGCTATACAGCGCCTTCGCAGTGTAAGCACTCGAACAGTTTGCAAAGCCCGTTTGCTCGTGGTGAGGAGGTGAACCGCAGGTGGCTCGACAGTGTCTTTGCCTACTATTGGCGCGATCCAGCACCGGACGAGCCGTCTGGAGATATCTATGAATATCTCGAGGCAAAGTATGACCTATAATCTGGGCTTTAGAAAAAGGAAACGCTCACTACTTGTAATTATATCCTTGTTCCTAATAAATAAATACAATGCTTTAACACAAAGACCCACTAATCCATTGTGATGACACCGTTATTTTTTTGTGTTATAGCCTGAGAACTGGCGTACTGTTTGTGTGATACAGGGTTCAAATGAAAAAGTTCACATTAAGCAAAAACTTGGTCCAAAATTTCCTCCAAGTAGGATACACAGTAATATACATCGGTATAGGTATTGTACAATGGGGTAGGCGCAATACGAATGACAGTAGGCTTGCGCTCGTCACAAACAACGCCGCGCGACTGCAAGGCATCAAAGATGGTCAACATCTTTTCAGGGAAATCCAAAGAAAGCTGGCAACCACGCTCCTCTGGATTGCTTGGGGTCAAAATCTCAAAGTGACCAGCTTCCATATGTTTTTTCTGAAGCTTGGTTATCAAGAGGTATTCAAGATACGCGGTCAAGCGCAAGGATTTCTCACGCAGTTTGGGCATGGTAGCGCTCTCAAAGAGCTCCAAGGAGCCCATCAAGGAGGCCACGTTGATGACACTTGGGTTACTGATTTGGTATCCAGAGGCACCTTCACTCGGTCGAAACAGGGGAGCCATATCGAAACGGTTTGTCTTATCGTTGCCCCACCAGCCTGCCAAACGTGGCCGTTTCTTGTCGTTGAAGTGGTTTTCATGGACAAACACGCCGGCAATATTACCGGGACCCGAGTTCAAGTATTTGTAAGTGCACCAGCAAGCAAAGTCAACTTGCCAATCGTGCAATTTCAATGGCACGTTACCCACAGCATGCGCCAAATCCCAGCCTACTACGCAGCCCTGATGTAAAGCACAAAAAAAAAAGATATCCCGTTCGAATCGTTGAGTTCTTTTAACTAATTTCGGTGATTTTCTTTTTGTTCTTTCGCGTCCGGCTGTGTGTTACCTGATCATGGCCTGCTTTAGTGATCTTTTCCATTTCAAAAAACTGACCAGTGTAGTACTGGACACCACTCAATAAGACAAGGGCAATGGCATCATCCTTTTGAATGGCCTCGATAATATCCTCTGTGCGTAACGTGGCTTCCCCTTGTCGAGGAGCAATGGTTACCAAGCATACGGAAGGGTCGTAACCGTGTAATTGAATCTGGGATGTCACAGCGTACTATATGGTATGATGATCACCGTGGTAATAAATAATAATAATAATAATAATGAGTGGGGTATTCTATGAAAGCTGCACCACTTTGAATTTTCCCACGCCACGGCCTTAGGGCCCCTTCTTTACATGATCAGATGGGAAAGCCTTGGCTTCGATGATGATCTTGAAACGTTCAGCGGTGGGTCGATAAAATGCAGCCATCATGGCATGCAAGTTGGCTGTCAAGGTTCCCATAGCGACGACTTCGCTCGTCTTTGCGCCAACGAGATGGGCAAAGGTGCCCCTGACGTTTTCCTCAATAGGAGCCCAGGGACGGCTACGAGGATGGTCCCAATGGCCCATAACACCACTAGCATAATTGTGTATGTTTGAGATTAAAACACAAAACTCTATGATTACGACGGCGTCTTACCGAGTAGCCCAAACGTCTAATTCTTCCTTGACAAGTTCGCTAGACCGTTTTGGCATCAATCCAAGCGAATTGCCACATAAATAAACACAGGGTTCATCAAGTTGAGAAGCTATACACACAGTGACAGCAGAAAAAAATAAAAAAGAGAAATACACCAAGGTACCGAGGTTAAAAAGAGGCTGAACATTGCTCATTTTTTCCCCATTATCGACTTGCCATTGTGTGGGTGCGCACCAGACACATTGCGTTTAACAGGAATGGCGAACTCGTTGCGGTATTTCGCTAAAGCGTCGTCTTTATCCAGGTGCTCTGCAAATGCGAGCGACTGAGGAGATTGGCCTACGGTGGAAGAAAGCTCGTTGAATTGGTCAATTACAGAACTTGATGGCATTGTGGGTAATTTCAAAAAGAAGAGAACAAAACGAATGTCTCGGTTGAAACCAAATAGAGGTTATTTATTTTTGTTCTCGCGAGTTGAGCGGGGATTACCATGCTATGCAAGTTGTGTATATATCACGAACAATGCATGTACGCAGTAACGATCCCAAAGTACTCTATGAAGCGCGCGTTTTTTTCTTTGCAAGGGACATACTCTCGAGCAGTAAAAGTAAGAGGCCATCTTATATAATATATTCTGCTTTCTCGCTATCGATTCCATCGTCAAAGGCAAATATATAGAACGATCTTTATAACAGAACGCGATTAAATTTTATGCATCATCATCTGGATCTATGCGAACTTGACAATTGTCTTTAATGACCTCCTTTGCACCACTATCACGTTACCAGAAAAAAGACTCATGTACTTTATGATGTGATCTTTTGGAACTATGCAACAGCACACAGACACAGATGCACTTTGAGCTATGCAAAACAAATATGCACCGGGTTAGTGATGGTTCTTGTTATTGCTTATGGGTGCTCTATGTAGCCAGCGTGAATCACCTCATCCGTTATCGCTTTCGATCCTAATTGAATAATACGATTTTCTGTATTGTTGCATCATTTATATTACCAAGTGAACAAGCAGCAGTTGTCTCTGTTTACACTTGCAAAAATACAGGAGCTTTCGCCTGAAAGGAAAGGACGATTTACATGGCACATATGCTATTGAGTCCTTTTTTATCAATGTGATTTTGCTATACGAACAATTGTAAGTAATGATACATACTGGACAAATCGAATCTGTATGCAACGACTACGTGGAACATAACAGATATACACACTCTCCGTACTTCAACTGATGCCACTGAAGAGATAGCTAACGACGACAACGACAAAAGCATCAGTGCCTTACAGAAGATAGTTATAGCGCTTCTGTTATACAGCGTCATTCGTTGCCAAACAAATAGTCTGTTAAAATGCCATGATCTATCACTTTTGCAGCAGGTATCCTCTAAACAGGTTGCACCTTTTGCATGCATGTGTCTAAGTCCGTTTAAGCCCTCCCCCCCCATCACTCTATCACTGACATCAAGGTTCTGCCCCCTCCTTCCTTCCTTCCTTCCTTACATCATGTAATGCTTTTTTTTTTGTTTGCGTCACTGAATCAATAGCATCGCCATCATCCATCGTGGGACCATTCGTCCTTAAAAACACATTATTCTTATTGCAATATTCGACTCTCTAACCAATTGACAACATATCAACGTAAGCATATGTGTGTAAAATGTCCAAGCACAGCATATGTGCGGTATAGTAAACCCGTGGATGGCCATGCTTTGAGCACAATGAAACGCACAACACATTGAGGGTTTTACAGACAGCAGTTCCATGAGATTGGATTGGATGGAAATGCGTGGGAACTGAGACCAAAAAAAAAGACCGCTCAGATCAGGTACCATCGTCTGCCAGACGAGTTGCTATTTTACTAGAAACGGTTATTAATGTAATGCCTATTTTATGCTAATGCTTATGGTTAGCAAGGTTTTACCAGTGCATCTCCGAATGAAAATTACAACGCATTCTAGACAGGCCACGCTGTGCAATGTGGTGTGAGAAAACAATGCAATTTGCTGCTCGTTGTTTTTTTTTTGGGGGGGAAGGGGAGGAGGAGGTGCTTTGCGAAGGTTAGCGGGGTTGATATGCCTGTCGCTCTTTTTTTACCACCTTGTCAGATAAAAAGACGGACTTTAAGAGATGTACAAAATGTAGTGGGGCATGGGGGGTTATTGACGTAATGGATAGTAGAAAAAAAAAATGAGCGGCTGTCAATCGCCGAGTGAAAATTGAGTGCCTTTTGTTTCTGTTTGAGAGAGCCTTGGCAATTGCTCTGTAGAAAAAGACATGCGATCTAAAATCCGTTTATAGGGAGAAGTATTACTGGGTTTTGGGGGTGTGTGTGAGTGATGGATAGAGGAGTAAGTGCAGAGAGAGCTCTTCTTGATGGACTGTTGCACCACACATGATTTATCCTTAAAGCGGAAGGGCCAAGATCCATGTTGTGGACTGAGGGCGTATCATTATTCCATGATTGTTGTACAAGTGGGCACAAGTGGGCACAAGTGGCTACGGGGAAAATTTAGAGCTAACGAGGGTGGTTTCGCTGTGATGAAAAAGCCGGGGTTCTTTTCCGTGTCACTTGAAACTTTTTTTTTTTCTTTATTTCTTATTTAAACAGAGTCCCAATTTTCACGATTCTTCTTTCTACAAATTTACACTTACTCCTCTTTCTTTTCTTTCTGAATAACCCATCGCCTCATCATCATCATCATCATCATCATCATCCAACCCACAAAGACACCAATGACAAACCAAGGCTGCCAAACGCTCTATCTCTGCAACCTCGACCCACGCGTTGACGAATCGATGCTGCAAGCTGTTCTGTCCACAATATCACCCGTCGACTACGTCCAAATGGAGCAGAACTCGGGCTGTTATAGCGTAAGCGGATAGAAACTACACCTAGTACACCATCGCCACTTTGCCACGCACATACACACACACACTCTCTCTCTATCTCTCAAAAACAACCCACGTACACCCATCAAACGTTATCTTGATTGGGGACGAGCGAAGGCTACACACCTACAAGATATCTTATCCATATCTTCCATGACGAACATCTGTGATTGGCCCCCTGCATCTAATCGAACTCTGGGAACTTCTCACTTGGGTTACGCGAAAACGAACTAAAATTCAAATCTTCTTTTTTTCTCATTATGAAAGCTCGCCGACGGTGATACATGTCGTCATGCTTATATTCATTTCCACGATCACCACGGCGCCGCTCAGGCTTATTTGGCTATGGATGGTCGGTCACTCTTTGGAAGAGTATGTATCACTACTTTTCTTTTGTTGACCCGGAACATTTTCCGTTCATTCTTGGGGCCATCTCTCTCTCTCTCTCTCTTGTAACTCGTAACTCGTAACACAATGACTGGGAGACTCACACAAACATTTCCCCCCATTATTTAGAATGTCGTCGCCAAGTGGAAAGAACCCCAAAGCCAAGCTCACTTTTCTATTTATATCCGACCGGCAAAGATCACCGACGCCGCGACCTTGCTTGAACCATTCAAGGAGAACCTATCGTACGTTATATGACTTCTTTTCATTGCTTTATTTATGCGGAACGCACGATGACGTGGCGCAGTCCCCTTTACCATCTCATTAACATACCTAATATACTCTACCTTACTTATACAGAAATGTACGCCCACTCTGGCACGAGACCACAGGCAAAGCAACCGATGCTTCTGTTGCCAGTTTTACAGACAGAGCAGCAGCGGAGTCAGCGGTGAACGCACTCCAAGGCAAACAATTACGAGGAGCCATACTCGACTGCCACATGGAAACCTTGCCAAGCTTTGTACACCACGAGTTACACAGCAAAGCCGATGAGGATTCTTCGTCGAACGATGGGGATGAGGATACCTGCTATGAACACATCTTTACCAACGCACCTTTACACGTGACAACCGTTAAAGTGAGCAAGCTTCCTCATGGTGTGACCAGTAAGTATTATGAGACACGCTGTTGTCTATCGTCACCAATGTACTCACTCTTCTATCTAATGTAGAACAATCAATCGTATCCAATTTCCAACAGTATGGCTATGTATCGCACGTTCATCTGCAGACCGCCGACACATATCGAAAAGGCCATGCTTTGGTTAGGTAAGAAAGACGAGATAGATTTGAGAAAGTAACAATACAACTAACACAATTCATCATCTAGCATGGACACACACGCAAATGCTGCCATGGCCCTCTTCTCCTTGCAAAAACTCAAACTGGAGGGTCGATCTGTCTCCGTCAAATGGCACCGCTCCTCATCCTCTTCCTCCACCTTGCCATCGTCATCCGTCACTACTTCCCAACAACAACGCGCGCACGACTACCTATCGCCTGTAGAGGAAGCCAACAAGAGATACACACTGTCACCCTTCTTCGACCACCACCATCCCCACCATCACCTGCAACAAAAGAACACGTTTTTCCCTACCGGCTCCCCACAAAAGGTGCAGCTAGAGATGCCAGGACTGAACTCTTACAACGTGCAGCCCATGTGGTCCGCTTCCGGTATGCCCGCCCAAGAAAGTGATGTCCATCATGGAAGCAACAATCACACGTACCAATATTATCACGGAAACGCTTTCAATTTGTAAAACCTCCCTTTTCTGGATTCTTTTCCTAGATTTCCGTCAATACCCCACAAATTCACAACTCCCACCTCACCCCCCCACACCATTCAGCATATTTTCCATGATACCTTTTTTAGGCATACTGTACGTTTGCCAGACCGTTTCTTCCTTGTATCACATTTCTCTTTTTCCTTTTTTTTACTTTCTTGTATATACGGCATATCGGTTTTTCTCCTTTTCAAATCGACCTTTCTTTCTTTCTTTCTTTCACCCCCCCCACCTCTCATCAATAAACAAATAAATCTATGCATCAGTTTTTCCAATATCATAATTTATATATGCCGTCATACTGTAATATGCATCGATGCGTCCATATCCGATAGATCATTACCATCATCAGATATCGGCACTATGCCGTCATTTAGATTTTGTCCCCTTCCATTTCATTATCTAAAAATGTGAACTGTCCTATACTGGTACCCTCAGTATGAACTTCTCGGGTTTCTGCTAAAGCAAAATCAGAGTGTTTACGAAAGAGTTTTGTTTCTTTTTTAAAAGAAACAATAATGTTTTTTACGCTTTCAGGGGAATTTCAGATATCTCGCTTTCCATAAAGTATGATACAAGCAAAATCTAATAAAAGGCAAGATATCTCCAAATGTTTGAGCAAGATTCAGAAAAGGTAACACTCGTGTGTCTCTTTACACTATACAGTCACTCCATATCCTTGAATGTAAACCACAATGGATTCTAAAACTAAGGATCAAGGTGGAATGACTCATGCGTCGCGTCGTTGGTGGAGAGGTGTTGGATAGCTGCTTCAAGTATCTGTTACATATCGACATAGGAACGCTCGATGTTGTTGGCTGTAAACCTACAGCTTACGTTTGCTTAACTTCCGACCACTCACAGCCACCGCTCGTTTTATATGTTTATGCTTATGCACGGAGATATCTGAATCCCCCTCCTTATATTATCAAATAAGCATACAGCTTCGCTAATGTGTTGTACGAGTACCTAATAGACTGCAAGACGGTGGTCCTTCAGCTTCTGCTATAAATTTGCTTGCAATGCATTATTCAAAAGATGTCACTACATCAGGTCAATATATATCATTTATGTACTGTACGCATCGCGGTATGCTTTCTATTGATGTTACGTAATAGAGTAGTTGGTCTCTGATTCAACACTTGAAGAAAATGAAATTTCTTCACCATATGCATATGTATAATAGTAAAAGGTACAGTTTATTGCTAAAGTGGTGATACTAAATGGGAAAGACATAGAATGTACGTCTAAGCTTTAGCATAGAAGGGGTAATCGGTATAACCTTCCGCTCCTTGAGCGTAGAAGGTGTCTCTTTTGTACTTGTTTAAAGGCCAATCATTCTTGAGTCGGTCAACCAGATCTGGATTGGCAATGTATGCCCTACCGACAGCGACTAAATCGCCGGTTTCCTTGGCTCTAGCAGCAATGGATTCTGGGTGGGTCGTATACCCACCTGCCGAAATAAACGGGCCTTGCCAAATGTCGCGGAACGGATCCAGCGAGTTTACCAAGTCTACTGTTTCGCGTATGAAATCGTCTCGGGGTTCCACAAAATGAACATAAGCGATGCCTTTGGGGTTCAATTGTTTCAATAAATAGCTGTAGGTTTCGTATGTTGTATCTCCGTCAGTTACATCCCCTTCTTCCCCGCCCCACGGCGATAACCGAATGCCCGTGCGTTCTGCACCAACGGCTTCAATGACTGCATCTACCACTTGAAGCGCAAAGCGAGCTCGGTTGGGAATGGATCCACCGTATTCGTCCGTACGCTGGTTGGCTGATGAGCTGAGAAACTGGTGAATGAGAAACCCGTTGGCGCCATGCAACTCGACACCGTCAAATCCTGCCTTGATTGCATCCTTTGCTGCTGTCGCATATTGCTGAATGATATCTTGGATATCGTCTTTGGTTGTCTCACGCGGGACCTCGTATGGTTTGCCTGTGAAAGCGTTGATGCGATCGACAGCCGCGATGGGTGACGGTGCGAGGGGTGGTTTGTTATCAAGATAAAGCGACGATCCAGCGCGGCCACCGTGCCATATTTGGGCAAAAATATAACCTCCTTTTTCGTGCACTGCTTGGGTGACCTTGCGCCATGCTTCAATTTGCTGCTCGGTATAGAAACTTTTTTTCATACCAGAATAAGCACTCCCCTCCCCTCGTTGTATCATTATTTTTTTCTTGTCCGAAATAAAAAACAATCCATGTGCTTTTTACCCAGGAACATGTGGAAACCCTCCAGCCTTATCTGATATCTTGCCACCTTCGGTAATTAAGAGCCCACCGGGATTGGCACGCTGGCGATAGTATTCAACTACAAGCTCTGTAGGGACATTGTTTTCGTCGTTTCTGAGTCTTGTCATCGGTGCAAGCACAACACGATGCTGTAGCTGGACGGCGCCGACTTTGATGGGCTCAAAAAGTGTCATAAAGTAAGAAAGTAGTAGCAGAGAGGAAACGTATTTCTATAAACTGGTATTCATTCATTTAGAACATCCCCCACTTTATATACAAAACAGAAGTTTAATAGTTCTTTCATCGTGACTTTGCTAGAGATATGAATAGATTGGGTCTGGTCCGTTGCTCTTTTTGATGAGCTGGTGTATTAATAAGCAAACGATATTTTCCTCTGTTTTCTACTACTAGAATCTTTATATTAATAAGCAAACGATGATTTTGCCCGTTATCTACTATAGACATGTTATTAATAATCAAAGGTGGGGTCACTTATTTCTGTACAATTATGATACCTAAGATATATATTCCTTTTGCCACAGTTTGTAGCCACAAAAGTGTAATAACAGCCCAGTCAGGCAATTAATAGAGTATTTTCTTTTTTCAGCAGTGACAGTCATCAAAACAGATATTCTATATACTTTCTGTACCGATATACACGTCCATGTCTGATATCACAGAATGAAAACGCTCTGAATTATTTCGTGAATAGTCTCCTAGTATACCGATATAAGATGCTTACCATCGCGGGACTCGGACAAACAATAGACGTATGCTTCAAATAAGGCTGCGTACAACATGGTTTTACCCTTGATAGATACAACGGAAACGGGTGTATAATAATGCCGAAACTACACACTAGAGTAATTTTGCTGCGCCCCACAGAAATTTCAATACAGTGCTGGGTTTCCGACGGCAGAGAAATGGGCAGCATGATCGACGGTCATTATAACCCTTTCATCAGTCGGAAACACCATATAAGTAAATCAACATATTACGCCGAAGCAACTAGGCAGCTACGTAGAAATTTTGCAGCTGACTAACAGTCATAACTTTATCATACCGTCATTGCCATGGGCGACTCAAAGATGCATGTGGCAATCTGCATTGTATATATGTATATGTGTATAGCATGATGTGCCACTCAAATTATTCGCAGAGATTACGCGACGGACATAATGCGAGGAAGATAGCTAATATGATAGAAAGGTCATTCTTCGTCTGTAAGCGCGAGGGAGAAGTAAACGCTATACAGAAAGTAATACCATCCTCCTAGTAAGCATAACAACAGAAATAATGATAACAGATTAAAAACTACAATTTACCCATCATTGATTAAAAAATACCGTTTCTATATTGGTTTCCGATGCTGCTTAAAAAGGGGAAAGTGCCAACAATGATAATGACTGATCCTTCAACAATCACTCGCTTTTGCGCATCACTTTCCGTATATGAAGACATACGAAAGCGCCTGTGACCTTGGTTAAAAATACGTATAATACGTGTAACCAAAAAATAAAACTGTAGCACTATATAAGTACATGAGGATGGCTAAGAGTATAATTATCAAAGAATATAAGTAAGCACACGTCAATGACTGCAATACCGCACAGCAATGAGATGGCAAAGCGATGCTTGCATGAAATAAGGTATAAAGTTGCCCGTTGCTTTTGGGTGTCCAATGCCATCGAGAATTGAGCATGAATACTTGCTATGGGCCAGTAGTTTTCCGCTTGGCTGCTATCCTAATAAAGTGATCAGCACGCACAAAACTTGATGTAGCTAATCCATTTTGCTGCATTCCCGCCATTTAACTTAACGCAGTTTGCTCTATACCGTTTTTGCTGTTGCATGTAAGCTCATCGAGTTCGGCCATGATATAAAATACGTGCACACCAAAGGCGCCACTTTTTCATTTGGAAAAGAAACTTCTTTGTTCAGTTTATCTGGCTACATTGATTTATCTATAATATTCGCCGGATAGATTTGTAAACAGAAGCGCGAATTCAAGATACAGAGTTTCGAGAATTTGCTAAACAAAACGATCGTCGTTTCAATTGAATTCTATATACTCTATGTACCCAATTTATGCAAGAGGTGTATACCGTGAGCGAAACAAAAAAAAATTGATACAGACTTTTATGGCTAGAAGCAGAATAAAAATGATAAAGAATATGTATGTGACAATAACAACATCAGGAGCATTCTTTCGTAATATTTGTCAATAACAGTGCACACTTATTCAAACCAGTGCGGGTTCTTTAGCTATTGTTACAGTTATCGGTCTCTCTTATCATACACGTTTCAGTTGTCTTCACGGAAAGAAAAAGTATTTTGCTATCTGCATAAGAAGGGCGTGAACTTGCTATCGGACACTAGACAACGGAATAATATATATCCAGTATTGCATCTGTCACACCCTTTCATTCTTCTAACATGCATACAATAGTAGCATCAGTCCTCGACTGTTCTAGTATGTACACAAGTTCATACCAGCAAATTGTTTGACGGTGTTTAATACATGGTCGGGAACAACAATGAAGACTTTTATTCATACTTACAAATAAACTAACACGCAGTCAAAAGAGATCAATATACTGACATTTGAGAAGTGTATATCCTAATGACAGATTATGTGTGTAATACGAATATATGCCACTTTTTTTTAGTAGAGACTAGTTTACAAACATGGTGCCTATATCTAAGGTCATTACGTGTAGTTATGTAAGAGAGGTATATGACCCGGTCACTTGCATATCATATCATTCAAACCATCTGTTGTAGTATTCTTTTCTAATTTCGATTTAAACTATGTTATATAGCTATTATGTTCATTTGTCAGATGGAAAGCTCACGCGTTCTTCCAGACCCTCTTCTATAACCACAACAGCAATGCATATCAATATGCACATTAATAGTATACTTTTTTTACTTTCCTTTATGTACATATCTGAATCTTATAATACCCGAAGACTCGCGTACTACATAATACAGAGGACATGAGGACTGCATACCTAGAATTATAGAGAGAAGAGTGTGAAACGCCTTACTTATAATTAACTATTTTGTGCATACATATCATTAGCTTCTGAATGAGTTGAGTATTATTTACAGTAGCATGTACTCGTGGGATAGTAAACAATAAGATAATGAATCCTTAGCGAAAGAGGTAGATAAAGACAAGAACAGACAGTCATTGGTAGAGACGACCTTTTGGTATATACATAAAAAGGATGACCCTTAATATTCCAATTTGAGTAAAAAGGGTAGAGCTAATGGAGAAAGAGGGCGGAATATCACATAAAATAACATAGAGTGTACATAAGAAAAGTATGATGCCGGTGACGCTATCTATTGTCATGCAATTTGTTTTTCCCGTCTCCGTTCCCGTTTAAGGAGTGGCGGAGGAGAAGAAACAGAGCGACAAGGTAGCAGAGGAAGACAGTTACCAAAGAACCTGTTTCATCCTTTCTCTTCCACACTTTTCTCCGTCGACTTAGCATCACATTTGTCTCCTGATACACTTACTTTTCACGTCTTGTACGTGATGGGCTTACTTAAAGCTTTGTATGATCATTAGATCACGCCGAAATTTCAAGGACGCGCATTATGCATGAAAGGAAGAAGTGTCTGATCCAACAGCAAACTTCAATCATTATTTATCTGTTAAAAATAAAAAAGCACAAGGTAGTTGCACGAGAGCCAGGGGACAGGAAGATTTAAACTAGGAAGGAGATGCAAGGATAAGGGGGAGAAGGAGGGCGAGTTCAGACAGGTTCGGCCTTGTATGTGTGTTATCGGGATGATCATTTCGGAAACCCTGAATATATCTACAGATACTGAAAGGCATGATGAAAGCTGTGTATTACGTATGTTTCTTAGTATTATAAAGAGGCAGATCGAGAGAAATGGTAAACGTTCTGCATGTATCATAAACCGAAATAGGTGTTATATACGCACAAAGCACGGCTGAATTTTTCTTATATAGCACAGGGGTACACATCAACAGCTCTCCCAAGGGTGGGAATAAAGAACATGTCTGGGGAAACTTGAAAGTGAGCGGTTTTTTTAGTGAGGTGTTGTTGGCTTCCTGGCTTGCAGCAAAAATTTGGCGGCAAGTTTTTACTAACTCCACATTCGCATCGCATATCTAAATTTAACCCGTAAACACCACAAGCACCTCTGCTTCCACAAGCTGCATCGTGCCGTTATGATAGCTAAGAAAAAATCAGCTCATACGGTCACTCGGATTAACAACCGCATAAAAGTATGATGAGTATATATACTCGTTCGATAAAGAATATACACAAACCGCCATGTGGGCACTCTCCATTTTTTGTATTTTTCTCTAATACAGCAGATCTGTAGACAGTAGACATGAAGTGGAAGAGATCGGTGCAAAGACGAACAGACACGTTTAAAGGGTCATCTGCGATTTTGGTTTTTTAAGTTGCGCGCGGTGTTACAGCACTCTCGGAAAACAAGGTTGCTTGTCTTGCTTTCCTCCTATAACTTTGATCCTCCTACTCCTGGTCTCCACTCACACACTCTCTCTATCTTTGAGCTTTACTCGTGCTGAAGAAGAAGAAAAAAACTAAACATACGTGATGAATTGTCGAGTATCTTTTGTATATGCATCAAGTAGTTCCTAGCAGCTACTACTACTACTACTAGTATTCTACGTAGCATTTCTTTTCAAAGAATATAAATACATGTGCCCTCTCCTTTTCTTCTTCTCTTCCTTTTGATTTCTTTTTTATTCGCGTTAATTTCAAACCCACTCCTACTACTTTCTTCTACAACGATACATTAGCGTCTCTTTTCCTTTTTCTTACTACCAGCAACCATGACAACCCAGGAAACCGAGCAACAACAACAACAGCAACAACCCGTTACCACGGAGCCCACCACTACTACTGAAACCCAGAACGAGCCCACTGCTGCTGACGCTGCTACACCCGCTGCTGCTGCTGAAGAGAGCAAAGACAATGATGCTCCAGTAGATGTAGCAGAAGCAGCCGCTACTACTACTACTACTACTGAACCTGCACCAGCAGCATCAACCAGCGCTGCTGGAAAGACGAAGCGCTTGAACTTGTTCAATCCTTTCAAGTCCAACAAAAAAGAGGAAGAAAAGAAGGAGGATAACAAAGAAGAATCGGCTCCCGCCGCTGATGCACCAGCTGCTACCACTGAACAGCAGCAAGAAGAACCAGCAGGACCGGTAGAAGAGAATGCTGCATCCTCCAAGCCAGCAACAGCTACCCAAGAAAAGCGCAAGTCAAAGGGATTCGGTAGCCTTTTCTCAAGCATCAAGGTATGATGATGATGACAGATAAATGATGAGAGGAGATCTCACCGATAGAAAAACAAACATGCATGTACTAAAAGAAATCATTGCATTAGTCCATGGCGCCCAAGTCTCCTCCAGCTGTTTCTGCTGAGGGTGCTTCCTCACTTGATACTCAGCAGCAGCAATCAGGTCAGGCTAGTAATGCTGGCAGCGGTGAAGCTCAGCCTGTCGAACTTCCCAAGATTGAGCAGCTGCAGCCTATCGAAACTTCCGCTGTAGTTGAAGGCACCCGCGATAAGGTCAAAGAGACTGCTACTTCAGCAGCAGAAGGAACTGCAGAAGTTGCTAATGAAACAGCTCATAAAGCTGTCGATGCTGCCGCCACTGCTGCCGATCAAGCAGCATCGCCTACTACTGAAGCAGCAGTAGCCGCTAGCACGAGTCCCAAGCGCCAATCGTTGATCAACAAGTTCTTTGGTACCAAGAAGAAGGAAACCAAAGAAGAAGAGCAAAAACCAGCTACCGGTAAGTACTTAAATCCAGACTTATCAAGGTGTTTTTGACATTCAAAGCTCAAAGAGCTTTACGAGTACTGACGTAACAATCTCTTAATGTGATCTAAGCAGAGGAACCCAAGCAAGAGCAAGAGCAGCCGGAAGAAAAAGAAAATAATGAGAAGGAAGCTTCTCGCCCATCGTCGCCTCTTGGTCGTCGATTGACAGACTTTTTCAAGCTCCCGAAAAAGAACCAGGCTGCTGCAGCAACTGAGGAAGGAAACAATACTGCTACTTCTCCTACTGCTGACCAGGACAACAACAACCAACAAGAAGCACAAGCACATGAAGAAGAACTGCGACGGGAACCTGAAGCGGAGGCTCCACGCGACGCTCCTGAATCGAATACCACAGCTACTGCACCCACTCCAGCTCCCACGCCTATTGCAACTGCATAAGCGATTTTCGCCTTCTCTTTTCTTTTTTCTATCCATTTTTTTCTCTAATGATTAACGTTACTGATTACGATTATGTATCGGTGGCAAAGTAGCTATTTCTTTGCACCTCCTCTTATTGTTTTGCTACGAGTCCTCTAGCTTTTATTCTTCTTTTTCTTTTGATACTCTAATAATATGTTCCTTACCTTTTCTCTTTATTTCCGATAACTTTGATCGAGCATTAAGATACAAACAAGAAATATATCTTATACAGTCTTACATAGCGTACATCATTAGTATCGCTGTCGCTGTCGTTCTTACATGAATTGTTGCATATGTGGTATAGTATCTTTTGCCTCTCTGTATCGAACGTTTTTAAAGCCATTATATATACGCATAGTTGCTCATGATAATCTATTTCTCTCTTTTGTCCTTGTCCCTCCCTTTCATGATCCGAAGTCAAGGTCATGTACATAGTGTACTTGTAAGGTATTGAATAAGTCCTTGTGTATTAGTGTAATGTAGATGTACAAATGAATAAATGTATAGATGTATAGAGTATAAATGCATGTGCAGCCGTAAACGTTCCGAAGAATCTTTTTCTTTCTTGTTTTTCTTGCTTTGATAGTTATATGCTGCTAGTCTGCAAGGTTACTGCCTCAAACCAGCAACGTCTTGTGTGTAGTTATGACTTGAAAAGATCTTGGAGCGTGTTTAATGATTGAGCGGTATACGACGGAAGATGTACTTTAACATGGCGTTACAAGCGCAGCTGCTCATCTCGCTAAGATTCTTTTTTGTTGAATATTCCAAGTAAGAGAAGATGCATATTGACCGGCGCTTCTTTCGTCGTCCGTCATGCAGCATGGACATGGTCTGCATATGCTCGATCTCTTCGTGTCTGCACTGAATCGCACATTTTGAGCAGCTGTTTACATTTTTTGTGTTAATAAATCTGCTGGATACCATGCATAAACACACATTCCTCTCTCCTCAATCTCCTCTCGGACTTCAATGGCTTACAATTGGATCTCCAAGGTTTTGAGCAAACGCAACTTGTTTCGCCAGGATCTTATCCACACGCTTGAATCGATGCAACTGGATCAAATCCTCTGCATAATACAGCCAGCACTTCGATTCTAGAACCGGATCCTTTAACCACTGTGCGAACTTGATCTGTTGTATTGCCAAGGAGCCAGCCTTGTATGCCTGAAAAAAAGTTTAGTTATCTTTCACGTAAACATGTTTCCTAGATTATCGGTGATACTTACATAATTGGCATTCGCCTTACTAAGTGAGCTATATGCGCCACCTAAAACAGAATAACATACGCCTGTAAATGAAATCATATTGGCCCTTGAAGCCAGTGCCCACATCCGCCGAGACCTATAGAGTAATATGACCCCAATTGATTTGTCAGGGATTCGCACATACTATCCATGCAAGTGCACCTTCTTATTTTACGGTGACACTTGTTTTCCCCAACCTGTTTCCTTTCCTTTTATATTTATTTTACCATGATAAACTGGGTAATTGGCATGCCCTGCACATATAATCGTCCTTGAGTCCAATGTCAATAACAATAATGATTTTCGTGGATGGTTTTGGATCCTTGTCATCATTTGTTATCGTTGGATAAGTTTGTTGTGATTCTAATGGAAAGCTTGCAAGAAGTAGTTTGGCTACTTTTAACTGCTTTTCCTGTTGTTGTTTTTGTAGCAACGACGTTAATAACGATTGTGGCTGTCGTTGTTGCAGTGGTTGTAACCGTGCCCATACGGCTTCCACGGTTTGATAATCATGACAATACACAGTGCCATAGATCATGCACTTTACACTTTTCGAGCGGTAGCCTCGAGCGTTAAGTGAAATCACGGAGCAAAATTCCGATGGTTGTCTTGGATGGGGAAATCGTAAAAAAATCGGCGTGGAATCTATAAAGCATAATAACAACGATCAAAGTGCACGAGTTGAGTTTGGTAATTCTACAATCCATAAACAAGAACAGAACACGATGCCGTGACATATAAGAACAGTGGCGAAACCTTGATATAGGCAGCGAGGTGCTTGTGATTTCCGACAATGAGATTCAATTTGTAAAAGTTGATTGAGTGAAAAGACGGTATCAAAGTGTGTTTGCATGGGGGGCAGATCTATGCGGTTTTTACGTGTTTCACGCTTTTATAAAGAAAAGAATCCTGCTACTGCAATATCACTCCGCTATTGTTGATTGTTGCCAACTTTCAGGCACCACATTTTGTTACTCTTGCAACTTGCTCTACGTTGATCGGGATAATCTTTCTTAACCTACCTAAGCCCTGGAAATCAACATGATCGTTTAGTAAAACTAAGATTGGAATCTACGCACTCATATCATATAAATCAATCCATAACTTGATCATAGCACGAGCACGGTGATTTCTGTACATGACCCACAGTTTAGGTATATCCCAAAATCTCGATGCTTTTCAGCGCCACAATTTGCCTTACACTGTATACATGCCTTCTAACAGCTGACAAATGCAATATACACTTTTTGTGATCCTTTGTAATAAATTCATGCCTTTTATTCAACTTATTTTGGTACTTGTTGTATACTTGCTTTTAGTGACATTCATAAACCTGGTTTGTCTTTCCAAACACAAGCGGAGTAAACATTGCTTACGCCCCTTTTCTTAGCGGAAGTGGCACCTGGGAACTGAGCTTGATAGCAGACAACGACTTGTTTTTTTTGGTTCCCTCCTTAATACATGTTTCGTTGCTTCCAATTGATCCACAAACTCCAGCTAATGGGCGTCCCAGCTACGAAGCATGCAACAGTATCTGAAGTTGTAAAGCTGAATACCAACGCTACTTCCCAAATCACATTTTGTCGTCGTAGAGCGACCGATATCCGGCATTTACAGACAACGGCTGTTGCTGCTGGCCGTCCAAAAGGCAAAAAACGCGATCCACAGAGTGATCCATCTCCCTCACCACGACGACGACAGATACAACGAATTGACAGTCATGCTAACAGTAGTGCTACTACTGCCAAAACTGATGGAACGATTATAGCTAAAGAACGGTTCGTTTATGTTCTTATATTGTTCTGTTTATCGTGTTAACTCATAAAAAAAAGATACGTCCTATTCTAAAATGGCGGCTTGTCAGACAGGAAGTGGAGGAGCTTGAGGAGCTGAAGGATCAAACAATAACAACTGCTGCTAATGGCAACGATAACGAAAAATCTGTTCCTAAGACGACGAAAAGGAAACTGCCTAAGACGTTATTACAGCTAACACCACAAACGAACGACGATCAAGTATTCAAGCCGGATTTACCGAACATTAAATATCCACAGCACTATACTGTATCATGTTCATCCGATCCGTTTGAAATGAATACGCGGTTAAGAACTCTGCTAAGGTATGTGATCTAATAGATAAAACTGATTGGAAGTGAAAAAGGATAAAGGGAAACATCTTAATACTCAGCTTAAAAACTTTCGACATTTACATGTAGTAAAAAAGAAGTCGTGTTTGGGTTGGATTTGGAATGGCAACCACAGTTTAAAAAGGGTGGTCCAATGCATAAGACTGCGCTTATCCAAATATGTGGTAGCGACACCATCCTCCTGTTCCAAGTAGCTCGTCTGGAAAGTAAGTTCTACCTTTACTTCTACTGAAGCAACGTTGAGTATGTGCTTCATTAAACACTACTGTTCCTGCTGCTCTGATATATAAAAAAAAGCAATTTTTTCTATCTAACCAACTCTCCCTCTTACTCTTAGCATTGCCAACTGAACTAATTAGTTTCCTCAAAAACGAAAATATCTTCAAGGCAGGCGTCAATATCAAAGGCGATGGTCAAAAACTATTTCGAGATTTCAATGTGTGTACGAACGGTCTAGTGGAATTGCAGCTCATGACGCAACATATCGACTCACCATTACTTATGCGAACACATAAGCGGTCGCTAAGCGTCTTGACGAGCTTATTCGTAAGTTCTTCGTTCAAATAATTATTAGTAGATATGCGCATCAATGTACTACCTTTATACTCAAGCTAATTTGCTTTCTTTGTGTGTATATAGCTCGAGATGAATATGCCCAAGACCAAGAGCGTCCGGCTTAGCAATTGGTCAAAGGCAAACCTGACACCGAAGCAAATGCTGTATGCTGCATGCGATGCTTATGTAAATATTACCACACTTTTTAGGAAGAGAGAAAGCAGAAGAAAAAAGAGGAAGAAAGCTAACCTGAAGAAATGGCTAGGCTTCTTATAAACTGTGTACACTGTTCCGCGACATGTTACTACAGCAGAACAAGTCCCATATCACATCTTTCATCATTCATTTAGGACAAAATCGAGCAGTATCAGCAACTGAAACTCAAGTAAGCTACTGTGACTGGAAAAGCAGGTCTCTTGATCTATGCTTTCACAGAGCCCAGTATTGATCGATTCGTTCTTCTTTAAAACAGGCAATAGAAAAGGAGTCAGTAGTCCCATCGTCATCATCAGCATCAGCATCTCCAACAACGAACCCGACTCATAGTACCAACCCTGGATCCAACAAAGCATATCCAACAAGTACAACTACTATCATTCGTAGAAATCTAATAAATAAAAACACATAACACATTAGCATATGTACATACTACGCAAAGCAGCAGGTACTTTTTGTTCAACCTCCCCCCCATTTTCATCTCTCCCCCGAATTTCATTGTTGGCACCGATGCTGTATATCTTCATAGCCAGTTGAGCTTCTTTGACCTTTCGCTCCTTCTCCTTCCCAAGTACACTGTTTACGCGATGTCTGAAGAACCACCTGTCTATACACTTGATGAGAAAGAATACAATGCACCTTATTACTCCATACGTACCGATTACGAAACCGAATTTTTAAACACACAAACACCCATTGTAATCGACAACGGTAAAAAAAAACAATCTGGATCTCTTCCTTACGCTGCAACAACTTCTCGACAATGTTCTTTTTCCATCAAAGAATGACTCACCTCTACGATTCTTGTTGTTAGGATCGCATCAATGTCGTGCCGGTTGGGCGACTGAAAAAAACCCTGCGTGTATGTCAACTTTGTTAGACGCAATGCTAACGTGCGCGGGGAACAGGGAACTTGGCGTCAACCTCGCGTTTTTGAGTCCATTGATACATTTGACTCACCATAACACAAATACGCAATTTAAAAACAGTGATCTTTGATAATATTGTTTCCAGGTACAAAGATCGTAAGGCCAACCTCAACATGATTTCCGTTGGTATGGACGTATATGCGGATCCAGCTGGTCGGTCCAATGCGCGATCTCCGTTCGATGGCAATGTTGTATGCGATTTCGACCGTATGGTGAGTTCAAATATGATATAACACCAGAAGAAGGTATCATATACATCTGGCTGACATGAAGGCGCTTTATATTATAAATGTACGTACTACAGGAAACAGTATTAGATTATATATTCACCACTCTTGGTATCAACACATCGAGTATCGACCATCCACTCGTGATGACCGAACCCGTTTGTGTGCCTCCATATAGCCGAAAACGTACGATGTTTATTTATGAAAAAAGGAAAATAGGAGGAGAAGGGATTGAACCATCGACAGCAAGCAAACAATATCTAACGGAAAACGACGGGATGTGTTTATATGTATCTTAGAAATGGACGAACTTTTATTTGAATGCTATGGCGTCCCCTCGGTCTTATTTGGCATCGATTCATTATTCGGCTTCTATGCCAACGGTGGTTTAAGGGATGACGATTCAAGTGGGGTTGTGATATCTGCAGGCCATACGGCTACACATGTCATTCCTACATTGCATGGCAAAGGATTGCTTGAACGAACCAAGCGGTAAAAAGAAAAAGGGAGATCCCTTTAGAATGGATGGATGGAACACTTTTAGAACCAGGATAGAACAACATATTCTAATGCCTTACGCAATCAATGCATATCATAGTATATCATACGGTGGTACGCAAGCAACGGATTATATGCTTAAACTGATGCAACTCAAGTATCCTACATTCCCAACAAAGATGACGAATTCTCAAGCACAGGTAATAAATGATGAAATCTTTTGGAGAATTGGATTGAAACCACTTTTACGAAAAAAAAATAACCGGACAAAACGTGCATGTTTCATGCTCTAACAATCTATGCTATGAAATCAGGAATTGATGCATAATCACGTCCTTATTGCAGACGATTATCAAAGCGCATTAAAAAAGATTGGAAACAGGGACACTTTCGATGAAGTGGATCGGATAATTCAGTTTCCCTATACAGCACCGGTATGTATATACCCTTTAAGCATATTAGCATATTGGGTCAAGGCAGGCCAGTGCTGTAATACTGACGCTTTTTTGCATATACACAAAGGTCATTGAGGAAAAAACCGAAGAGGAGTTGGCCCGACAAGCAGCAAAAAAAGAAGAAAATGCCAGACGGTTACGGGAAGCAGCTGCAAAATCTCGTTTAGAAAAGGTAAGAAAAGTATCCCTTTCATTTTCCACTACTACTATTACTAGCAAGATGCTGATGTGAAAGACAATGATTAGTTGGTACAACGTGAGCAAGAATACGAAGCATTTACTGAGTTGAAGAATGCAAAGGCGACTTCTACCAAAAAGGATTGGATGGTAAGAAAAGAAAGCATAGCCTTATGAGCAAAGCAATGACTGGGCTTTTATTGCTACGGCTACCTATTTCTACCCTTAGAGAAACGTAAAGAATTAGTTGTAGTTGTATTTCTCTAATAGTACAATCTTGTGTAGGCACGATTAAAAGAAACAGGTTTTAAAGATGAAGCAGACTTGGACGACACCATTAAGCAAGTGGACACGGCTATCCAGCGTGCACGTAACAAAGAATTGGGCATTGATGAAAACGAAGAAAAGGAACCACCTATCACAACACTTGTTGATATACCCGACGAACACTTGACGGAAGCTGAACGTAAAGAAAAACGGAAACAAAAGTTGATGAAGGCAAACTATGATGCTCGTCAACGTGCTAAAAAGGCAAAGGAGGAGGCTAAAGCAGCAGAGGTAATAGCTACGTTCTCGGTGTTGCGCGGTTATCACACATATGGGATTGTTGGTTACTAATAGAACGATAAAATGTAGGAGGAGCAAGCGCGACTCGAAGAGGAAAAGCGTTTACAGTATCCAGAGAAATGGATAGAGGAAGTCAAAGAGAAGAGACAGGTAGGAGCTTTACTTTGCTTTGTACAGTCTCACTTTATAAGACTTTACTCTATGTTCGATAAAAACTAACATTTATTTTTGATGCTTGTGTTGGTTGATGAATAGGGTGTTGTTGACCGAATTAAGCGGAGGAAACGCTTGGCAATGGAATTATCCGACCGTCGTAGTCGAGCCTCACAACTACGTATGCGCTCCATAGCAAACTTAGCTAGTGACACCCCGTCTCCAAAACAAAAGCGAAGAAGAAAGGAAGAAGGTAAAAGTGACGAGCTCAGAGGGTCGAAGGACGATTAGAAATTACAAGTTTTCTTACACCCGGTCATTATAAAAATATAGAGGATACCTTTGGTGCGGATGATGAAGACTGGATGATTTATCGTGAAATAGTAAGTATACATTTCTTGTATCGTTACGAGATTAAAAGAACAAGGTTATAACCATATATACTCTTCATTCGTATGTGCGATTGACAGAGCCGAGAAGACGAATCTGATGAAGAAGAAGAGGATTTGTCTTCTTTGAACCACTATGAATCCTTATTGCTTCAATACGACCCCGACTTTCTACCTGAACATTCGTATGAAGCGAGCGCATCACCCACCAACACATTGATGCACATGCTTGCACGCGGCAAGTGGCCTCCCTATGATCCAGCAGATATGGGCCAAATGCATCAGCTTCATGTCAACGTTGAACGTGTTCGTGTTGGAGAAGTGTTATTCCAACCCAACATTGTCGGCTTGGATCAAGCAGGATTGACGGAAACCATGCATGATATTGTCCGCACGTTTAATGCAGATGAACGTAAACAAGTTGTCAAGGTAAATTTATAAGTTCAATAAGCTATCTATAGGAAAACTCTACTTTTTGTGCTAAACATGAAATGGCTTTGCGCTTTCATTAGACGGTGTTTGTCACTGGTGGATTCAGTACTTTACCTGGCTTTTCATCAAGAATCTCATCCTCGCTTCAGCAACTGTTGCCTGTTGGAACCTTGTACTCGGTCAAACGTGCAAAAAACCCATTGCTAGACGCATGGAGAGGTGCAGCCATGATAGCTCAGAATGCTGCTTATCATCAACAGTATGCTGTAACCAAGCAGGAATATGAAGAATATGGAGGAGAATATATTAAAGCACATGGTCTGGGAAATGTTTTTCAATAAAAGGGGGAAATGCTTTGAAACACAATACATTACGTTAATAGAAAAACAGATATCCAGGTTACTTTCATTCTCTCTGTTTCTTGGGCCTTCTACGCTCTGTTACGGAAATGTTATGTTTTTGGAAGGAAAAAATAACCTGGAATAAGTAATTAACTTTCGCCGTACATACTCCAATGATGTACTTCTTCTGACCATACAGCGGGACCTCCTTTTCTTGATATGACAATGAGGTAGTGGTCGTTGGAGTTATCTCCCTTGTATTCTTTAATATCTTAATCGATGCAATGTTGGTATGACTTAAGGGATCAATGAGTATATATGCAGCATCATGTAGGAAATTACGCGAAAAAGAGGATGTCCCACATGTATCTACCAAGTCCATGAGGATGGAGACCGCTAAGTAATAATATTAGCTCCTTTCCTACACCAATGTACAGTGCGATACTCAATTTATCGCTATGCAGTCGCTATGTTTACCACTTTGTCGTATACACTGTACATTAAAGCAACGGTAACTATATCGCTGCAGATCTCTACTAACAGACGCTCTTCTTTGACATTGTACCAATATTGCAGAAATCAACAAACTACATCGGTAGACTTAGTACCGTGCAGCAGCAATGATGGTGATACTACATCACATATCAAATATCTCAAACATCCAGGAAGTAAAACGTCTCATTTTCCATGGGCAAAGTCAGACAATGATTTAATGAGATGTACCGTTGATGAATTGATGCTTATAAATACACCACCAGTAGAATACATAAACAAACCAAAGTACAAGATATTTGTGTATTTTATCTGTTTACGATAACATGCAAACAACAGAAATGACAATACCGAACTCTTTATAATTCAACAAAAAACTTCCACCTCCCGTCCTGCAACCCATTTAAGGTATCGTCGAGCAGTACTTCTCGCCGGTGCTTGACATACACAGTTTTGTCCAGAACATTTTGTCTGAGTTGGGCAATGTTGTCCTCGTCCAGCGGCTTGTCGAGAAGTTCGGACAACTGTTCGGTGGCCATTTCAAGATCACGTTGATTGTCCTGTTTTTTTTTGATAAAATACAATTTAGCATAAAAAAGTCGGTGGTTCGGAAGAAGAGAGGTGACATCATAGAGAAAACAGGCACAAACTGGTTTACATACCTCGAATATTTCGGTCTGATGGGATTTTTCCAGATAGAAAGCAAAAGCGTAGGTCCATTTGAGCGTCATACGGCATTCAACGGTCACATCCACTGCTTTCTTGAGAAACTGAACCTCGATCCACGACAGGTCACTTGTCTGCTGCATTTCCTCCATCTTTCGCTCGGTCTTTTTGTACAAATCTTGATCCAGCTTGGCCGATTGTTCGTGGTTTGCAAATCGATTGTAATACTGAAAAAAGCGCATGTGTTATAAACACATACTCTTGGGAAATTGGTCCTAGTAAAAATGAGCACTTACATGTAGATAGCGCTCCAAACTAGCACGCGATTTCGCTTGACTTTCTCGTGCTGATGTTCCGCTCTTTTCATCAAATCGGTTGCAGGCGTAATATGAAGTACGATGCTCTGACCATGGGCCTAAAGTATTAACATATAGCATACGATCAATATTGGGCCCTTTCCCTTGAGCTAATTCTTGAGGTAAGACAAAACAGTATCTTTCTCTTACCCATGCACACCCAGCAGAATTCGTACCGACACTTTCGGCAAGTCATATGGTTGCATCCGCCGTTCTTTTCGATAGCAGATTGGCATTTAGGACAGTCCTTGGTGTGTGCTGATATCCAGTTCGCTGTTTCGGAATCATCTTTACACTTTTGCAGCCATTTCTTGACAAGACTGCAGATAGCAGGCTGATAGCAGAGGAATGTTGTCAGCATAAACCCCCCGCCCTTGTGTTTCTCTAATTTCTAGTTTAATTACAAACGACTATTATCTTACCTGATGGTCCGGTAGGCTGCAACCGAAGCAGAACTTATGTCCTTGACCACATTCGACGGTAGGTATAGTAGAAGAGAGTGAAACACTGGGTATATGGCATTCTACCGCGTATTCGCAATCAGGAGATGGACACCAGCGGAAAGCATCGTTATCATCGACAAAGGTGCGGGTCAGGAGTCGTTTGTATCTTCAATAGAGAGAAAGGATGAAAACAAAGAAAACAAAATATAGAGGCAGCAGGGCCATACAACCCCTTCCCCCCCTTAAACATCCGTGATTAAATTACAGAAATTGTACCTCGTCTTTGTTTTCGCATCCACAAGCTGTGATACGATACGTTCATCAACTACCATGTGACATTTATCTTGAGGACATTCGATACGCCTACTTTCGCCTTCTTCCCAAATCTTTTGACGCAGATAGTGTTGGTAGCAGGTGTTGCAGAAATGATGGCCACAGCCGAGTGCTGTAAAATCCATGTCCGCATCGTCGTCAAAGCAGATTTCACACGTGTACTGATTTTTGACGCGTTTGGCCGGTAAGCTGGTACTGGAAGTTGTTGTTAAGGATTCGTTCTTCTTGTTGTTACTTTGTAAGCCAGAAGATTGCATCACTTTCTCTGGCGCCTCGGTATATCGTTCAAAGAGTTTCTCTTTGTTCCATTGAAAGTAGCGTAAGAGCGCAGCTGCTTCTACACTTGGGAGGCCTGATTATTATTTTAAGAATAGAAAGAGTCAATCAGCGCCAACTGCATAATAATCAAGCAAACATACTACACAGACGCACACTACTTGGGACAAACCTAAAACGGTCGAGATTTGAGAAACGTGTTTTTCTTGGCTCTCTTCAAGATCGTCCTCGCTGTAAGCAACAAAGTCGACTTGATATGATTTTTTAAATGGAGCCTCGGTATCTGCATTGTCAAAGTAGGCATCGTCTTCCTCATCTAATCAATCCACAATCGTCATGGTCAGAAGTTTTTTATTTTTCATTTTGACAGTTTAAAAGAAGCGATTCTTCAAAATTGAAGACAATGAAGGATACCTGATTCATATACGGAGTTGCCGAAGAGTGATTCGTCCATGACACTCATGTCGTCAAGCTGTCGGTTGTCCAAGAGTGAGTGGTTCGAAAACTACGTTTGTAATAAGAGTGTGACAGTAAAGAGAAGTTGTTTTGGCTTACCACTTCAAGTTCGTTATCACTGCAGTCGCTCATGGAGGAAGGAGGAGGAGGAGGAGAGGAAAAAGAGAAGGATGGTTTTGTTCTGGTTGAAAGACAGCCAAAAGCTAGATTTATGCTTCTTCTTACTGTGCTGCGGACGGTGTTTGCCAATTTGATCAGTGTGTGGCGCATCCCGTATAAAACCTTCTTTTATTTTGCAAATGAGATCTCCTCTCTCTCTCTCTCTCTCTTATAAGTGTTAGAGTGTGCTCGAGGAGTGGATCTATGAAAGCGGCGCTTATACTTACTGACAAACAAGTGCTTTATCACTGTAAATGTGAGTAAGGGGATGATGGCTCAGCATATGTATACATTATATAGGTTTATGTTTACCTTGCGCCGCCGCCGTCCACGCAGGACAGACAGGTCGCCATATGCAGCGACTTTGTGTCACCACGACCAAACGCAGCTGCTGAGTGTGGCATTGACAGTATCATCACCAACCAGGAGTGTTTGTTTGAGAAAGGACCATATCATCGATTGTCCTCGCTCAGATTATTTCTTTCGAGTGCGCACGCAGTAATGAGATGCTGTTTTGATTCACACACTACTCTGTGTTATAACTTAGGCTCAAATGTGTTCTGCATTGGTTTGTCCCTTTGGGCAGGGCCATGCTTATTGGTAACGTCCTGTCAACTATGATACATCATTTTCTAATGATTGTGCTGCTACTACTGTATTCGTTCTTGCATTGTTCGTCATTCATCACACCCATGTTAGTTGTTTCGCTGTCATCACGCTCTATCTTGTCTACACTTTGATATAATATAGATAAGCACCGTCGTCGTATTGTTAACATTAGAGCTTGTTCTATTTCAAAGGCTCGATATACTATATACCTAATAAACGGCTACGACATAGTATAGCAACGGCGAGTGCGATATCATTACATGCTACACCATCGAGTGCTACAAAAACTAACATTGCTGTAATACATTGCAACCGATTACACCGGTATAAGCTGTACAATGTATGATATTTTCAATCAGTAGGTCTTTCGCTTCTCTCTATGCTCTTATCCGCACTTATTCCTAATAAAAGAATCATTTTCGTGGTTTCCACACGATCTAATTCCTAGTTACTGAAATTCCATATCTTTTTGCTTATTAGAAAACATGGCCAGCGGCTCGATCCGGCTCTAACAAATCATTTATCCTATTCTTTGGGATCCATTTACTCCCTAAATAGACGTTACAGTATTTTAGTTTACTTATGTACACGAAGTTTGACAAAACATTAATCATTGATATTTTTGCCACATCATTTTATCACTGAATGTCCCAACGTTTTAGATACATAAGAGGTCGGCCTGAGTAAATCTACGAGCTCAAAAAGTCAAATGATTGCTGGAAAACGCGTCTCGAACGACTTTAATTGTCCATATATATATAATCAACGCAATCACACCCAATTTTTTTTACAAAAAAAGAAAATCATCATCTTTTCCCTTCTTTTTTTTTCTCTCCTCGCTTTACTAATTGCTACTACTGCATATTGCTTACTTCCCAAGCACCTTGACTGACCGAGAAAATATGTAAAGAACTTTTTCTATCCTTTGAACAATACATTTCGATATGGTACTGCTTCGACCTACAAAAGCTAACTGCAACGTATAAAATATACAGGGAATCTTTTAGCGCAGTCCCAGAAGTAGGAGAGCCTTCGTCGGCGTCAGCAGCCTCTCAAATTGCTGTACGTATATATATACACGATAATGACCGTCGTAAAAGTAACAAAAAATCACCTTGTTTCCAAACTATTACCGTCATTGTTGTTGTAACATTGTTTATTTGATGTGTATATATCACATCTTTTATATCTGTTAGGCACGGCCATCTGGTATTGACGTTCCCACTTTTATGAGCCGCTATGACATGGCACTTGCACATGACGTAGAAAAAATTCTCGAAAAGCACGATATTGTGGATGACGAGCTTATGTCGGAAATGCTGGATTTGATCCTTACCTGGCAGCACGTAATGAAAGCCAGGCGTGCCCACTATGGTCACAACGAAGAGAACTTGTGGCGGCGAATCTACCTAGGTCTCACTGTGGAAGCTACTGCTTTAGGATCCACGACAACAGGCAGAGTGATTGATTTCTTCTTACCTTTGTGATTTTCTTGATATGTGACAGCTAATAGTATAGAGAGAGAGACAGAGCGTGTGTGTGTGTGAGGCGGGGGGGGGGAAGAAGAACATGATCTCATGCTGATGTTGATAATATCTCTCAAACCAACAATTTTTTTTGTAGACTTGCTGCCCAAGGACATTGACATGGATGCACGCAACTGGCGGATTATCCAAGCATTCACGGGCTCAACGCACATGCATGAATTTCTCGGAGTCACAATTGATGCGGTGCATTCGCTCCTGGCTTGTGCGCGTCCTTCTGTGGTTGAGCCTTATTTGAAAGAAGCCGAGATTACTGGGCTACAACAATCAGTAACAACTGCCGCAGTAGAAAAACAAACTGAGCAGCAGCAGACGGAACATCAAGGGGAAGCAGGTCAAAGTGATGTATCGACGCAACGACAGCCAGGATCAACGGTACCCTTTGACGGCTCTGATTTGCATTCATCAAGCACTACTGATACGAGCGAAGGTGATCCATCAAATATTCCAAGCACACTTGTTCCCTTGGCCGATGTGAAAGCAATGAAAGCGTCGGAGCCCAGTGACAAGAACCAGGATGTGGGTCCCACTATACAGCGTGAATCAGATTACCCAAATACAACTCTACAACAACAGCAGCCAAATAAAGAACGCGGCGATCTTTCTAGCGTGGGTGACAGCAGTAGCAGCACTGACTCTCCGGTAAAAGCCGAAAAAGGAGAAGAAGCAGCAGCAGCAGCAGCAGGAGCAGCAGGAGCCAAAAACTCGACGATGGCCACCACAGCTTCAGCCGCTTTACCCCCAAATACAGCAGCAGAAGTTCCACGTCCATTTGCGGCCACAGCTTCTTCTCTATCCAAGGGCAAAATGCCAGCAATGTATACAGCTCAGCCTGTGAACGAGCAGCAATGCATCGACGCCTTTATGCGTCCATGCCGTAAGATACTTCACGAGATGCTCTTGCAATACGAGCAGTCATCCAATCCGTTCGAAGTCGGCCCAGTTGGTGTGGTGGAAGACCTTGTCAAGAGCGTTTCTCAGTTGATTGGCGAAGTTGAAAAGCCAGATGCTCAGCAAACATCGGCTACCAAAAATTTCCACAAGTTGTTGATGGGATTTGCGCAAGACGATGGCGGCCGGAGTCATATGGACCAATTGATCGACGCGTTGAAGCAAATCACTGTTGACGCTGAGACGAAGCACCAGATCTTTGAAATATGGTCGACCTTACTCGCAGACTGCCAGACGCAGCGCGAACACGAACTGACAGTGAACGAGCTGAGTGAGCCTATAATGTCTGAAGCCGATACATTGCTCCAACGTGTGGCCGAGCTTATTCTCGCGCATGATGTGCATGTCATGGAGGTGCTGCATCATGCCAGTGCAATCGTCTTGCCGTACTCCGGCGGATTCTCTCATACTCTGGCGTACAAGGCTAGACGACTGGGATCAGAGGTGCTTTGGGACTCGCTACATGGTCGTCCAACCTTCAACAAGATACACTGGTCGAAGTTCAAGGCTGTTTATCCGGAGCTGTAAGTGTTTTTTCGAGAATTTTTTATTCTTTTTTGCCAAATATGATACATGAAAAGGCACAAGCTTGTTAATATTATTACTTAAAGGTGTAAACTTCTTGGTCCTTTGTCCATTGGGCGCATTGAAACGTAAGCATGCTTCAAAGCAAAACACAACACTATTTGGCTATTCATTATTGAAATATGCAAATCTTTTACAGTACTGATCATAAGGCATTTCTTTCTCGCTAATAATTCTAGAAAATTTCATGGTTATGATGTTGTTCTGGAAAATGTTAAAGTGGACTTGGAGCACGCGTTTCCCAAAAACGTTATGCACCGCATCTACAGCGAATTTAGTCAGGCACCTGAAATCGATCAGTTTAAAGCAGGAGAAGACGTACACAAATCCATCGACATGGCCACCTACTCGTTGTGAGTGTAGACATTGCTTTTATGTTTCGGCATGGTTCTTGAGCCTCCAGAAAATGTGCATTCACACTAATTCTTTGATAACATATATAACGTATTCTATATAGCAATAGCATGGATATTCACCTTCACGCCGATTACATTTACAAGAAAAACGTTGGTTTCCCACTCTACATGGATTACGGCCACGTGCATGCTAGCGCTCATGATGCTTGTGTCAACCTGAAGATCACTTTCAAGGAAAAGAAACTGTCAGTCCAAAACTCAGAGTGTAAGATTGGTGGAATCAAGTTGCATTTTGACGAGACGCAGCACAGGTATATGAGAAATAGATTAATTGGTTTGTGTGCATCACAAGGTTTAGTGCAACGAAGAACTAAACTAGTTTTCTTTTTTCCTAGAATTCTCAATGCTTTGCAAAAGAGTTCGTTTGAACGCAGAATCACGGAAGTGCTGGAGGATGCGGCTGCTACGGTCATCCGTCGCATGATTCTTCAGTTAAAGCCGGCTTTGCTATAATTGCGCAGTACCTTTCTCACCCTTCGCTCGGTTTTCCCCAATGTATATACCTTATCCCCATTCTAATGACAGAACCTCCTCTTCTCGAAAATGGATATCCCACGCTACTGCTGCAGCTCTTGTTGATTGATCAAAAAACATAAGATAGTATTATTCCTTGCGGACCAAAAAATCTAACGATCGTTTGGTGTAATTGTGCTTGTGTTGTGGGTGGGTGGGGGGCAATAACAGATAAGAAGTAGAGGACTGGTAGGGCAGTAAGTTTTATATGTCGCACGTTATACGGAGAGAGGAAGGGTCGTCGTTGTTGTTGTCGTCAAATGAGTCTTGAGCGGCGTCGTAAGGTACGTCTGTTCTAGAACGGTGGTTGGTAGACGTTCACTCTACCGCACGTGTGGCATTCATACAAGTGCTTTGTGGGTCCACAAGGAATGAGTGGAATAAAACTATAAGCATCATTCTCCAGTTAGCATGTGTGTATAACGCACGAACAAGAGAAAGAAAATGCTTCCTCTTTCTTCCCCCTCCTCTATCCATTTGCCGTAAGCCCCCATCTTTTTAATACCAGAAAGTGAAGCATTCGTTATTTTTCACATAATAGACATCGCGAGCGGAGCAGTTTGGACAAGTCCAAACGCGATTCCCTGATTGACGCTTGAAATTATCAAACCCAACTACGTTTATAACCGTTTACATATTTGTTAGTGCTTCTTTTTGAGAATATAATGATATGCCCCAAAAGTCGCCTTTATGAACAAACTTACAGGTAAAACAGAAAAACATGGAAAGTGGAAAAGAGAGGCTAGGTTACCGAATATAGGACGTTCACAGCTGCTCTTCAATTACCAGCGGTTTACACTCCCTTTGCTTGGCATTATTGTTTCTCCTTGTGGCACCTGCTTTGCATATAATCAATACTTTGCTGCTTATATACTGCCTGCTGGTCCCGTTTTGAGTTAATGCAGTGTGCTGGAAAGAGAAAGGAAGCCCAGAGCTGCAGGTCATTGTCCTATTCATTGTCAGTTACCCTTGATCTTACAAAAATACACGCTTTATTAGTCTTCATAGCAACAGTAAATGATGCTGTTTCCATAACAACAACCCCGGATTTATAGGCGCATATCAGCAAATATGAAACCTTCACTTCCCGAAGAACCCGATAATCAAATTAGGAAACTGTAAGTGAATAGCCTACCAAGAGTATAGAACTGGCCTAAAAACAAACTTAATTAGTACCTGCCTTCTTCGTGATAGCTCTTTGATGCTAAATGTGCCATTTTGGCTATGTAGAATGCTTTCGGTCTAAAGCAGTATTCGTAATACCATAACAATAGATTTTTATATGTTCTTCACGCGATTTTTCGTCAGAACTGTGCCGTCTAATGGTTGCCTTCTTGTTACAAGAACTTTCCAGGTCCATTAGTGGATACAATTCTAATAGACAAACGAATATACGAGCGCATGCATGCTTTTCCCCTCGGTGATTTTATATCTCAAAAAGAGCGTACGCAATAAGGTATCATCACCGTTCAATCTCGAGTAGGTCGTTGAAAAAACGTACATATTCAACAATAATGAATGACGCGGTTTAGTGTGCGATCTGATGGTTTGCGCAGTATACATATAGATTGGCATTCATTTCAAGTCCTAGTGTGTACCTGAGAGTGAATTTTCTTGATGCGATTTAAAGCGATTGATTCTATGTTCTATTATCATATGTACTTTCTTTTTCGTCATATATCTCTGCTCGCTATTACATGATAACACACCTTTTTGATGAAAGAAACCCTCCCTAGCAAGCTGACAAATTCCTAACGATGTAAGCGTTTTTTGAAGATCTCAACAAAATTCAACCGTATATATTTTGATAAAAATCCATAAAAGCAAAACAAACAGTAGCTAACCTAAGATGTACATATATAGAGCCCCTGCTTATTTGTATATAGTAGATTTAAGGCCGCTACTAGAATTCGTTGCTTGGACGTCGTTTTCAAAATCGGCACCGAGTGCTTATAAAGCTGTACAGATTCAACGAATAGCCGATAGATTGCTTTGTTCGCTAGCGTTAATAAGTAAACTACTCGTATATTCACATTCATGTATATGATAAGCTTTCTTCTGTTTGCCGTCCTTTAATTTCAAGATTTGGAACTCGCAATCGCGTAGTTGCTTTTGCAGGTTCTTTGAATGAACATTCATCACTGTATAATCAACCCTTTTAGCTCCTGTGCGTATATGTATTATGCTCTCTTCCAACAAGCAATTTCGATTAAGTAACATAAAAGAACAGGCATAATAAAGTGGTTCATGTACGCGTATTCGTTTGGCAAAATTACTCCTTTCATCAACTAAACATAATGATTATCTTTTATATAATTTCTTAAGAGGAAAAAGTAAAAACGTTACTATAAAACACGTAAACGACAGCGTAGGATGCGCGTTCAAGACAAAACATTATAATGACGTAAGGTAAAAGACGGTTTATCATACCTTGTTTTCTTCTTTCGCCATCCCTCTTAATATTACAGTCCATGCAATTTTCGACATAATATAATCCCCTAGGGCCACATACATTGAGTATTGTTTTTTTTGTGAAATGCTATTATTGGAGATGTTGGGTGTTTCTATATAGTTAGATAATGAGCAAATTAATCATGTTTTTGAAACAAGGAAAGACACAATGAGCCGGCAATAGTATATGTGCTCAAACATATTTTTCTCTATAATTCACGAATAATATAACCAGTGCAGATAATACTGATCTTCGCTTTATTCATTACATCATAAAGTGCTGTTCCATTTGAAAGAGGCCTACCTTTTGCTATGTGCAGTCATGTACTGCATATCATAATATGCGTTTCCACCCAGGACAAGTGAAACATCTTTGCTCAACCAATACGGAGGCATTGTCACTGTTCTGCAATATATGCAGTACATTACCACTTACCGGATCTTTTTTGCTACTATCATAGTAGTATCATAGGTATTCTCATAATGTATGACAGAAAGATGGTATGCTAGTTGGAGTGAAATGGTGGCCTATTTTATATTTTCTATCAACAAATAAATGATAGCGATGGGTAGTGGTACCATATATGTTTAAGGAAACACTTGGACTTCTAGATCCTAGCTTTTCTCTTGTATAACATATACACCAATTTTAAGCAAGTTGTCACTGTCTTGTTCAAAGGTTGCCAATCAAAGCAGTATAATCGTAGTAGCCGACAAAGTTACATATAACCAGCACAGTAATAGTACGGATCATGCATCATCTTTATATCCATTGAGATGTATTTTAGTCAGGGTTTCATGGATCGATATATCACGCAAATAGATTAATTTCATTGGGTCTTCTGGCAACAGTATTGTGTGGTGGTGTGTGTGAGAGACACATAGAGGAGGATGACGCATGATATGAGACCGTATTCGATGTGTGAGTGCATGATATGTAAACGAGCCAATGAATAAAAAAAACAAGAGTCATCTTCACCTCTTTCTTCCTTCGCTTCTTTTTTCCTTCTTCTCAAACACTAAAAACTTTTTTATTTCTGCTAACCCCCCTCTCATTTCTTTTCTATACCATGGAACATAACCAGACGTTCGCCGGCTGGACCTCTTTCGAAATTGGCCATCTCACGCCGCAGTATGACCACAATTTTGTGCTTTACACGAATCCAAACGAGCAGTAAGTGTTATCCCCTCCTTTTGTCGTTTATCAGTTAGTGAGCTGGTACATGTATTAAGACTTACCAATCACTCTTATAATATGGATAGTGCCAGCGGCATCAACTGCAAAATCCGCGTCTTTGACCTTGTCCAGTCCGATATTCGCAATTTTCTTTCTCAAGGAGGTATGTGCCGAGTGATTGTGCGTGGCTCTATGCGTGCGGCACCTATAGCAGAACAAGGTTGGATCCCGACGACCACACGTTACCTCCAAGTGACGTGGATCATGCAGGATCAAGGCCCCGAATATCTTGGTGAAGGAATCCGCGAAACTGCTGCGGCAGCGCAGCAGCAGCAACATGCGGCGAGCAACAAATTTGTCAAAGGAGGAAAGAGAGGATCCACAGAAGACGGAGTAATCGACCTGGAAGCTGAAGACGACGAAGACGATGAAGAAGCGGATGACGAGGATGAAGAAGATTCCTCTTTGATTGAAGAGGAATTGGGCACGGAGTCGGATGACCTGGACTATGGTTCTGAACAGGCCAAAGCAGACGAAGCGGATACCGAAGAAGATTTTGAATCCATGGAAGAGGATGAACCCATTTCAGGAGAAGACCTTGAAGCGCTCCGAAAAGCAGCCAGGGATCCACTGGAACATGTCATGAACAACATAAAGAAGAACACTAGCGACACTTCATCGTCATCGTCGTTGAAACGGGGAGCTCAAGAATCTTTCGAGAATGGGAACAATAAGAAGCGAAGAAGTTCACCATCAACTCCCGGATCTATCCCTACTCCTCCTACAACTCAATTACAATAACCTTCTCGTGCCAACGCTGCTATCATCAGCTACTACTAGCTAGTCAGCGATTCAGCAGTAGCAATTAGCAGACTGTACCTTTAACCTTTTTTGATCGCTTCCCGCCAAAAAATAAAAATTGCCATCGGATTTTTGTTGTTTATGGCAAAGTTTGCTTTTTTACACAATGGTCCAAGTCCGCTTCCTGGGTCGTGTGATGGGTGCATCTAGCTCAAATATGGACCCACCTCCGAAGAAGCCCATTATAACGTGGGTAGTACATACGATGTTGACAACTTGTCAATAAGCAAAAGAGAAGGACAGAGATCGTCAAAATAGAAAGAGAGAGAGAGCGAGAGATGGAGAGAGATATCACGGGGTGCTTTATGGGAGGACTTGTGATTTTGCTAATGTAAACGATGCAACACGTGAGGTTACAGAACGGGTATGTGCGTGTGTTTGGATAGGAAGCCGTTCGTCGTGTGTGTAAGGTATGTTGTTGGCTGAGATTATTTTCCCTTCCCAAAAAATAAAGCACCGACAAGTGGATGAGTTAAAGAAGTACATTTGTAAGGTTTCAAAGCGTAGGGTGACGTGTAACCCAACCCACGGAACAAGCGACCGGCGAACGGCTGCTCAACCGTATTTTGTCGACACCGGGCGTCGATGATCCGAACGAGCATAAGAGCGAAGAAAAAAAAGTTTTTTTTTTTGAAAGTAAACAAATCTGGACTCCATTGAGCGAAACATAGCCAATGATGATGCATAAACGTTAGGCTTTGTAAGATGGTACAAAAAAAAATCCAAAAAGCGACGAACTGATGGGTGACTTTTAGACTAGAATAACGGCACCGCGTCCTTGGGCAACGTCATGCGTGCTTGTCAGACGTTCATTCCAGTACGGTGTAGATTGAGTTAGAGGGTGGGGGAGGAGTACGACTACGACTACGATTACGACTACGATTACGATTACGAGGAGCGGCAGTAGCTGGATGATGAACGAGATCAACAGAGTTTCCGGTTACTGGCATTTGCTTCTGCCCACACTGCCTGCCTACCCACTACGCGGGCGCGGATGATTTTTTAAAATATCTTGTGGATGGTGAATGGTGGAGTCTCTTGCGTCGTTGTCGTAAAAAAAAAAAAAGAGAGCGCTGAGCTCCTTCTCCCCCGCCGCTTCAAGGGCTCTTATTTCGTAGGTTTCTCATTTTATACAACCACTGTAAACCCACCTCGCCTATTTTTTTTCCACAGCTTGGCTCGGTTTTGCGCTTAGGCTGGCCCTTTTTTTTTTGCGTTCTCGTTCGTCTCGTCGCTCTTCTTCTTCTTCTTCTTCTTCTTCTCCTCTCTTTTCCTTTCCTTTTCAGCAGAAAGCTTACCCTACCTTTTCCCCTTCCACATACTATGCACATTTGAAGTGTGTGTATTCCCCCCCTCATATATTTATTGCCCATATAACATATACTCACAACCAGCCAACAATAACAACAGCAACTGCTACCCCCCCCCCCGTGGATTCCTGTTCTTTCGCTCTCTAAACACAAACGGAAAGAAAAGAACCAAGAAAAAAGAGCAACCCCATCGTTCCTTTTTATATTATTTATTCTTATAATAGCTAATTGCGAGATACCTAGCAACACTATATACATACACTATCACCATCATCGATCATCATCGTCATCATGGCTGCGACGCAAATATCAACCGCCTTTTCCTTCTGCTACGCCCCTCCAGCATCGAGCGACCACACCGCCTTCATCGACAGCGACTATTTCGCCAGGCGCGAGGCCACCATGTCCGACCTGCGAGATACCTGCAATAACGTCATGGCTCGCCACTGCTGTCAAATTGCTCTCACCGCAGCACCTGATACAACGCTGGCCTCGATTAAGCCACAAACCATTCACGTCGATAAGCCGACTGACTACAACCTGACATTGACCGGTCCACTTAACACGGTCATGGCCGCTCGAGGTGATTTGCTTGCCAATTGCCCTCTAAAGGTATGTGCTGCTTTTTTTTCCTTCCGATCTTTTTTTTTATAGTTTATTATTATTTTCGGATTTATTGTGTTAGATCTTAAAAAAACTCTTTTGCGTCTATATTATTTATTATTTGCGATTTTGATGTTTTTTTTTTCATTGTACATTGCAATTGACCTCTTTTTTTTTACTTTCTTCTCAAATTATCATAAACAAAAATAAATTATATAGATCAACGTTACCCTAAAGATTCCCGTAAAGGATTTCCCAACGACCACTGTCGCCCAAAAGCAATTCGACAAGGTTGAAAGTGAGACCGACACACGCATCGTCATTGTACCACCGCCACCACATCGCTCAGCCTTGACTTCTGAGAACAGAGTATCGATTGTGATTACAGGTCTACCCGATCTGGCCGAATATGCCCGTGTCCGTGTTTTAGTAGCGCTTGACGAGATTGTAAGTATAACAAAGTCTGGAAGTAGAGATAAGTTTAATGTTGGCTAACCAACAGCCTTGCTTTCCGTAGTCCAATTTACGATCAGATATCCTACGTGTGCCGTTGAAGCTCCATAACCTCATATGCGGTCGAAAGCGAGCTGGTTTACAGCCAATTATCGAAGAAACGTCGACCAACATTTATTTCCCTTCTCCGTTCGGTGACCTATCGTCTGTCGAGGCGGGCATGGATGTTGCCGTGGTAACCGACGGCGGGGCGACCCCGTTGCTAGAGGAACTGTCGCCACCCATCTACATTACAGGCGAGCCTGTAAACGTTACTAGAGTAAAAGAAATGCTGAGCAAGTTGGCCATTCAAAAGGTAAACTACCACCTGACATTGTCACTTACGGTACAAGAGGCGTACTGACCACCAAAATGATTATAGGCAAAGTCTATGTACCATAAGGATGCTGTTCTCCATGCTCGCAAACTAGATTGGATGCTTCTGCATCGCCGGGATGAGCTGCGCAAGATCATGCATGACAATGGTAAACTTTAATTTCTTTTGCTCTTTTCACCCCCACGTTTCATTTAATTTTAAAATTTCCACCCGTTCTTACACATACACCCCCAATATACCAGGGTCCTACATTGCGTTCCCGCCAATCGGCTCGGGTATGGGCACGGTTACTGTCTATGCAGAAAATCGCGTCAATGCAGAGCGTACTTTACGATCGCTCAATTTCTTGGTAGGTTACTCTAAACAGTCTAGTATATGAGAGGATCTGCTAATAAACAAATGTATAGGCCTGTACCATCTACGAAGCTTACTTTTACTTCAATAATCGAGATAACGCTATCTTTGGTCCCGAAGGAACGACGCACGACTTTTTCGGCTCAATCAACAACATTGCTGGTTTGCTAGTGCAGTTGTCGCAAGCATCCGGCGCTGAGGTCATGTATAAGGATGAAATTGGCTGCATCGAGGTGTTCGGCACCGAGCGGGACGTACGCAATGTCTACCAACGAGTTCACGAAATGGCATTTTTGAAGGTAACGAATAAAAGAAATGTCAAGTTAATTTCACCACTGGGAGAGGGAAAATGCTAAAAGCATCGATGCGACAATAGGTGTTCCATCAAAACACGGTGTTCAACATTGAGTTATCCAACGACCAGCGCGAATTTATTAGCGGAAAAAAGAGCGGCAAAATCAACAAAATCATGAAGACGACAGGTGCCAAGATCAAGTTTAATGCATTCAGCGACTACAACTTCGTCATCGAAGTCGAAAGCAGCAGTGTCATTAAGGCGCTCGACGGCCTGTCGATGCTTCAGGATGAGCTTCCAGCCGAAATTTCGTTCTACGTTCCGGAAATGTATCACAAGCGTATCATTGGTGTAGGTGGAAAAAACATTCAAAGAATCATGAAAAAGTACGGTGTCTACGTCAAGTTCTCGAACGCCGAGGAATTTGCAGCACTCGGCGGATACTACGACAATGACGACAATGTGGTCGCACGCACACCAATGAAGAACCAAGTGAATTTGGACAACTTGCGCCACGCGGTGATGGAATTGATCACGCAGCGCGACAAGGACTATGTAACTCAGGTTGTTCACGTCCCTTTCCGGATGCATCGCCAGCTGCTCCGTGACCAAGGCAGTTACTTTGCCGAACTCAGCAAAAAGACTTTGACGCGCATCATGTGGCCGGATCACGAATTGGCGAGCGATTGTGTGACGCTTGTGGGACCTTCCACAGAAATCGAACATGCAGTTGAACTGGTACAAGCCATTGTACCCGAAGTATACGAATTATGCGTGCCACGGTCGGCTGCTTTGACTGCAGCATTAGCGTCCGATGCATTCCAAGAAGTCATTGTTGCTAGAATTGAACGCGAGTTTGGTATTCGTGTGGATGTACAGTCAGCGCCCGTACACCCACCCCCTCCGTCCATCTCGTCCTCGTCTCCTTCGCCTACAGCGACGGCGTTGGCATCGCAACATCAGTCACCGACGATGGGTAACAACAATGCTACAACAGCATCGTCCACGACAGCACCACTGGCAGCAACGCCAACAACACCATCTACCACGACGGCAGCACCAGCAGTAGTTAGTAGCGTGACCAACAGCGCGCCCACGTCTCCTTCTCGTTCGACACCGGCGCCTTCTTCTAATGGATCGCCCGTTGTGCCCGACAGCACTGACTTTACTATTCCCTTGAAGACCATAAAGAGCAATATTGGGAACTTGCCAGCAGCTCTGGATATCCTCATCAGCTACCTGCGCAACCACAATGTGACGCTGTACGAGACAGTTACCCCCAAGGCTAGCAGAACGACTCCTACTACGAACCATGCATCCTCTCTAAGTAGCGCCTCGCTTGTCGACAGTTTTAGTCATTTTGGCAGCAAGGTCTTGCCTTCTGTTTCTGGTGAGTTTTTTTTTACGATATTCCAAAGGGGATATATCAATTTTCAAAGCAGAAACTAACGAAACATTGTATGATAGACATCGGTGGCTCCCAAAAGCTGCATCATCACAACAGTTTCTCGAGCTTTTCATTGTTTGATTTCGCACCCAGCGGCACTACCACCAATAGTGCTGCTCCTAGCGCAGCACACACAGCATTCGATGCTCCTTGGAACAGTTTCAGAGACATGAACTCGCCTCGGACGGTCGAGAACATTCGTGCGATCTTTGATTCACCTGTCAACAACAAACACGACGACCTTAACACGAAACACCGCATGAGCATGCCTGTCCTTGGCACCCAGACCGGTGCACCTGGACTAGGCGTGTTTAGACCACCTGGAGTAGTGAGTAGTGGAACGTCATCGATTCCCGGCGCCGATATATGGCTGCCACAAATGTCGCCCCTTTCATCCACAAGTGCTACTACTAGCAGCAGTGCTACTAATTTCGGTGCAGCCGGTGGCGGTGGCGGATATGGTGGACATCATGGAAGCGCTGCGTCTGCTTTTGGTGATAGCAAGGGACGAAACAGTAACAGTAGCAGCAGTAGCGGCAGGATGTTTGGTAGTGGAGGTGGAGAATCCACGTTGGCTACAGGAAGCTTTTATCAACCATACCCGGTCATCGGAAGCGGGTTGCATTCCGATTTCCATCCCAACAACAGCACGCAACATCAACAACCACAACAACAGCAACAACAACAACAACAACAACATCAACAACAACATCCACATCCACATCCACAACAGCATCTCAATCATCATCATCATTTCAACACTATCTGCCCTACATCTTCCACTTCGACCGGGAGCAACACTTCCATGCACTCCACGTCCGAGTCGTCTGCTGCCTTAGAGAATGATTTGCGCCATTTCAGCAGACACCAACAAAAGCGTTGTTAAAAAAATCCCCCCCCTCCCTTTTTCTCTTTTATTATTTTTTTTTTATCTTTCTTCTATATAAACTCATTTGTTGTACCTTTTCTGTCTTTCTTTCTCTTAAATATTATAACCAGCTTCACTCCACTTCCAATTCACATATTCTACAAGCACTTACCCACCCCCCTTTACACATCTTCTTCTATCCCTATTCCCCCTCGGTGATTTCTCTCTTTTGTTGAATGAAAGATGGCTCAAACGGGAAGCGGCTCGAAGAGTTGGAATTCCCCCCCCCCTCCCCTTCTTTGCAAAGTGGTGATATAAAAAAAACAACTTCCATTTTTTTCTTTCTTTTTTTGTACATAGACTAGTGATTTTAAAAGGAATAAAAAAATAAGAGTAACTTGAAAATTCATTTTTTTTTGTTTTCTCAGAGCTTGGCTTGATCCGCAGGCATCATATCAGCAGGAATTTCAATGTCGATACCAGTCAACAGTAGCTGGGCAAACGTCTTGCCCTGACGATCAATCACAAGCGAGCTCAGCCCACCGCCGCCAAGTGATTTCGTAAGCACAAAGTTCATGGCATACAGCCCCGGGAGCTCGAAACGCGTCACCGACCCCTTGCACAGATGGCTCATGTAGTCGGCCACCGCCTTGCTGGTCAACGTCCGTTTGATGTACGGGAAGTAGCGTGGATCTCGCGCAATAATGCCAACGTTACACACGTCTCCCTTGTCTCCACTTCGGCCGTTCGCCAGGTTGATCAACTTGGTCTTGACGAGTTTGGTCGAGGAATCGACCGCTGCTGCGGCTATCAACGGCACCACGGCAGGCGAGCCAAAGGCATTGGTCTCATCCCATGCTTCCCAGGCAACGCTCTGCAACGATCCGTCACCAACGACAAAGCTGGTCTTTACATCGGATTTGGGCAACAGACATGGGAAATGGACAAGGTTCGGAACAGGCTTGGGCCGTCCGCTGCCACTGCCGGTAATACCAGGTGCCATGCATGTACCCACCTAAAAGCATAGGAACATGTTATCAGTTCTTGTCTTTTTTTAAAGTTGGGATTGCATATATCTGGTTATTACCGCCATGAGCTCTCGAGCAAATAAGCCGAGTGCTTTGGTTTCATCATGGTGTGCTGTCAAACGAAGCACAATTTCACGTGAGGCCTCTTTCTTTGCATGCGGGCCATACAGCGACTCGCCACCGAGCGTCTCGACATTGTACTTTCTAAAGGGGCTGATGCCAGTATCTTTGAACATGTTTTGGACACGTTGGACGACTGCATTTCCAACAGCAAGGGCCTTTTCCTTTGCCTCGTGGCCACCGATGACCAATTCGCCGCTGAGTTTCCAGCCATCAAGGAAAATACCAGAGCACTTGAGCCAAGGGGTAGGCGCACGACCTTTAGCGCCTTGAACCAACACACGATTCTCGCCGACTTTGCTCAACCGAACCTGACGCATGTCCAAAATGACATCTGGTAAGAGGTACAGTGCCGGGTCCAAGATTTCGTACAAGATCTGTTCGGCCACTGTCGCCGGAGAGACCAATCCACCGGTCTTTTCTGGCTTTGTCACAACAAATTCGCCATTACCACTGAATTCGACGATCGGGTAGCCCATGTTTGCATAGCCGCCATAAGGGGACTCGCTTGCCAAGCGCCAATCGGTGAAATTACCGCCGGTTGAGTGACAGCCGCATTCGATAATATGGCCAGCAAGCGATGCAGAAGCGAGTCGGTCATGGTATTCGGGCTGGCTGGGTTGCCAGCCATATTCATGCATCAAAGGACCTACGACCAAAGCCGAATCGACCACACGGCCCGTCACAATGATCTGGGCACCCTGTGCCAATGCGGCAGCGACACCGCGCGAGCCCAAATAAGCGTTCAACGACAGGATGGGTTCGTCCTTGGCAGGCATGGGGTCGGCATCAAGCGAGTGTTCTGTTGACGAAATAGGCGAGAATGGATGGACCTGTGCAAACGTTTCCAAGGTTTCGGACTCCTTGTTCTCCAACACGTCGTCACCAACAACCGCAGCTACCTTGAGGTCAATGTTCATTTTCTTCAGCAGCTTTTCGATGGCTTCCTTGCAGGCGATCGGATCCAAGGCGCCGGCGTTCGTGACAACTTTGGTGCCGTTCTTTGCAACGTCGGGAAGAATGTAGCGCAGGACCAAGGATAAAAAGTCAGGCACATAATCGATGCCTTTTTCTTTTCCCTGCATCATACGCCGTTTGCGTCGAGCAGCCAAAATGCCCATTGTGATTTCTATATCAAAGTATAAAATTTTTTAGATGAGTGAGTAATGACTAACGTTCGTTTTGGTTGCTGTACTGCTTGTATTGTGCGAGTGTGTGCTACCGGCGAGATAGTCAGCAACCAAATAGTCGAGGTTGGCGCCCTCATGCTTGACGAGTTGAATGGCTGCAGCAGGCGAGTCTCCCCAATAAGCCGAGTAGCAACCAATGCGTACAGGTTTTGCTGGAGCCATTATCAGAGTACACAGTAGAAAAGGAGATACAAGTGGTTCAAAGGAAAGAAAGTGAAAAAATAAAAAAAAGAAGTGTCCTTTATGTTTGGAAGTATAAGGGTCTTTTAATATTAGTCAAGAAACGCAAGTCAGGAAAAACTGTGGGGTAAAAAAGAAAATGCAGCACACGCACCACAACGAACCAGATTTTCAAATGTTGAAAGTTGGCTAAAAAGTCCGACGTAAAATGTGCGTGGGGTCGCACACCATGGCTCCTAATGGGAAGAAGCTGCAACCTACTCTAGTTGTAAAGGAAGTAGAGGGAACCCCAAAGCTATATGTATCTATGACTTGGCTTGTGAATCTTTGGTAGATCTGTATGGAATCCTAATTTTTTGAATTGATAATATTATTCCAAATTAAATGGAATGGGTCTGTTTAACGATTACCAACAATAACTGATGATTCCGAGAGTTTAGCCTTCATATGTGTCCAGGTTTGGGAGGTGAGGGTAGGTGAGTTTGATTTTGTGTAACTTTCTTGCCTACTTTGCATAACATTTAGTAGCCTGTCATATATTATCGCATTTGAAAACGTAGTAAATGGGGGGGGTTGAAGTGATGGACGAAGAGAAGAATCGCCTTAGGCTATGATGTAACACTTTTCTTAGTACGACTTACATCCTTTCTCATATAGAAACTAGTATGTACATATACACGATTATCGATTGTTAGTAAGGATAAAAAGTACGAAGAAAAGCGCTTCTACGGTCATTGTGTATTGAATGAAAATATAGTTTCTTTAACAGCATACACATGATTAGCCATTATGTAGGGTACATAATTGTAGAGTAGCTGGACAATTGAGCATCCTGTAATTGTCGCGAGCATTGGTGCAAGGATAGCTTGGCTCCTGTTTTGTCTGAACACTGGCTCAGTCGTAATCAAAAGAAGAAACCATGTGCGCTACCACGAGCCAAGGGTCACTATCTTGGATGGAAACTCAAACGCAGAACTCAGTGTTTCTACGTTTAGATTGCATAGAGAGATCTCTGAACAAATCATATTTAAAGACTGTAATCAGCCACCTTTTAGTTGCTGACGAAAAGTTATAGCCAATATTTCTTCGGATACTATGTACTACTATATGGATTTCAAAGTTATCTTTAAATACAGATTCGTTTAATAGCAGACAAAACACTTGAGCAACGCAAATACTGCACGCAAATTAAAATAAGCATGTTCATTTGGAAGATAGAAACAATGAATGAAGTGAGATATAACTTTATTTTTGAAGTCCTCTTTTGCGATTCAAGAAACTGTTAAATTCAACAGGACGTAACTGTTACAGCCACCGCTGCAAGGTCTGGCTGTTAAATAAACTGCATAACAGGTTCTTAACAGCGACCGCTGCAGGTGCTTTGACTGCTGAAATTGCGTATATGCGTGTAAGCAAAATGCCAGCAACGCGTTTGACAAGGCTCATGTCCGCTCATTTCCCGCTAGAAACACTTCTACTTCGCTAGAGAAAATCACTGTATAATAGTTCAATTGTAACCGACTCTGCTGGCATTTGTTCTTTTCGCAAACTACCATACATATCCAAGCAAAGAAGACCGTCCAGTGTTACCAAGTGGGTACAATGGACCACAGCAGTTTGTATTAGCATTGGCAAATATAACGCTACCCTTTTGTACATACACCAGTTGCTAGTACAGCGATCAAAAAGAGACTCAAGATTAACTAATGTTATAGCTGCGTTTAATGAAGTATACATTCTTTGTCGGATATTGCTGCTCATTAACAAAAGTCCATTGTTGGATCTCAGCCACATTTGGCGAAAAGAGCATGAGATTTAGTGCATGACAGCAAGATTTTTTGACAAGGGCGACCGCAGGTTATTTTTCTGTCCTTGCTATAGCATTCATTCAAGAATATGGTAAATAAAAGTTTCTAGAAAATTCAATAAGACGATAATGCAGTTGCTGTTTCAAACCAGCAGATGGCAATCATGATGAGCGATACAGTGAACCCCCGCTTTTTGCACCCCCGTTTATTGCAGATCCCCACTTATTGCAACTTTTTTGAGCAGATTCCCGCTCAACACTTAGTAAAATTGCAGATTCCTCGGTTTTTGCAGATTGCAACTTGGAAATCAGGACCTGCAATTTCCCGCTTCAGCCTTATATATTGTATATTAATATCAAACTTCAGAGACAGTGAGACTCGAACCAGTGACAAAAGAGATACACTATTGTATTCTATTATTTAAGAGCTTTTAAACCAAATAAGGAAAGATGTGATTGCCAGCTTATCGATCCCACTTGTGTAACATATTCACATTTTGCAGTTCCTCAGATTTTGCAACTTTTTTGACGGTATTCCCGCTGTTGCAAAAAGCGGGGGTTCACTGTACTGGCGTGCCGCAGAATCTGGCAGCTGCGATACAAAAGTGTGCATCTGAGCTTTCTAGCATTTCGTAAGTAATGAAAAGAAAAATAATCAAGTGTTAGTTTTGTAGAAATTATGGGTGTTGTTTGTTTATATTTAGGATACATGTATCATACACGATGAAGCTGACGACGATAAAGATGTCAGTGATGACTGTATCTCCAACGGTGACAGAATGTCAGCGACGGCAAACAAATACATAAGAATAAGAAAATCAATAAATCATACATCTGCCATCACAGACACATATGTATGTCAAGATAAACGTAATAATGAAATAGCCTCAGTAATCATGCATTTATCTATCAATTGAACCTGCAATACATAGTGCGTACGTCGTTGATTGCATGGACGTCTCACGCAAGTTCCTATCAGTACAAGATGCTTATGTTAAGGAGCGTGTGAAAAAACAAAAGCCTTTCAGGTGCCGGCGAGCCGTAAGCATTTCCAATTCTTCGTTTCTATATATAGCGTATGGAAAAAGCAGAGTTTTGGCCGTGCGCCACGGCAAGTTCTCCCGCAAACACAGTCCATCTCATTACAAGAAGCCCCATACAGTTTTTTCGGACCCATGTTAACTCATTTTATCTGTCTTTGACTCTTTCAAGTCATATTACGTACACGTTAAAATATCCCATAAAGCAGCAGATGTGCCAACAGTATATTTTCATGAAAGGTAGTACTAAGCGTAAAACACCAAAGGGATAATTGTGTTAAAACACTGGGGAGCACTGATCGCCTGCATGTATATACCCGATTCGCATCGCTTGTGTTTCACTATAATCTGTCGCTCCAACTAAGGTTGTTATAAGGAACATTGAAGCTAAGCTTAGCATGATTAGATATACTATACGGTCCTTTGCCTTTAATCCTATCGTAACCTGTGCGACGAAAATCAACAGATAAGCTGGTGCAAGCGTGGCTGTACCAGCAACGACAGTTTCCGGAATGGTGAAACGGAATATTGATAGTCAATGATGTATCACATGACGTCAAGTCGTGCCTTTCAAAATGACGTTACTGCTTTATTTGAGTACTTACATATACTGACATTTTGCCTTGCTTGACATGTAGGGCCTTGCTTGACATGTGGGAGGCGGGCATATTATGCTGTACAGCACATTGTGGACCTTTAATCTTATTGTGTGGAACCTATCGAATATATCTTATGCCAAATATGCATGCGAAGCAGATTACGTGGATGCAGATCATCACTCACGGCTGGTTTCGGCTGAGTGGTTCCTAAAACCATGACTCAAAAATTTACTCTCGGAAATGGCTTTACGATTTCCCGTTTCCTTCGCATGGCAAATTTGCTTGTATGACCTCTATTACGGCTGTCTTATTTATATTATTCAGGAAGAATAAAGAGGTGGAAGCACTGCTGATGGTATTACGAATGCAACGAGCATGTTATCTCATGATGGTGGCTTGAAGTGAGAGAGAGAAGAGGGTTCCCGGAATCAAAGCAATTTCCAAAAATGATTCTTCTGGAAGGGTCTGTGCTACTGTGATTCGCTTGGGCCAACCGACAAGTTCCGCCCGGCTTTTGCCTAATTGGTGCATTCTATACGATATAAATATGCAACTCTGTGTCCTTTCCTCCCAGCCCCCACATTGCACAACAACTTACCCCAGCTTTACCTACTAATAAGCATGCTTAAGCTTTTATCACATCAGCAACCGCTGTTTAAGCAGCAGCTCACATCCCTTGCTATTCGGAGCACACACACTGCCGCTCAGAAGATTCCCAAGGATCTGCTTCGTGAGCTTCAGGCAACACGACCAGCGCCTATGCGCGATGAGTTCCTTGGTTCCAACAAACTCACAACCGACGATCTCGAGAAAATGGATATCGACAAGGCCAAGCACCATGTTCCGGAGACACTGAGTGACAAGTTTGCCTATCGCATGGTCAAGACGCTCCGTCTTTTGCCCGACACATACTTTGGTCGCGACCACTACATGCGTGCTGTCATGCTCGAAACCATTGCTGCAGGTACACATTCTCATTGATCTCGACTTGCTTCCATGACAGTCAAGGGGCTAGCTCTTGCTAAAAGAACAAACGTATCTATAGTTCCAGGCATGGTCGGTGGCATGCTAAGACACATGCGATCACTGCGGAACTTATCTGAAGACAACGGCTGGATCATCCACTTGCTCCACGAGGCGGAAAACGAACGAATGCACTTGATGACCTGGATGAAATGCTTGCAGCCAAGCTTGTGGAACCGATTGCTTATTTTGGGTGCCCAAGGCGTCTTTTTCAACAGCTATTTCTGGCTTTACGTGTTCTCGCCCAAGACAGCCCACCGTATGGTATGTCGAGTCGTACTATTATTATCAACTACTGCTGCTCTTCACTATGTACTAATGGAAGACTTACTCTTCGTTCCCTTACAATCATTATAGTGTGGCTATCTGGAAGAAGAAGCCGTAGTTTCGTATACCCACTTTTTGGACGATATTGATGCGGGTGTTCTGCCTAACGGCCCGGCTCCTTCAATCGCGATTGGTAGGTTTCTCCACAATTTACTTTTGAGCTTCATAATGATCATTACACTGGTATTAAATATCTCTGATAAAATCACAGATTATTATAACCTTCACCCAAGCGCATCCATTCGCGATGTTGTATTAGCTGTTCGTGCTGATGAAGCTTTGCATCGTGACGCCAACCATCACCTATCTGATCGAATTGCATACAACCGCGAAGATATTATTGCAGACATCAAGGCTGAGCAGCTCAGGAAAGTGCGAGCTGGCAAATGATGATCCAAATACTGCTGTTACTCCTCTTGCTAGCTAGAAAGAATGAAAGAAAAAACCGGTCGCATATAAAATACAGGCACACTTTGCTACATTTAAACTACTGCATACTTTTTTACCACTTGTATATATCACATCATCACAATAAAACAGTTAAATGAATGCTAAGAATGCTTATGCACAGCACAGTTACAATCTTGTTGGCGGAGATTCCCGCTTACCCTTCCCCGCTTTCTTCCCCACCGTTTCCCCAGCCTAGATTAACATATCCTCACTAAAATTCCCACACACCATTTCCTCTTTCCACCTCTTCCTTCCATGGAGAACCGAAAGCAAGGTCGTAATACTGCATGTCGACTTTGCAAAACACGTAAACGGAAATGCATTCGACAACTCGGAATGCCTTGTACACTTTGCCAACAGACAAGCCGATCATGTTCTGCGTACCTGGATGAATTAGGATCTTCGACCGCTATAACTGCGCCCAACAGCCTTCAAGATTACGACTTGGAACGTCGAATTTACAACGATCCTTTGCTCGAACATTATGTCGATTTATTTTTCCAGTATATCCACGACCCAGTTTTGACCGTCTTTCACAAGCCGACGTTCATGCTCCAGTTCCACAAGGGAAAAATCAAGCACTTTATTCTGTATGGCATAGCTGCACTAGCTGCTCGCTTTTCGAACGATTCGAGTATTCGTCACATCGATCCGCGGGAGCGTGGTGCAAACTATTATGAGATTGGTGTCCGCTTGCTCAAGCTTGCCATTGACGAGATCTGCATGGACACGATACATGGTTGTATGCTCTTTGCGCACTATGCTTCCGGATACATTCAGGTAGAACAAGAAGCCGTGTATGTTGGTGTCGCCATCAGAATCGCACATCTTTTGCACTTGCAAGAAGAACCAGATACTGGTAATGCCCTGCAGGATGAGGTGCTGAGACGTGCTTGGAGCATTTTGTTTGCGTCAGACAGATGGAGCGCGCTGGGGAATCGCATACCACGTATCACAGGCTTCGAATACACCACCGACCGGCCAGCAGCGAAGAAGCCTATGCCTGACATTGACTTCCTCCAGCTAATGGGAGACGAGCCGAGCAAGGAGTATTCAAAGGGAATTTGGTCACCGAATCGTGACCTACACGACATTGCATCCAATATCCATAAGCATCAATTGGCGTTACTGTATGATTCAGCGAGTCCGGAGGCGTCTTTCGAAAGAATCGATCAGATATCTTCTGATTTGCAAATGTGGCAGCAAAATCTACCGTCTCATTTCAAGTTTACTCCTCAAAACATCTACTTACAAAGCAGCTTGTCATACGGCGCCATTTTCCTGGGCACACATTTATCGTATCACTACAACTACGTCGTGTTACTATACCAATTCTTGTCCTATTCCGATGCTCAAAGCAGGAGCTATGCGGAACAATTGGAGTACCACGCATCGCACATCTCCGAGATCGTACGCTGGTCCAACCGAGTGCACAATAGCCGACTGCTCTACTCTGTAGTAGCACATATCTTGGTCATCAGCTCATCAGTACACCTGCATACGCTAATGTATGGCGATGACAAGGCGGTCAGTCGAGCAAAGGAGGATCTGGATACAAACTTCACGGCTATTATGGAGTTACGACGGTATTGGCCTGCCGTTGATGTATCAGCAGCTCGACTTCGAGTTTTTGAATCAGCATGTCTTACATCAAGTCAAAACACATGGCGAATGGATCGATGGCTGGTGAAGTTTCTACTGTTCCACACAAAGGATATGGATAACGATCAACGCGATGAACCGGTACAACCAATAACACCTTGCTCGGATATTCAATCACAAAATCAAACGCCGGCTCTGGTCTCACATCAAGCTACGGAGGATTCTAACCACCGGATGGTTGAAAATGCTCTTTCATGGCTGCTAAGCGCCGATCCATATACTGGATATCCACAGGATCTGTTTTTCTTTGATCCACAGCAAACACCTACGTCACCTACTACTCCTGTCCCAACAACAACGCCGAATATACCATAATGTATTACTTATTAAAAGTATATGTATTATTAACGTCTCTTTTTGTATCATGTAAGATGGATCTGTACATAGCAACTATATAGTCAACATGGCATGCTCAAGCAGCAATACTTTTTTTTTCATCCAAAAAACACTTTATTGTGCAATTAGACAACTGTTTTCACACTCGCAAAAACCAGCTGACAGTACAACTCCAAGCATGGCAAAAACTATTGTTGTGAACATCGTGATACGGACTGAATAACGAGTCGTTTTCGCTGTATGCCTCCCAAAACGTATCGGCACCACGATCAACCATACCCCCAAAGTATGTTTTGGCAAGTGCCAGGCACTGTTGTTTGGCATCGTTTCGGTGGAGAGCTTCAAGGACATAATGATATGAATATGGAGTGTTGGCTTTGATGGCATTAGGATCCTCAATGGCGGATAGGATGGCCTGCACGTGCTTCTCGGCTGGTAAGATTTGTGCCATACCCATCCATGCTTGCGACGCCCATGAGACTTGACCGTTGCAAACAAACACGCCCTTGTCAGTGTCAAAGAAAGACATCGCGCCTTGTGTAAGCTCCTGAATCTCTTTTGAATAATCCACGTTGACGTTGATGAGCTTTCCCAGCTGCTGAGCGGCTTTTAAGGCAAAGATAAAAACCCCTTGTATACTAGCTTGTCGATCAAGTTGCTCTTGCCAGTCGATAAAGTACCACACTTCAGGTTGCGGAGTGAACAAGCCATCGCGAATGTGATCGTGCAGTGTACGGGTCAAAATTTGTCGACATATGGGAAACAATCGTAAGCCGGTGGCGGTATCTTGAGTCGCTTGAACATACTCGAGTAATGTAACCACGAACAAGAGTTCGTAATCCACAATGTAGTCTCCACTCGTCGCAGGACGTGGGCGTTCGTATAGACATGCCATGATCTTGCCATCCACTTGTAACCCAGCAAACAGATACAGACACCGTTTGACCAAATCATTGTTTTGAAATGTGACATAGTTGACCAGCGCCTGTAGTCGCAAATCACCGAGCCATAGTCGTCGGTCTCGTCGGGGACCATCCTCATATACCGTCTGCATGCAGTCTCGCAAAGTTCGCAGGCCCACTTGGTCTATTACTTCGAAACCATCAAGATCGACTGGCTTGACATGGTTTGTTGCACTAGTGACAGCATGTGACTTGATGTTATGGAAACGCACCTTAAATTTGGGCGAAATTTCGAGAACCTGGAAACGTACATAGCGGAATGCATGACGACGTTTAATCTGCACCTTCTGCGGCAACTCATCCACGCTGATAACTTCGTAAGGGAACCAGGACGTGCTGATCCACGATTTGGACGGGTAGAATTCCTCGACCACATCGGCAGGGACTTCGCCAAATGTCAGACGCAACCGGGCAGGCGAATCGACGTTAATACCCTGAGCATCAAGATCGAAAGACAAGTAACCTGTGCGATGACCTTCAAAATCGACAATGAAATCCGCGCCGGTAGAATACCAGGTTTCTTCGTGTACTGACATGGGGTCTTGGGCAACGCGACGGTGTCTCAGGAACACAGTATCATCCGGCTCAAAGGACACGGTTTCAAGCGGTTCCTCGTCTGTGTATACCAGTTTGGGAATTAGGGCTTGTGCATCCGAGAGGAACGACGATGATTCTTGAAAAGTCTCAGCGGGGGCCATATTCTTAATTTGCTTGAGAAGAGTACGATGAAAGGAAGTGGTGTGGTTAAAATAGTAAAGAAGAAAAGGCAATTGCGGGCGGTAAGTGGTTGGGAAAATATGTGAAAGTGATGTGATGCTTGGTCCCTTTAAAGGAAAAATACACGGACAGCGGGCGGATGCCGGTGAGAAAGTTGGCGGCCCATGACGGACAATTTAGCGGAGATCCACCGCAATTTCTTAAAATGCACCCTGTCCATTTGTGTGGGGTAGCTGGTCTCCACATCTTCCCAAAACCATATAAGTATCACCATCCATCATCCATAATGCGTCGTCGAGTTTGTTTCCAGCCTCTCGTCATCATCGAGCTCCTTTATTCTCTTTTGCCTTTAATCATACCATGGGTCTCTTCCGCTCGCTGTTCACTGCAGTATTCGCCTGTGTGGGCTCTTTTCTCTTTGGCTACGACTCGGGTGTCATCACAAACGTCATTGCTCAGGAACATTTTGTCTCCCACTTTGAGAATCCTTCCGCTGCAGCACAAGGTGGCATAGTCAGCGCGTACACGGGCGGTGCCGTGCTCGGCTGTATCGTTATTTTTTATGTAGGCGACCCGCTTGGACGCACTCGCTCCATCTTTGTCGGCTCGTTCGTGCTTTTGTTCGGCTCTGCACTCCAAACGGGCTGTACCACCGTCGCAATGCTCATCGCGGGTCGTCTCATTGCCGGTATCGCCATAGGAATGCTGTCATCGACAAATCCAGTGTATTGTTCAGAGATTGCTCCCGTAGCTTGGCGCGGCATTATGGCTGGATTGCAACAATGGATGCTGTCGTGGGGTTTCTTTGCTGCACAGTGGATCGGTTATGGTAGCAGCTACGCTGACTCGGCCTTCCAATGGCGGTTCCCTCTTGCCTTCCAGTGCGTTCCCGCTCTCATACTCTGCTTGGGCATTCTCTTCCAGCTAGAATCTCCGCGTTGGCTCGTGCAGAAGGGTCGGCTTGATAAAGCGAAAGAGACTTTGCGTAAGCTTCACTACGACGGACACAACGACGACTTTTTAGAACTCGAGTACAACGAGATTCAAGCCCAAATCAACCTTGAGAAGAATCTGTCGGCCAAGTCCTGGAAATCCTTGCTGGGCAAAGCAAGCTCTCGGAAACGTGTTTACTTGGCTTGTGGGATTCAGCTTGCTGGACAACTGTCTGGTATCAACGTGATCAATTACTATGCAAGTATACATGATTCACATGGTTTACTTGTAATCACATAGAGCTAACATCTTCCGTACGCTTTTATTATAGGGCCCTCGTATTTACGCAGCTCTGGACATTGATACTCAAACCTCGCTGATGATCATTGGTATTTCCGGTGCTTTATCGATTGTCTGGTGCACTATCGGTTTGTGGCTTTCGGAGAGCATTGGGCGTGTGAAGCCTTTGATAATTGCCTGCTACGGTATGGCATGCTGTCTTTTGATCAATGCGGTGCTCTCCCAAACTGTTGTTGCAGCTGGTACAACCAACCATAATGCTCTCCGTGCCAGCGTTTCCATGAACTTTTTGATCTCTTTCTTCTTTACACCGCTTGGTATTAACAGCTGGGTACGTTTACCAGAGTACCTTCTTTATCAATGACGGAAGAAGTAAAAGCTGATGTCTACTTCAATCATAGATATATCCTGCCGAAATCTTCAACACTGAGACCCGTGCACGAGGAAACGCTCTTGCTACAGTCACTAATTGGATATTCAATCTTATCTTTGCTCAAATCTCACCCATTGCATTGGAAGCTGTCGGCTACAGATACTTTTATGCGTTCATGGCATTCAATATTGTCACCGGTACGTGCTTTTGGATCTTTTACCCGGAGACTCGCGGCAAGACACTCGAGCAGATGGGCGAGCTATTCGGAGACGAGGTTATACATGTTGATGCCACATCCAGTGACGAGTACAAGGCTTCTAGCACGGGCGAGAAAGATATCAGCGGTGGTGACCTGGAGAAGAAATGATACCATCCAATTTATCTTTAATATCTTTTTTAATTTCTCCTTACTTAGTCTCCTAATAGTATAGTATAAGTTATCCTTATGTCTTATGTAACAGTAAAAACTTAGTTCTGATGTGGTCATCCATTTACAAATAAATCTGTAACTAATTATACCAAGTACTCGTATTACGTGATCTGTAAATGGCTACAATTAGAAAGAAGTACTATGTTTATGTGCACATGTGTACGATTATAACGCGTTGCTTCATTACTGCTGCTGAAGTACGTGTGGAGCTTGGAGCAAGAATGAGTAGAGCCAGCGTAGCGTAAATACATGGCACTACAGTAGAACTATTTGATGTGATAGTAATACGAGTGTATTTTAGTTAGCATAGCCAACGTTACATGTACATACCTCTGAGTGTACATCTGACGCGCGCTAGCTTGTTACTGTAATACCGACAGGGCACGGTGTACGAATTCAACAAGACCTTAACCATGCCAATACAAAACGGTATGTTCACTTGTAGGTAACGGTATCATAGAAATGTCACTATATCTAAATAAAGTATTTAGCAAGAAGAATGCTCCGTAATTTTCAAAGAAATCCACACAGATGTTGGAAAGAGTGAGGGTGGGAAAGGATCATAAGGATAAGCACGATCGTCGTGTATAAACAGCAGGACAGAATTTATTGCAGCGACATACTCCCCTTTCTTTTGCTTGCTATAAATATATTGCAAAGGAGAACTTGGAATAGCCGTCGCCACTGTTGTATTAGGTAGATCCATTCGAGCTTTGATGGTAGTAGCTTCCGCACGTGTTTGAGTAATGATAAGCAACCTTCTGAAGGACCGAGCGTATAGCAATGGTTGTCCTGAAAGTTGTTTACCTACAAGCAGTTATTTGCCGCAGCCACCGCCATCATCGTAATATCCGATGCCTTTTGGATGATATATCCCGTTACTGCTCTACTCCATATAAACAAGCACGATATCTAGTAAAATTCAGAAGGAGCAACAGCGGCCATGTAAGAGCAGCAATACCGTAATAGTATTCAGTGATCATGTAGAAGCGAATGCATCGCACGTGTGGATCCAAACTGAAATATCCGTCGTTTGGGCCTGAACAGAGATCCAGTTGCCTTAGATACGACTATACACACCTAACCATAATCGGCTGATGCAAGGACTTACATAATATTGTCAATTCCAAGTCAGATCATTCTCCTTGGCCTTGACAGGCTCTCTATTTCCGCTGCCCCCGCCGACATTATTCTCGTCCTTCGTTTCTAGTAGTACAACAGCTCAAATATCAATGGGACATTCACGTAATGATTATAGCAATGGCTCTAGCAATCGTTGGACAGACAAATTACTGTGATGCTGACCTGAGCGGTTTCTAGACGACCTGCAGGAATACCTTTCGTTCGCGATTGCTTTGGCCAAGGAGGCCGGCAAGATGATTAAAGACGCCACAGAAACCAGAATGTCAGGCACTGGCAACCAGTTTCTGGTAAAGTACGACAACCCGACCGACTTGGTGACGGAAACCGACCAGGCTGTTGAAAAGTATATCAAAAAGCGCCTCTCGGAAGCATACCCGGAACATCGGTACGAGTTTTTTTTTTCCTTTGTGGGTGGTCTTAAAAGAAAGAAGATTCTAAAAAATGTATAAAGGTTCATTGGCGAAGAAACGATGGCTGAAGGCGTGGAAGCAGTGTTTACGGACGAACCTACTTGGATTGTCGATCCAGTCGGTAAAGCATACTGTTTATTGGTTGGAGAATGACGGCACAAGAGATAGAAGGAAAAAAAGTTGACACATGTAGTTTAGACGGAACAACCAACTTTGTGCACGGACATCCGTTCGTCGCTGTGTCCATCGGCCTGACCATCGGCAAGGAACCTGTAGTAGGCGTTGTCTATTGCCCGCTTATGAACGAACTATATTCTGCCGCCAAGGGCTTGGGCGCTTTTCTCAATGAAAATGTACGACTACCTCTCTTCCAACCCACCCCGCCACCACTTGGCGACCTATCAGAATGCATTGTTGCCACGGAGGCTGGTTCGGATCGTTCGCCCGAAGTGTTTGACAAGAAGATGGCAACCATCCACACGATCCTGAAACAAAAACAAAACAACGGCAAACAAGCACATAGCATCCGCTGCACGGGTTCGGCAGCCATCAACCTGTGCACCATTGCCAAGGGTGTTGTTGATGTATACTGGGAAGTCGGCTGCTGGGAGTGGGATGTTGCAGCAGCGATTGTCATTGTGCGCGAGACGGGGGGCATTGTCGTATCCGGCGGAAGTAATCCTGATGCATCGCCAGTGAACATCTTTAGTCGCAAATACTTGGCGATCCGTGGCGCGCAGGATGAAGCCAGCCAGCTCAAGGTCGCTCATCAAATGTGGGATATCATTCCCGACATTGATGCACCCAGAAAGGCTGTGCCTGGCGGATTCGAACCATAATTAACAACCCCACATGCATATAGGCCAAACATACAATGTATAGTTTTAGACTGTTATAGATAAAATTGTTTTTTTTTTGTTCAAATGTATACATAAACTAAAGGAAGCAAGGAAAAAAAAAGAAGAGGTTGTGTTATCCGAAACTCCACCCCCCCTCAATCGTATAGCGTAATGTGCTGATTTTTGTTGCTGGGTGGCTGCTGGTTTGACTCTTGTGTGTATGTATGGTGTGTCAGTGTGTGGAGATTTTGTAAGGGTGACGGTGATATATGGAAAGAAAGACAACCAAAAGACGACAGATCAAGGGGGAAAGAGGATGGAATGGAAGGGAAAGACAATATACTCTATGGGATGGCTTTCAATAGCTTATTGCTGAGCACACTGAACGCCGGGGCCACCTCTGCCATCCTCGTCATCCTCGTCCTCGTAGGCGCTGCCCTGTGCTCTCTGGGTTTGGTAGCCGTCTGCGTCAGCCATGACAACCTCGTCGACCTGCTTGTCGCCAAAGCTTGGCAGCTGTGCACGGGGAGGTAAAATGCCGTCAAGCTTGCCAATCGTCTCGGGATCGGTCCAGTTGGGATTGGGGAACTCGACGCTGAACTTGACAAACATGTGGCCGTGGTTGTGGTGGCGGTACGTGGGCATACCTTCGTTGGGAATCACCTTGATGCAGTCAGGTTTGATCGCTTCACCCGGAAGCACCGACACAAGCAAGACACGCTCGTCGAGGTGGGGAATGGCAAATTGACCGCCGGCCAGCGCCGTCAACAGATCAATCTTGGCTTCGTACACCAAATCGTCGCCCTTGCGCTGGAAGCGGGGGTGTTGCTTCTCGTCAATGGCAATGATGATATCGCCGGGAATAATACCGGGTGCCTGGTCGCCTTCGCCAGAGAACGTGATACGTTGGCCGTCGCGCATGCCCTTGTCAATGAACACCTCAAGAATCTTGCGCTCGCTGATAATTTTCTTGCCCATGCACTGCTTGCAGCGGTCCTTGTCGCTGATGACCTCACCCTCACCACGGCAGTCGGTACAGGGCTGCTGGATCTGTTGAACCATAGGGCCCATCTGTCGCATAATAATACGGACACCGTTACCGTTACATGATCGGCACGTCTGCATAGCTCCCTCCTTGCCACCACGGCCCTCACATCGAGAGCAGATCACGCTCTTTTGCAAAGCCAGCTTGGACGTCTTGCCAGCATACAGGTCTTCCAAAGAAACCTTCAAGTGGTGCATCATGTCCTTGCCACGACGGGGGCCAGAGGGACGGGAGCGTCCGCCGCCGCCGCCAAAGAGGCCGCCACCAAACAGCTGAGAGAACAGATCCTCTGCATCCATGCCTCCCATACCACCTTGACCATTCAAGCCCTCTTCACCAAACTGATCGTACATTTGTCGCTTTTCGGAATCAGACAATATTTCGTAAGCATGCGAGATCTCTTTGAACTTGTCACCAGCTTCAGGATTCTATATGTAAATGATTGCATTGTCACGAAGAGTATAAAATATTAGTCATTGTATATGAAGACAAGAATGAGTCAGCTAGCTCAGTCCTTCCCCTAAGCCTATGTCACATCTTTTTCCTTCCTTCCTTCCTTCCTTCAGTTGAAAGGTATATATACCTTGTCAGGATGATACTTTAAGGCAAGCTTTCTGTAAGCCTTCTTCAAATCGCTTTCTGAAGCATCAGGGCTGACGCCAAGAACGTCGTAGTATTTTGATTCTCGGACCATAGTGGATGTATAGATTGAAGTTTTTTTGTTGGTGAAAAAGGGAAGGAAAGGAAAACGAAGGAAGGAGCGAGAACTTTTGGGTGAGCTTTAAAGTCCGGTGTTCAGGGCACTATACAAAAACTTTTTTTGGCGCTATGATTGGTCATACATCTCTGGATTCAAGCCATCGACAAGAGATAATACTCTAAGTACACTAAAACGTATCCTATTAGCTTATGTTGGTTTTGGTTTGTGACCCCATCTACAGTATGGTAGAATGGAATCGTTGCTTGTTATTATTGGAACCGTCAAGCGGTTGCAGTTGCTGACAAAAACACAGGAGGACAGTACAGGCATTTTGGAAAGGTTGACTTGTCACCCTTCAAACATGATTTTCCGCTTGGATTTTTTCAGTTGGCGCTGGAGGATTATCACATTGCCAGAAAGATGTTTGTTACTTGGCGCGACGATTTCTTGGAAATTGGTATGATAAGAATGCAAAATTGCGCATAGAGAAAGATGATATCTTGAGGATATATGGATGCCAAATATTCGTGTATGCGCAGGAATCAAAAGAAAAGTGTTCTTTCGTTTTACACATATTATTGAGAGGGGTGACTGCAGGAAAAAATTTACACGGATAAGAAGATGGTATATACATTTTTGGTTATTAAATAGAAAAGAAGAAAGAACTGTTCGAGATGAAGTGGGGCATATTGGGAGGGAGACGATAGAAATCAGGAATGCTAATGAGTGGGGAAGAAAAAAAGGGATGGATGTGTGTTTATGATATTAGGGATTGGGGAAGAAGACGACAAATTACTAAGACAGCCTTAATCGCTTGGATGGTAAAGACCAAGATGACGAAGATGGTGACGGAACGGTAAGATTTGGGGGGAGACACCAGTGAGCACCGTTGCTTGACATGGTTATTGCTTCAGGAACGTCGTCCAACAGATCAACGGTTTTATCCAAGATTTTTTTCCCACTGTATGCCAGTGTCATTAAAGGGAGCAGGCGAGAGACCAAGTTTGAGTCTGTGTGCGGGAATCTCAATGGTTCCGTTTTGCGCACTCTTGTGACAAACCCAGCAGGGATGTTCACATCTAGAAGTGATGTGGAGCCACCTTAATAAATGCATCAAGATATATTCCCCAGTTAATGGATAACTCATATGTAGGCTAGCATCTTTTTCCATGAACTCTGTGCAAAAATCATACATACCCGTAATACTGTAAAGTAACATATCCCTTAACACCAGCGGCATCTTCATCGAACAGTCACGGGACGCTTTGGTCTGGTCTCGCGCAGCAACAACTTTGGACTGGGCAGGGGCAGGGGCAGGAAGAAAAGCAGAAGCGGAAACAGGAAGAGAAGCAGAAACAAAAGGAGCAGCAGACGCAGAAGCCGGTTCTTGTTGTCTACCTGATAGTTAATATATATATGATTTTGGTTGCTCTAGTGTAGTAGTTATCATACCTAGAAACCGCTCTCGACTTGCTGGATCTTCCGTAGTTATTCCAGCATTCCTGGAGGATATGGCGAGCTGCCCACTGGCCCTGGCAGACAGCAAAATCAATGCCCTGCTTTCGGAACATCCAAGTTCAAATGACCCGTATTTGAAAATTGTGTCTCCCCGTCGACCCATTTTACGATTCGATATCGCTGTTACTGATGACAGTTGCCGAGACGAGTTTACAGCATTTGCATTGGCTTCGCTGGAGGTTTCGGTACTGTAGATCGAATGGAAAATATTATGTTAAACCCATTTTTAAATCCAATTTGCTCGTCTATCATGAACCCATTTATCCTTTACCCTTTTGGTACGATGTTAGATCCTTGAAACACAGTAGCGAAGAAACCAAATGCCAAATACTGTTGATCGGTTTCAGGCATATTATATATATCGAAAGAATGTGTTTTGAAAAAGAGGCGCGCAACATTTTGTAGTTCGGCCGAAAACCAGACTTCCAAAGGTTCAGTTAACGGATCATTGATTATGATACTTCGTGCATATTTAAACACTTCAGCGCTTGTTTTCTATAGATAAAATCATTTACTACTGTTGTTAGCTTTGCGTTACTCTTGTTGATGTAATTTTTATTATATATACATACCACCCCTTCCGACTCCAAATAACATCGTATCATGATATATAGAGATGTAAGAGATGGACTGGGGTGGTCCATCCTTACATGCAGGGATAATAAAACCTGACAACTTTAGTTGTTGAGGTTTGATGCCCTGGTAGAGTGCATTCGAGTGCGCCCCCTTTGTTCTTGATTTCTAGCAATTCTGCCTCTGTGAAAACATTGATCCAGTTTTTGTCGCTCACATCCAAGATGAGTGGTTGCGAGGGACTAAAACAAAAGAAAATTATCAACTGACAATGGATGATTGTCTAACTCGAATTAATGTGATGATTTTTACTTACTGGTAGTAGTTGCAGCTCAACGCAAAGTCCATCACTTTTTCTTCCACTGACACTGGATCGGTGCCATCTTTCGCTGCTTGTGCTATGCTTGTTTCCAACTGCCAAAAATCTTTTGTTGCTCCGTGATTTCTGTTTTGAGGGTGGGCAAAGATGATGGCGTTGGTTGTTTTGGTGATTCTTGTACAGTACGCGTACAACTGCCCAAAATCTTCGATTGTCGCGCCCAAATGCATATACAGGTGCATGTTCGATGTGATTTCTTTCTAGGCCATACAACCGTTCAGCCCCGGTGCAAAATTGCTGGAGCAGCTTGTTTGCTTCTGCAATATCATCCACAGTAATCGATGGCTTGACCAACAAGTGGCATGCATCAACAAATGTCAGCCAGTTTTCGAGATATCTTCTGGGAAGCTGACCGTCGAGCATAAAAGGCGAGTATACAATGCACCCTGGTTTCTAATCGTCAGCGGTAATAACGAGGCGCCACTTTGATTTTTCGGTTCACGGTACAGTAACATAGCCAGGAGGAAGAACAATGACACTCCATCAGCGGGTGTACGAGTTGAAGCAGGTGTGGCAGTAGCAGTAGTGTTTGTAACTGTCAAATGACGATCTATGGCTTTCTATAATGCTCGCCCAGTCTTTTACACAAATAAAGTCAATGAATTAGTACTCTTTTATAAAGGCCAGAGCTTTGAAACGAAGTAGTGATACTTGCCAAGTCAATGTTGTTTGTAGTAGCAATTTTCTTTACGCGTCTGATAAACAAAGTTTTGGCTCGTCGTATGAAATCTTGTTCATTGAAAGTAGCGACGAGAAAGTCTTGGAAGTGATCCAGGATCACAGTCAGCTCAATTTGATTTGAGTGATTATTCTTATAATGAGCTTTAGAGATGTAAGAGATGGACGGGGGTGGTTTATGACATCCAAGATGTCTTTTATGTGATATGAAGCTTTGTTAATATGTATACATAGAACATATTTATTTGTTTCAGTTGTATTATTACTAGTGATTACCTTCATCTGAGGGTTCCATGGTAGCAGGTTGGCGAGTTTATCTGGTAATTAGACAAACAAGTAACTGCCAAAAGTTGAGCAGCAGGTACTTTACGATTTACGTAATATTTTTCAAGAAGAAATATATGATTCATTAACAACATGTGCTTCTCTTCATGGATTACTTAATAACATTCGACGACAACATGGCATATATATCGATTAATCACGTTTGTGTTCCTGGCGCAATTCTTGACTCGCACACTCAAAAAACTCTCATGGACTTTAGAGACCCCCCTTTTGCTGTGACAGTACCAATATCCATGCTACGATTCGAAAAAAGTCGCTATGTCTATGGAGAGAGCAACCACCGCATCAAGGCAATAACCGATCACAAGCCAACATACCTGACGATATGCACGATACACATCATATAACCGACAGTTTACCAGACGATAGTGATCAAGAGTCAACATCTTCTTGTTCGACGTCAGCATCACTCCAATGAACAAAGCATATCGAATATACCATGTTCCGACTCTTCAAACTTCAACTTCACAAATATTTATGCGCAGGATACCCAGCAGCAACCAGTATATTCGAGAATCCTAAAAGACATCTATCACTTCATGGCGCTAATCAAGATACCCAACGGCACGTTCTCGCAAAAGATTTCTCCCGGCAACTACGCAACGCTATCTTTGTTGTGCACCAAGAAGATCGGCAAAAAGTGGAGCAATATCTAGCGACCAAAACATCACATGGGAATACATGCTGAACACGAATCCATCTTGGGTTATGCGAAGAGTGAAACGTATCATCCCACCACCACACGAGCTCGGTCCTAAAGTCCAATATCTTTTCACTGAATACAGTAACCTAATTTGCACCAGAACTGGAAGGAAATTGTTTGATAATGATGCCCACCGTCAAGCCCAAAACATGCTCAAGGCAATATATGAAGGCCAAGTTTCCGATCATCCCGATATGCCGCTGTACTATAAAATTGGATACGACAAAAAAGCAAACCTTCCCCTTTATCGGCGTGCCCGTGGACTGGTTCGAAAAGAAAGCCAGAAGATAGTCATTTCAACCCATTCTGTTGTCTATGTTTATCGATCGTGTTTAATACGGATGTCAGTAAATAAAGTATGTCGTATTTGCCATCAAAAGCTTAAACGAAGATATTAAAAATGCCATAACGAAATAAAAGAAACTGTAGGCGAAATAATAGGAAAGCTCGCGAACGAAATGGTAAATCCCGTAAACCACAAATTTTTGAGCCCGTGTCCGGGATTGGATTCAAAATCCTGTATATAGACAAAACAACTAGTATATAGTTGCATATAATCACAGGGACACTATCATATAAATTTTTAGAATGAGAAAAGTGTGTCTGTACGTTATAAAGGAGAGTGATGATACGATGTGATATGGTGATAATATTGAATAGCTTTCCACAGGCATGTTTGGCACTCTCTATTGTATCCCATTTCCTATTTCTATAATGAGCTGTTATGGAATTAGAAGATGTACTTGAAGTGGGGCAAGAAGAGAAATGTTGGGAGCTGCATGTTACTGAGTGCAATATATATAAAAGACGCACGAAAAGAGAACACGTTATCAAGGTGCTTTGCATTTCAATCGCTCGGTTTGTATGACAAGTGCAACAAAAATCCCTATTACCCTTGATCTACACTATCTGATATATCTATCAGGAGTGTATAGACAAATGTCACAATAACTCATTAAGATTACAGCGAGGAGATCACATACAGCATCGGATTGCTTGTTACGAGTCAGCGTAGCTGCTTTGTCCTGTCGCCAGTTTGTCTATGGTAATAAAGTGTATAGAAAATCTACTAATCAGGTTTATACGTACTGACCAGCCAATGATCGAATTACGATACCAATTCTACCCCCCCCCAATGCAACAGAGGGATTGACTCGCAAATGAGCCAAATCGCCTTGCCTTTTCTAAGTTAAAAGTTTTGGTCCAGCAGAGATTTTATTATTAATCTCTTATCGTTGATGCAAACAAATCTCTTTCACACAGGCACACGCGATAAGAAAAGCTGCGATAACCAATTTATGTAAGGACGTTGGCATTCAGCGCAATTCGGTGACCAAATAGCGTCGATGGTGCACCAAACTGGCTACGTCGAAATAGATGAGCGGGCAATCGAGTTGCCTGTTGGTGAGTGGAGATTGGTTCCTGTTAAGCAAACATACCGTGTTACACATACCTTACATAGTAGAAGCAAAAATCCTCATAAAATTACTTTTATATATATGCAGCATTGAAAGAAACGGGATATCTTTCCATGAATTTAATGATGAGACATTATCGTACGTTTGCACCAAGGGTATGCGAATTAATGACATCTCACTCAATGAAGTGAACGACGTTCTGGATAAGTGGCCCACTAAATGTGAGGAATACAAGACATCGATGTGTTGGAGATATTTTGCAGCCCAGAAGCCTGCTACGTACACACATATGTATACAGATGAAGAGAGAGTGTGTCTAGATTGGTGTATACAATGTGCATGGTAAAGTAGAAACTTTACGGATCAGCTATTGATTGGTTCTCATTCCGAACCTTAAATTCCTTGATCATTTGAAGCTTTTGGTTTCAAAGTAGACTCGATGCTACTAAAAGCTCAGGTTGCTACTCATTTCATCATCTCATTTGTCATTTATAGGTACTTCGCTTCGGTCTCGTTCACTCAAAAACACTTGATCAACATGAACACGTACACAACGATCATCGTCATGACCACCCACACGCTCACGACCACACCCACGCTCACGACCACGACCACGCACACGCCCATGATCACGTCCACGATTCTTTTGCGCAACCGGCTGTTCCTTATCTTGATCAACATTATGAGCAGCATAGTCACGATCACCACCATACCCCTGGATACACTCATATTCCACATACTACTACAACTGCACATGGACACGACCATAGCCATGGACACGACCACAGCCATCATCACCACGATCAAGGACATGACCACCACGATCACGACCATCATCATCATCATCATCATCATAACCATCCGCACGTCCACGTACCTCCTCTCCCATCATGGTCTGAGATCTTTGCAAACTTGGCACCGATGCAAAAAACCATCTTTACGTGGTTCTTGATTCACATTACAATTGGCGCGTTGGTCTGGTGGGCAGGCACATCCAGAGATAGTTTGGGTAAGTTACTGCAGAGGACTTCTTTAAAACCTCCTGTCTCTCTTTCCGTGTGTATTATAATATATCGGGCGAGGGCAAGAGAAGAAAAAAGAAAGCTCAAAATCTGACTTGATGTCTCATTTGTTCTTTGAATAGAAAATGTTATTCGTGGAAGATTAAGAAGAATGACTGGCTTTATAATTAGGCGATCCATGTTTTCTGTTGCACAAGTTTCCACATGTGTTCTCGGACTCTTCTCGGCATGGGTGCTTCATATGTACTTTCAGGAGATTGTTGTTTATTATCAGTTGTTTGAAGATTTATTGATATATGTAAAAAATGTTGTATATGCTATAGTTGTTAATGAAAGGAATGGAAGAACGAAATACAAAGAAAAAATGATGTAAGATGATGATGGCATTAATAATACAGAAGTAAAAGAGACTAATTTGAGAATGCGGGTATATGTATATATATAATGCTGACTTTTGAGCCCTGATAGCTCGGATGTTATGAATAATTGTTGTCATTGTGTTTTGTGTTTTAAACCTTGGCGAAAAATTTACGATTCAATAAGAAACGGATGACGACTGCCGAGAGACCCGCAGCGACCGTCATAGCACCTGGGAATTGAACTGCTGCTGTCCATCCAAACTGTTTTTGAAGTTTACCTGACACCGGGGTACCCAATAAGTTGCCAAACATAGTCAAAAAGTATGAAAAGCTAACACCTTTTTGAATGTTCTCAATACCGACGATGTCAGCTACAACCGGAGGCATCAATGATACAAAAGCGCCGCCTGAAAGGCCGAAAAGAACGCAATAAGCGACAAAGGCACCGTAGGATGTAGCGAATTGCCAAACAACCATAGTAAATATGCCGGACAGCAATGTAAAAATGGCAATAGTATTGACACGACCATATCTGTCACCAAAGTATCTAACAAACGCCGAAATCAGATCTTGTAAGTAAAAGTTTATATATGCTATGAATGTAAAGGGAGATACCAACCCAAGACTGATTCGGCAAACTGCATTGGCAGCACTCATAATGGATACCAATGTTGAGCCGCTGGAGGCATCCACACCTATATGCGCCGCATAGGTAGGTGTCAAGAAAAATGGTGCAACGTAACCAAAGGGTACCAACAACGCAAAGAGAAGTAAGAACGCAAACGGCCAGCTTAACAGAGATCGATCAAAAACATTCCAAGGCTTCCCATTGGACGGAGCTGGCGGGTACCGAGACACCGCTAATGCTGTTGCAATACTTAGGAGACCAAAACCCATACCACCCATCGCCCGTAGCGCGTTTCGATAGCCAATAGTTGTGATCAAGGATTGAGCCATAGGAGAAATACATACGCCACCGATACCAGAGCCAGAAACCGCTAGGCCTGTTGCTAAGGCTCTGTTTTTGATAAACCATTGTGAAGCTAATCAAGGGAAAGATACAGCTGAGTTTTACTCTTTCGATAGTATTTTCTGTTTTGCTTTGTTGTAGATGACCATAACTTACGTAAGGTAATGGATGGCGAGAACACAAATGAACCTCCAAGACCAAAGAGGATACCTTGTGACAGATACAAATGCCACAGTTGGGTAGCAAAACTAGCAAGAATGAGACCAAGGGGCGCCAGGACAGCGCCTATGGCCATACAACGACGGTTTCCCAGACGGCACATCAAGGGAGCGATAAATAAACCGGTCGAAAGCAACATGGCGTTAGCAGCCGTGCCGACGAATGCAATACGAAACTCGTCCGTTTGATCGGCATAGATTTCAAGATAGCTGAATGATTACAAAACATGTTTATGAGTCATCAAGACAGAGCAGAAAAAAGAGAAACATGCGAGCAAAAAAAAAAGAGAACTCAGAAAGAAACAATAGAATCTTACAGTCGTTGGAAATTGCCCCAGCTGAATACCGTGCCAAAGACCTATGATTTAAAAAGCAGTATCATGGATGAGTAAACAGTGTCCGCCTAAAATTACAATGATTTGCATCGGTAACGTACGAAAAAGTTTACGAGAAAGGTTCCAACGACTGCAAACCAGCCCGGGTTTTTTATTCCTTCGGTGCCATAGTACTCGCCGATGGTCTTGACCACCGGAAGCTGTCCCTCTGGATCGGCAGTGGCCGTTTTAAGGGAATCTTCGCGACCACGCTGGCTCTTATAAGTCTGATTGGTTCTAGTCTTTGACAATGTATGTGTGATTTCAGGAAGGGACGCCAATGTAGGGAATGGTGCGCATTCGACGAGGCCGGGATAGGATTCCTCTTCGATAATTTGATCTGCGGGGAAAGGCTGCTGTTGTCCCAGGGATGATACATTCTTTTCCTCGTCACAGGTGGCCATTTTCTTTATTTCGTCTTGATATACATTTGAAGTCAAGGTAACTTCGTTTTGGCTATGCACCGACGCATTATCATGTGCAGGCTGCATGGTGACAAAAGAGAAGGTGTTGTTCGTGAAGAAGGGAAAAAGAAGGGCAGCTTTTTATTCGTGTATTTGTTATAGATCAGAGAATTCGGAACCAAAAAAAAATCGGAGAGAGAAAGAAGGCCATCAGTAAGGGAAAACTTTGTCCCTCTTCCGGCCTTTCAAAGCATGGCTCCCAGCTAAAGTAAGGTTATCCTCTAGATCAGTTTTCTTGGGGAATCAATGCGCCGAAATGCCATAACAAACAGATCATGTTTGGCAAATTATAATCCTTCTTGGTATCAGCACTACCATCATCGTATCTCGTGGAAGATGGAACTTATTTGCATGTAGTGCGGCTGGAAATGCCCAACCTTTTTTTTGTACACCATGCCATGGACGGTCCATTGAATCACATAATAGTACACTCCGACACAAAGAGTTTTCACCAAGTTTCAACATTCTAAAAATGCCTCTGTTGCAAATCTGCTAGTCAAAGTTTTTCATCGCCGCTCTTGGCAAAAGTCTATCGTGCTCGATTCAGCGGCAACACGAGCTGCCCCTTTAAGTTTCAACTGATTATAGTGTGCATTTTTTTCTTTTTCTTTCCAGTAAATCAATTTGATCCGAGCTTTCGGTGATGAAGATTGTCTACACATGATTGCTTTTATTATTGCTGCTGCTTGATGCTGAATGATTTTATATACAGGTTATAATTCGATGATTGGGGTGCAGGCTATTATCAAAGTTGACTAGCTATTGTACCAGAGACTATATGCTTGATGATATGGGATGACAGTGGTTTTGATGTAATATACTAATTATTTTATAGGGCTTGCAGATCGTAGTTCGTCGAGTTTCATTGCATTGATATCGGCAAGAATATCTTCACGATTGGATGCAATTCGATCTGATAAGTGATGGTTAGCGTCACGATGCAAAGATTCATCAGCGCGTACAGCTAGTACAACATCGCGGATGGATGCATGTGGGTGAAGGTTATAATCTATACAGGATATACGTTGATACAATTCATCAAAAATCATCATGAGTCTCCAGATGCAGAAATAAAGGGGTTATTCTTTACTTGTGCAACCTACCAATCGCGATCGGAGGAGCCGGGCCGTTCGGCAGGAGACCCGCATCAATATCGTCCAAAAAGTGGGTATACGAAACTACGGCTTCTTCTTCCAGATAGCCACACTATAATGATTGTAAGGGAACGAAGAGTAAGTCTTCCATTAGTACATAGTGAAGAGTAGCAGTAGTTGATAATAATAGTACGACTCGACATACCATACGGTGGGCTGTCTTGGGCGAGAACACGTAAAGCCAGAAATAGCTGTTGAAAAAGACGCCTTGGGCACCCAAAATAAGCAATCGGTTCCACAAGCTTGGCTGCAAGCATTTCATCCAGGTCATCAAGTGCATTCGTTCGTTTTCCGCCTCGTGGAGCAAGTGGATGATCCAGCCGTTGTCTTCAGATAAGTTCCGCAGTGATCGCATATGTCTTAGCATGCCACCGACCATGCCTGGAACTATAGATACGTTTGTTCTATTAGCAAGAGCTAGCCCCTTGACTGTCATGGAAGCAAGTCAAGATCAACGAATGTGTACCTGCAGCAATGGTTTCGAGCATGACAGCACGCATGTAGTGGTCGCGACCAAAGTATGTGTCGGGCAAAAGACGGAGCGTCTTGACCATGCGATAGGCAAACTTGTCACTCAGTGTCTCCGGAACATGGTGCTTGGCCTTGTCGATATCCATTTTCTCGAGATCGTCGGTTGTGAGTTTGTTGGAACCAAGGAACTCATCGCGCATAGGCGCTGGTCGTGTTGCCTGAAGCTCACGAAGCAGATCCTTGGGAATCTTCTGAGCGGCAGTGTGTGTGCTCCGAATAGCAAGGGATGTGAGCTGCTGCTTAAACAGCGGTTGCTGATGTGATAAAAGCTTAAGCATGCTTATTAGTAGGTAAAGCTGGGGTAAGTTGTTGTGCAATGTGGGGGCTGGGTGGACAGGACACAGAGTTGCATATTTATATTGTACAGAAAGCACCAATTAGGCAAAAGCCGGGCGGAACTTGTCGGTTGGCCCTGGCGAATCATAGTAGCACAGACCCTTCCAGAAGAATCATTTTTGGAAATTGCTTTGATTCCGGGAACCCTCTTCTCTCTCACACTTCAAGCCACCATCATGAGATAACATGCTAGTTGCAATCGTAGTAGCATCAATAGTGCTTCCACCTCTTCATTCTTCCTGAATAATATAAATAAGACAGCCGTAATAGAGGTCATACAAGCAAATTTGCCATGCGAAGGAAACGGGAAATCGTAAAGCCATTTCCGAGAGTAAATTTTTGAGTCATGGTTTTAGCCGAAACCAGCCGTAAGTGATGATCCGCATCCACGTAATCTGCTTCGCATGCATATTTGGCATAAGAATAATTCGATAGGTTCCACACAATAAGATTAAAGGTCCAAAATGTGCTGTACACCATAATATGCCCGCCTCCCACATGTCAAGCAAGGCCCTACATGTCAAGCAAGGCAAAATGTCAGTATATATAAGTACTCAAATAAAGCAGTAACGTCATTTTGAAAGGCACGACTTGACGTCATGTGATACATCATTGACTATCAATATTCCGTTTCACTATTCCGGAAACTGTTGATTTTTCGTCGCACAAGTTACGTAGCATTAAAAGCAAAGGACTGCTGTATAGTAAATCAAATCATACTAAGCTAGCTACAGGAGCAAATATCATCGAAGTACACTGTCTCCCATATTTTTTTGAACAGCCAGCCGCTTCAAAGTGATATTTATTATTTCTCCTTGTAGAAATGTGGTCTTCGTACATATATACATTTAACTACGAGGTGATGATGAGCCCAATTTTTGTGGTAGCTATTAAGCTGGTCGAGAGTGTTTGTGTATATGTTTGCTGTGGAATTTGAGCAGTCTCCTCCTCCAAACAGCACCGGTGGCGATGGCAACTGTGTTGACCGTGTTAACTTTCTAGATCCCAAATTGAAGGTGATGAAGGAAACATTTCGAGGCCCTAAAAGTGCAAGTATCACAAACTTATGGCTTGCTAGCCCAAGGTAATTGACAGTTACTTACTTTTTCTTTTGTAGACAGTGGCCCCTCGTTAAAATGAACGCAAAAAAAAAGGGGGATTTCTGAGGAAGTCTTGGGAGGTTGAACTTGTTGATGAGAGCTGAAAAAAGTAGTAAGGGTGCATAGGCTAAGGAACGATCAAAGTCACCTAATCCTATCGCCTGTCAAGTGTAAATCACCCATATGGAAATAGCCGAGGTACAATGAAAAAGCGATGGCAAAATAGGAATTTTGTGGCACCCTGCTCAATCTCTTGATTTCTCGTTTTCCCAATATCAGACCTAACTACTATCTAGAGAATCGCTTTTTGTTAGTAATGCTAGAAGAGCTTCCTGTAGAAAAGTTACAGTGCTAGCATATACCGTTCTCAGTCTGGGAGTAGTGGCTGTGATACATAATGAATCTGCGATTTACTACGTGGATCCCTACCATGTACAGCAGCACATTACATAGCTTTTAAAGCTCGTCTCCAGCGCAGTATTACAGTATATGGTTACAGATACTGTAAAGACCCCATATTCTACATACATAAACATAAAGTAATATCGCACTCGATGTGGTAATTTTTTTTAACTTACTAAATATGTTAATGGCGCGTATATATAATGTGTAAGCATCAAGAGTGGCAACACGGAGATGGTGTATACACAATCGTCCTCCCGTTTAGCTTGGTGTAGTGCACGGCTAGTATGTATATCAGCTTCCATTGTGGCAGCAATAGACTAGAATGTTTACGTTCTCTCCATACAGACGGTCTGTTTTTGAAATTTGCGTAACGGTTACTAACTAGCACCCTCGTATCTACTTAACAGAAGCATTTGGACTTAGGGCATATATCGCACCTTTAAATTATTGTTGTCTATCATAATAATTGTTTCTTACTTGTCGAGATTATTGTGAGATCTGCTATACTGGGTACTTATGAGATGCTTTACTTTAAGGGGTGGGGGCGACGTCGATCTTTTCTATCCTTGCATAACGTATGTGGGATAAGGAGGTAAATTTCTGTCAGATGTGCATATTACAGTCTAGCATGCATTGATAACTACGCGCAATGGTGTTAACAAGTGGAAGGCAGCGATCGACCAATGCACAGATTATGTACTAATGTTGACTCAGGACGACAAGGAAGATGATTCTCGGATAGAATGCGTATCATGGATACCGATAATGACGAGAAGCAACAGGCTTCCAATATATATATATATATAAGTGTGTCAAAGAAAATTTTTTACGTAACTATCTGTGTATACAAGGTACAATGATCGGGTAGGAGAAAATAACCATTGCGCCTATAAATTCTCATTTGGGCAGGAAAATAGTACGTAAACCTTATATCTATATTATTAGTATTGGATCTTGATAGTAGACAGGGGAAAAAGAAGCTCATATTACTTTCCACTGTTGCATTACTGGCAGTATTTCATGCGTATGATCTTAGTATGGGACATGACCCTTTTTCCTCTTCAACATATTGCTCTAAGGAAAAGGGGCTTGATGGGAGGCCAGAGAGTGTATCGATGAGACGATTTATCAAGAATGGGGTCTAGTATCCCTGAATTATACACTGTCAATAAAAATGTCCCGCAGGTCGAACTTACAATGCATATTGCTATGATCGAGATGAATAGTAGTAATATTACAATATTCATTGTACAAAGTGCAGATCCCAGCCCTGTGCTATCAGGAAGCTGCGGTTGTTTTAATTAAAAGTCATCTCCCTTTCACAGCATTACAGTTGACTTAAATCGACGCCCCTATAGTATCGAGTCAATAACTCTAACTAACTTGTTGATTAAAAAACGAAAAACCGTATAGCCAAACCCTGTTTTTTAGGTATATATATATAATATCACTTGCAAAGTAGGGTTAGTAATACTAGCACACTAAACTTGTAGATCCTTCCTTTTCACTCCCCAACCATTTTTACCGTTAAAGTATTTATGATTGTCTTTTTAAATAAAGTGTACAGTGATGCCGAGTAAAACCCGTCGTGGGTACTTTATAGTAGCATGGTATGATAAGTGTATGTAATGATCATTTTACTGTTCATTGATACAACATCCTTCAACAGCACAGCAACAAAGAGAAAGTGCTATCTACACTGTCTCGCCATCTAATTTTGTTTGATAGATCCATTGAATTAAAAGCAAAGTGGATAGTATATAATGAGCTTACATGTTGGTTAAAACTTTCCATACATGTTCCGATAAAAAAGGACGGGGATCTTTTGTTTTGTTTGCTTCATCTATATTATGGTGCTGCTGATACTAGCAGGTGTGTAGATATTTATTCCCTATGTGCCGTGCGCATGTTGGCTTTTTTCTCGTCTCTCGCTCGGGATAACTCCTTGTTTTAAGGAGGCGTGCTCAGCAAGCAGTTTAAGTTTATTGGCTAATATGAAAACACAAGAATCAAATCGAAACAAGTTTGGCTTAACCATAATTAGAATATCAAAAGATGTTCAAACCAGGCCAATGAATTTTTTTTCTTGGGGGAGAATTGAATAGGTGGTTGCAGCTATTTTTCTTTGAGAGGTTGCGTATGTGGGTCGCTTTAAAACAAGTGTGTTATTACTGTACTGGAGGAGAATAGCGCGTATTAGGAACCGAAACACACAGATGACGGGAAAGCTCTCGTTATTCTTCCTCTTACTCCCGGCTACAAATTTTATTCGTAAAACTTACAGATATGTACATCTATGCATGAAATAAGAGCTGAGCACATCACATGATATTACATTGAGTAATAACCCACAGTTTCCCAGCTATGATTATTGGGAGCACCATAAAAATTGTTAATACATGTCCAACAGCTTTTACCTTGGAAGACACTACATATGAGGAAGAAGATAGTAACTTTCAAGTCTTATTATTGTGCTTGAAAGCTGAGGTCGCGTTCACACATTTTCAAGTTTTCAAGAGCCTGTTTGTTAGAAAGTTGCTTTGCTGTTATAGTGTACTCTTGTAAAATGATGCAATTGTACTGCTTAGAATCCACTGTGCATGTAATGAACATCCCATTTGAAAGTTGCTCTATTACATACCAGTGATTGCACACGTTCATCTCGAACAGTTCTCTTGCACAGTCGCAACCCGTGATGTTTTTAGCTGCTACATGACTACATAGATGCGTAGTTGAGACTTCATTTAACCGCCATCATGCTTGAAGATCTGTATAGTATCATATGCACGGTTTAGTTAAGAGAGCAAACGCTACTGCGGATGCATTTGGCCAGTGTCTCACTACGCATGTATGCAGCTATTGCATTCTAGACGGATATATCAAAATATGATATGTCACCGTAATTTACATCTGAGCAATCAAATTTAATGATAAATTTATCAATTGTATGACATACTTGGAGCTGCTTCAAACGTTGAAAAGAGGTTTTGACGGATGACATATGCTCAATGAAAGCATAACAAACATTGGCTTTCCTAAAAACCGCTTGGCATCTATGCAACCTAAAAGCGATCGTTATTGTCCTTTTGCGCCCTAAAAAACGGATTAATAAGTTCTACACCGCCTACCGGGCGCTAGGAATACAATAGCATGCAGTTTTGGCTTACTTTTGCTCGGGTCATGGTCATTTTTGGAAGTTCGCGATGGCAACAAAAAAGCCAAACACTCTGTGGCGCTGAGTATGACTAGCTTCTCCGCGGCTTGTTTCCAATTGTAGAATAGGTTGCTATTTATTACGGTTAACATTGACTGTTTTATTTAACGACTGTTTGAACGCTGTGCTCGTTGTCGCAATTTCGCTCGGGTCACATCAGGGGAGGATGAAGATGAAAAAAGACACTGTGTGAGTAAACAGGGAAAAAGGCTGTGGTGGGTGGTGAATTGATACAATGAATTGGTGAATATAGAATGGCAGAGTGAATAGAAGAAGAGAGAAAACAGTGGAGGGTGGGATACAAGAACAGTAAGGATACTTAGTCGGATTCGTGAGACAGAGGAGTATCAATCCATTTGAGTATTGCACTGCCAGGCTTGAGTAAAATGTAAAATTACTAACGCAAAGCTGGTAATGCAAAATCACTGGCCAGGCAACGCAAAATCTTTGGAGAAATCTAGTTTATGAGCTTCATTATGAAGAGGTTTTATGGAAAGTGGGTAACACCCCAGGGGAGGACAAAGAAGAGTACGTGTTCTAATAATCCCCTGGTGCTAAATATGATAATACCGTTATTCCATTACTCTGTTCCTTTTAGGCTGCGTACAAATGGTCCTTTTTTCATTATTCTGAAGGGAAAAAAAGGTTGTAAAGCAGCCCTGCGTAAAATGTAATTACTTGAAATTTCAAGGGAACAGTTCCAGCTAGTACATACTACAACAGTTCGATGAAAAGGAACAAGCGATCGACAGGTCGCCTTTTTGGCCACAAAGAATCGAGCAATGCATGTAATAACTTACTGGGAGAATGAGGATGTCTCTCTCTTTTCCCTCATCTCCCGGGTGAAGCAACTCATGTATATACTTTTGTATGATTGGATAGCCCATTTATCATCTTATTGAAGCATGGATGCCAAGGATATATTGAGAGTTACAGGTGCTACTACTACGCATTAACCATAAAATAAGAGAGGAAGAAATATAAAGAGGAGTTAGGAGACACCCCGTGGTTTCTCCTGGGGCTCGTGATGGGGGGTGGGAAAGAAGATGGTGCAGTGGAAGTAGAAGAGAAGAGCAAATACAAAATACAGGGGAATCGGGTATTCCCCCGGTCAAGATGAGGCCATCATTATGAAAGCAGCCAGCTGGACGATCACAGATTTCCAAAAACAGCCAAAGTCAAAATGCCTTGTCGATCCTCAATGCGCGCGTGCTAGACTAAGCTTGGGGGAGGAACATACTAGGAAGAAGCAGATAAAATAGAAGAGTGTGGAAATTTCAAACTCTATCATATACTGTAAACAGAATTAGCAGTGTAGTTACTTGCTATTTTCAATCTTGTTTCCCATCCCCGGACTTGAACCCTTTCTCGATGTATTATATATCTCACAGCTTTGAACCTGTATGTGCTTTTATGAAAGGAAAACCCGTGCATATGGCGGCGTTGACGTACTCCAAGACCAGCAATACAAAAATTAGGACCAAGAAGAAGAACTAGGTAGTGTTGCGCTTGCATGAGACTTGGCATATTCTTTTCTCCTTACTATCCCGAAACCTCCCAACATATAAAGAAATCGACCCCCCTGAATTCTCGATTTCGCCACCGGCTCTTGTCATAATAAAGGCGGTTCCAAAAATAACGATCTCCGCGCATAAGCTTCAGCAGCAGCAGACTGCTGCTGCTGTGTCTTTTGCTGCGCGTTTCTCCAACTCATCGGAACTTTTGCGACGATCACTGTTTGGTCTCGTTTAGAATCAACCTAGCGGGTCGATCCCGACGCGGGCTAACAGAGACTACTAAGTGGCAGCTTTCGACAGCCTATTCAATAAGCACCGTCTAAGAGAGATAAACGAGCAAATAACAAATTGAAGATCAGTAGATCGTCAGGGCCCATGGATACACTGAAATAAATCATTCAACATATTATTTGTTATGGGGAGTCGAGTGGCAACCCCAGACCTCGGTTCTGTTTTCGGGGAAGAAAGGAGATAGCAAAAGAAGTGTTAGAATCAACCAAGAATAGCAGTGCACAGACAACTCTCTATAGCTATTATTCAATATGTCGCCAAGGAAACAAAAACCAGCATAAGTAATAACTTGGCGCTGTAATAATCATCCGGCCAGATCACGGAGATGGAAGTGCAATGTGCATTTTTATCTCTCTCTTAAAAAAGTGCGAGGAAAAGGTTGATTGATTGGTGATCCTTATTGTATACTCAAAAGAACAAAACCTAACACGTTCAATTGCCTTAATCGTATTATGCAGGGTGAAAGAGAGAAAGAGAGAATTATTGCATTGCACAAGTCCACGTTTTTTCTTCTTCTTGCTCTTTAACCGCATCTGTGCGTATTAAACTGACGACTTCAGACTGGTAGCCTTCCCTAACGGGGATAAGAAGGGTTGTTATAAATACCTTGGACTTTCTACGTTCCTTTATTTTTGTTCGCTATAGTTCATCTCAACTACTACTTTGCATTCATTTCTCTATTACTTACTGATCAAGTACCAATAACAATGGAATCCCCTCTTTCAATTAAAGACGCCAGCGGCAGACAGATCAGTCTTTTAAACAACAGTACCTATTCTTCACCTTCATCGCCACCACCTCCTCCTCCCGCTCCATCTACCGACTTCTTACGCGCTACTGCTAGTCGCCAATCTTCGACTGGGCGACGCAAGTACCACTGTACAGAGCCAGGATGCAACAAGAGCTTCACTACTAGGTAGATATACTGCAGATATCAATACAACCAGTGCGTGACATATTTACTTACATATCATTTATTTCTTTAGTGGGCACTTAGCACGGCATAATCGTATCCATACAGGCGAAAAGAACTTTCACTGTCTTTATCCGGGCTGTCCTTCTCGTTTCTCTCGCCAAGACAACATGATGCAGCATTACCGCACCCATCTCTCGCCGAAATCGAGACGTAACCATCAATTGACTCGAAATATCAAGCAGCACCAACTATCACGGCCTTGCTTCGAGCCTTATCCATCGGTGATTTCGCCATTAAACTCGCCTCTCGACGAGCAGCCGGCTGTTTTGCCTCAGCTGATGTGCTCGCCTTCGCCCTCATCACCGACAAGCATGAAGCTTCAGCCGCTCGAGCCATCCACCGACAAAAGTCCTCCACTGTACGCTTCTTCGGCTTTTTTATGCCCGACCCCTCCTCTTTCTCCACCGCACCATCAGCAACTTCCACCTCTGAGCCACCGACCTGCTGACTCCTTCTTCCCTTACGTCAGTATCATGAGCTAAAAAAGGCACACTTCTCCTCCAGCATCACCGCAATACTTTTGTCCTAGTATCCATCAGCCCGTACACTCGTTTTGAACAGAAAAAATTCCAAAACAAAAAAAGCAACCACTCAGCACGCTCATTATGATGTATTCCTTGTATTTTAGTTTCCATGTTTTATACTGTTTCTATTCTCCTCTGCTTTATCATTTCTTCATTAGCCACACACTGTAAACAGCTCAACCCCATCAACACACACACACACACACACATATTCGTTCATTGTATGCAAATTTTCTTCATGCTTTCTCTCTTTTTTCCTCATTCACAGCTCGCTATGTTTATATTTTCCGCACCACTTCTTCCTACTCTCGGGTTAACTCTTTTTTCGTTTAACATCATGTACAAATTTCTTTCATGGTTCCTCCCTCCCTCTCTCTCTCTCTTTCGCTCATTTTTTGTTAGTTCCAAATAAATGAACAGGTTTAAGACAGCACAGCAAAACCAATTTGACATGAGCAAAAACAAATTGAAGTAAAAAGGTAAAAAACAAATAGACAATGTTCCGCAATCTCGGTTAAGGAGTAGGAGTTTGTTACGTTGTGCATGTAGGGAGATATTGACAAATGAGTAATGATGCGTAAAGAATAAATAATTAGATCGAGATTATTTTTGACAAAGTTGGGCCGGAGTTGAAATAGGAAGCAAAGGGGAGCAAATGGTTTCGGGGATGATGGTGGTGCAGAGAACACAGAAAGCAAGAGGGGGGCTATTCTTCCACTGCTACTAACTACCATGATGCTGCGCATAGGAGGGTAAACAGAGAAGGAGTTGGAATAGTGGATGAGTGGTACAGTAGCAATAGCAGAGACAAGGGATAGATAGATGGATAGATGGGTAGCTGGATAGCTGGAACAAGTTACATAGAAGGAGAGCGTATATATTTAAAAAAGCTTTTTGTGCATTCATTTGAGATGACTAGGCGCATTATGGAACAAGGTCTTCCACATGTAAGCTTCAGACAGAAGCAGTTCGACATCCTGCTCGTTCCAGTCCTGTGTCGGCAGTTGTTGAAGAAAAATCATGATGCCCTAATTTAGATTTTGGGTTAGGCTGCATGCTTAAAAAAAAGAATGCACGCAACAGTGCCAACTTTTCTGTCTCTGCCTTACCTGAAAGTCCTGCGTCTGCAGCTGCTCCGACCATTTAACCAGGAAAGCCGCACATACATAAACATGGAATTCCGAGAATCCTTCAGACGACCCTTCGGCAAGATACGTATCCCACATCCGCACTGTGCTCCTCAGTGGCATTTCACGCATCAACAGACAGTTCATCCAGCGGAAGGCAAACTGGATGAATTGAATACCTTCTTGCTGCAGGTGGCTTGCAAGACGAGCTTAGTAGCAAGCAGGAAGCATGAATTTAAATTCAAGAACGAAATGTGAGTTACCGTCATCATATCGTATCACATTATCATTGTGCATTTCGGCTATATATTTGCTTTATATACTATACCGTCAATTCGGGACACCAAATCTTTAAGAGTTGCCACTTGTCGTTGGATACCTGGCTGTGCAAATGTGTAATTATCTTGTATGCCATCCAGCAATTTCGACAGACACCAGAAGCTATCGGCTTCTATCACAGATAAAACTGCTGGGTCCAATTGGCTCACGTCATACTCCTCAGGATCGTCATCTGTCAATTACATTTGTCATAAAAAAAGTCAGCCTATTCTTTCTTCGATCCCTCCTTACGTCCAAGGTATCAAACCCTTCTTTTTATTTTCTACCCCTTTTCCCTCTTTTCTTTCTTTCCGTCCATTCTTCTCCTTTTTTACAGCCCAGTCAAACTCACCGATATAGGCAGACAGGAAGACCTCAAATATGGGGGTTACCAAGTCATTGATGCCTTGAACATATCCGCTTGCCGGATGCCTGATTGCCCATTGGTATAAAATGCGCTCTAAACACTGAAAATGGCATACAGTTTGGTAAAGGCATTCCCGTTTCTGAAATATCAAAATGAGCATAGTAGTTTACCAGTTGTGTAGCCTCGTATTGGTACAACGGAACACCTGGATTAGTGCGGGGGATATCAATATGAATTTGGTGCCACAGTGCTTGATCCAAGCCTGCTGTACCCCGGGCATAGGACGCAGCTACACTATCTGCGTATTCTTTCCGCTTTTGTGCTAATGCTGTCACTCGTCTTGCCGAGTTGCACGGTAAATAGCCCTACATTTACATGGAAAAGATCACCTTCATTAACAAAATAATCTGTCCCAGCATAGAACCATGAATAAACAGAATCCTTCCGCAGCATACATACTAGTAACAGTTGCCATGCCACTGGCCGAAATTCTCTAGGGATCCCACTCCAGCTTATTCGTTTCAGGGCAGCTAAGGATAACAGTATTATCAGCAAAAATTGTCAGTTTAACACAAGTTATACGCAGTCTACATATGTTAAAGGTCTTCCCTTCCCAATACCTAAATCTACATTTGCTTGTGAGAGAATATCCTTGAACTTTTTTGTTTTTACAAGATCATGGGCAGTATCCGGTTCGATGCTTTTAATAATGTTGGTAGGATCTATTCGGCATCATCTTATAAGTTTACTTTTTTTTATTTTTGTTTTTCATCAGATAGGCAGCTCGATCCGCCTACACTCACCTTGAATACGTTGTTCTATGTCTGCTTTGATTCCAGCTGCGGGGATGCCACTACTTTTGCGGCTACTGCTAGGTGGTGAGAATGCCTGGATTTTGGATGGTAAAGTCGGTGATGGTAATGGTTGTGGATGCGCAGGAGGAGACGACAATGGCGACGTCCCTTTTCGTTCCTGTGGCGTTGAAGAAGGCGGATGTAATGCTGGTGAGCCAGTAATGCCACCTTTTGGTAAGCTGTCATACCCAAGTTCGTCACTCCATTCATCGTTCGTATCCTTCAAAAACGCATCAAAGGATTTGTGTGGTGAAGGCGTAGAACGCTGGTGAAGGGACGATGATGCAGCGGTTGACATGACTTCGCGAGATTTTTTCTTCTTTTTGGGAGAAAATGATAGTGTGTGTGATGACGGTGGGTATTGAGAAGGTAGCATAGGCGCAGTTGAATTATTATGTTGTTGGTGATGTTGCTGTTGTTGTTGTTGTTGTGGGTGGTAGGGTTGGCTAGTTACAAGACTAGTATAGTTGTAGCGGGCACCAACAACCACTTTGCCTTCAGCAGACGAGATAGCTGACGATGAATTGTTGGGAACGATGCTGACACTAGTAGTAGTATTGGTAGTAGTAGTGGTGGTGGTGGTGGCAATCGTGGATCCGCTTTGCAATGTTATTAACCGTTTTATAATTCCTCCTCGCCTTGACCATTCCTGTATGCACTATTTTTACATACCTCCCAGGAAACTTTAGTCCACGTCTTCGCCAAAATGACCTAAAGTTATGCATGTGGAAGTATCAATATACTGTCAGAGTCTTTCCTTCACTTCCTCTGTACGCATAAATTGTTCAAGTGGCAAACCTTTGAGCATCTGCTTAACATGAAAATATTCATGTATTGTTTGAAAGAAAGGACTTTGGTGAGTTTTTCATATTTGGTTCGTTAAACAAGTAAGGAGTGGGACCTGCTTACGCGCAACAGTCATCTTACATTCATCCATTGTAAAAAGGAAGTGTGTACAGAATAATAGGCGTTGGTGTCGCTCTCACAAAGAGGTCGCGCGATCCAAATTCTTGTGAGTGTGTAAGGCCACCTTCCTTTCTCGGCATCACACCTGCCTGACAGCGACAGCTTAGGCGGACTAAACTCCCAGTTTTCTGAAGTCTACTTTTTGCACGAGTGTACTCTTTTCTACCAGGAGCGGGCGAATCGTCGTGTCTGATACAGTAAGCTTGCTGACCAAATCAGATACTCCATCAAAATCACGTCTTGCTTGTACTTGGATGTTCTAGACTCTTGCGCATACACGTAATCTTGTAGCTCCATCTTAAAAGTGATCATATCGATCTTGCCTTTTTTCTATTAACTAATTGGAAAATCATAGGCTAAAGTTCTACATACTAATATGCATATAGATTTAAGAGCGAGCAGAAGCGACAAAATCTATACAGATTCTTGCAACAATGATAGACTTGTTAAAAAGCTCAGATTCTACGCATGGAGCAGATTCACGTAGTAGCAGCTCTAAATATAAGACAAGTCTTGCCTACACAGTGTTTGTCATCTAAAACAGTATCTCGGGTATAGACTATAAACTACAGCATTGTAACCGATGCTAAGAAAAGCCACCGGACTAATGCTCCAGACATTCAAAATGCTCGTGGTATTTCTGAAAGAAGTAGCCATCCTGTTCACGATCAGTGCTGGTATTCTATTTAAGTCTTAACCCTTCTTTCCAAGCTGTAGCGAATTCCGTCAAAGGTGTAACAAACGTACCTATTCATGTATACTTGGGTAGCATTTTCTGTCATAGCTGATGCAAGCTGCTCTCTGTACGTCATATCCTCGCCTAACCGAGGCTTCCCTGGGCAAGATTTGCCTTGTCAAAGCGTCGTTAAAAAATTCGTTTGACGTATAACGTGCGAAGGACTAAGGTCTTCTTAAAAAAGCAAACCTTATAGACATACTGGCTTGAGCTGCCGATCTGACTTTCGATGTAGTGTCTGTGTAGTTGATGTGGTCAAAGAAAAAATAATGCGGATATTGCCAATGTTGTTGTTTAGAATAAGATATGAAACTGCTACATCTTTCTTTTCTGGGTGCAAATTTACGTTTCAAATCATCATTATATAACAAAACACCAGAGCTCTTAATCACGCAGTATACTGGTGTTTCTGCAATTAATGCAGAGACCCACTCTCCTAAGTTTTCTATTCCTTGCCCTGGAAGAGCGTAGGCGTACCAAAGGTAGAAAGTAGCCGACTACTCGTTATATTTTGCTCTATATATTTCCACCAAATCGTTTGAGTATTATACTACTGCTACCATAAAGTAGCTCATCACAGAAAGTAGCGACTGATTACGAGCAAATTTTGTGCGACCAGCTTTTCTCAGTGCTTGTTTAGTTTGCACACACTCACCAAATTCATCATTTTACGGTAGTTGGAAAAGATTAACACTGAGCGTATTGCTTGGAGCCAAAGACAGTTGTATGCATGCTGTATTCATGCTATAAATATATACAAGTGTGTTACGATTAGCGATATTTACCAGTAACATAAACCTTCAATGTTCCCTGGCTTTATTACTACTGATTTACGCATACACATTACAGCGGAGTTCTAGCATGGTCCCCACACACTCACACATAAAGTGAGGGCTGGAAGCATTACTTTGAATACTGACGGTCTTCTTTCTCTCGACTAGCACGGAAAAGAACAACAAAAAGACGAATGGCCAACTCTGATGCCTTTTTCAGCACGCTGGAAAGTAGACCTCGTCATCGTGGACCACCTCCTCCACCCAATTCTGGCAATTTCCCTCATAGAGACGGCTCTGTAAATCGCCTTTCGCGCGTCTTTGAACATGAACAGCAACCAGTGCATCGATCATACCGACCAGCATTACCGACCAAACCTCCGTCGCTCCGCATCTCGTCCACCCACGTACGTCACAACAACGATTCCCAATTGCCCAGTCCATCATCCGAGTCACCAGCTAGTACAGCCACCATTGCCACTTCAGTGACGAGTTTCCAATCCCAGGAAGACAATAACAAAAACAATACGAATAATAGCGACATTGATCAGACGCCGCTTGCTTTTGCTGACATTCGTGCCCGCTTCCAGCAAAAAGAACAGCACCCGCCACCTGTCTATCCAGCACACACAAAACGGCCACAGTCGGTCTACAACACCACAAATAATAGTAAAAATGATAATAATAATGCTAGCAGTATGCGGCGGTCCCATACCAACACTACTTCGCCGCCACCGGTGCCAAGCAAGCGGGTATCACATATACGCAAACCTGTAGCGCCAAGACCCCTTTCTTCTACTACGGAAGAGAGCAGCAGCAACGGTAATAACGGTGCAGCTAAAACAGGCTCGTTTGTAGCCGAGTTGAACAAACGACTCGAACAGGCCGAAATAATCGACCAAGATTACCAGCAACAACAACAACAACAACAGCCTCCGCAACAACAACAACCGTTACCACAGCAGCAACAGCACCAGCCAGTTGCCGTCTCTGCTTCCGCACGGCCACCAAGCATCCTCCGACGACCCTCGTCTTCTCCACGTTCCTCTGCACTCCGAAAAACCCGCAACAACTCTTCCGATAGCAACAGCACATCCAACCTTCATATACCTGTGATTGCTAGGACAGGCACCGGCAACAGCACAACCTCCACATCTTCTGCATCCTCATCCTTTCTGGAATCACCGTCCAAACGCGCATGGCAGTATGGCAATGCTCTATCCAGCTGGTTTAACGGTCAGCAACAACAACAACAGCAGCAGCCAAGTCTCAAGGATTCTATCACTGTGGTTTCTAAAGAACCAAGCGAATACTCGCTTCCTGTATCTCCTCAGTTATCCGGAAACAATAACATCAAGCAAGGAGGAGGAGACCGCAAGATGAAACGCTCCAAAGTAATACAAGAACTGATCATGACCGAGAAGGCGTATCAAAACGACATGTTGCTGGTCAAAGAAGTCTACTATGATCGCGCCTCCTCCCCCTCTTATGGCTGTCCTCTCGACAAATCCGATCTCAAGATATTGTTTTCAAATCTGTTGGATATAATCGGTCTTGAAGGCGAATTCGTGGATTTGTTGGGTTCCGCTGCAGGTGATGGTGGTGATGACGAAAACGATAGGATCGGTATGGCATTTCGACAGATGGTAAGTTCGAAGAGGAGGGGTGCTTTACTATCTTTTTGTTTCCTCGTTGCAGTAAACGGGTGTATGTATGTATGTATGCATTATAACCCGACTCTTTTGATTATTCATGCAGATGACGCGCATTGATCATATTTACTGCGAATACTGCAAACGTCATGAAGATGCTGTATTAAGACTGCAGGAACTAGATAGCCACCCTGATGTACAGCAGTTTTTCAATGTAAAGAGTATATTCTTGGCTTCTAGTTTATTTCTCAAAAGCGCAGTATACTGATGATATTACATGTATGTCAGGAATGTCGAGAACAAATGCAAGGAAAAACGACGAGTTGGGATCTAGGAAGCATGTTGATCAAGCCTGTCCAGCGAGTGTTAAAATACCCATTGTTATTACGAGTAAGTACAGAGGATTTTTCTCTCTCAGCAGCTGATAAACAGGGTTCTAATTACTGGTTCCGAACAGGAAATATTCCTATTAACATCAGCAGAACATCCAGACCATGACGATTTGGCGGCAGCAACACAAGAAATTCAAGAAGTTGCAGACCATATCAATGAGATCAAGCGACGAAAAGATATTGTCGAAAAAATTGTGGGCGACAAAAAGAAAACCGAAATCAATGTATGTGTTGTCTTACAATAGTATGTGTTAGCTTGTACGTATTTCTTCCAGTTCATCCGCTAAACCATGCTATTCATAGGTTGTGTAAGTTGTATAATATGAGGCACCCATCCAACTGCAGACCAAATCTAACAACGAACTCCGTTTAGCCATGGTATTAATAAGAAGCTGACACGACGCGCACAACGATTCAAACAAGTGACAGGTTTCTCAGCAGAAGCAACACAGGACGCATCGTTCGACGCATTATACCTACGATTTGAAGAACAGCAGTTGATTGCTCAACAATTAGCTCGTGATGTTCAGGGCTGGGTACGGCAAGTCAAAAACCATTTTGAGATGCTTCGTGTGTTTGCCGAAAACGCAGAAGTTGTATATGGTACCTGGGGCGGTGTTCGAGTGAAAAGTATGGACAGTATCCGGGATTTTCATCAAGCGGCTACGATGTTTGCCACAGTTATGGCACGGGAATTGGATACCAAGATTCAGGGCTACGTCTTCAGCCGGATTGACGGCTTCCTCAAAGTCTTTGAAAACCCTGCACAAGTGATCAACAAGCGTGCTCAAAAGCTATTGGATTACGATCGGGTCAGAGACATAAAATCCAAAGGCGACATTCCCGACAAAGCACTCCAAGACTCGGCTGATGCATACGTGTCAATCAACGCTCAACTCGTGGACGAACTACCCAAGTTCTTCCAGCTTACGTCGACTTATTTTGACATTTTGATTGGCGAGTTGACATCGGTGCAAACATCCTTTTACGAGCAAATGACACGTGAATGGTACAAATTAGTCCAGCGCCATTATACGGTGCACGACTTGTCGACGAATACCATTATGGCCGAACATATCGCCAGCATGCAAGCTGTGGGTAGTCTGATATATGATATTACCCCATTGAATAGAGAGCTATGGGAATCTCTGCCAGGTGCAGTTCCAGAAACGCCACCTTATGCAGTAGATGATGCGAGTAGCATAAATGGCAGCAGTACTACACGATCAACAATAGGCAGTCCACATGATAATTACTTTCCATAATTGTTATCCGCCAACCAAAACGATCACTACTTTGTAAATACTAAATATATGATATGATTTTTTTTCCTTTGTCTTATTAGTAAATTTTTATAAATCTTGTGCAAAGTTCTTATACACGGATGTGGATTGTGTTTGAGGAGGTTGGGATGAGATTGCAATAAACTAATTCAGAGTTATTAGATATCAGAGGGGAGGGAAGACGGAAGTAGCAAAGTGTATATGCAGCATAGTAAAAGGAAAAAAGTGTTTATTGAACGGAGGAAAATGGGTCGGGTAATTCGAGATTTCGAGTGTATCTGTCGAGATCATCCAGTTGCTTGCGAAAGTCGCGTTCCTTCATGAAGCCATAGTGATATCGAAGTGTGACACAAATGGCTTGCACGGTTACAGCGGTAAGTGTTTCCACGTTTTGCGGATTGGCATAGAATACTTCTTCGTCAATAAAAGGATCAGACAGCCAATGACCCCATACTCTTTGCAGCATAACTGTGTCGACCTAAACGTCAATGATAACAATAGTAGTTGCAATAGCAGAGAGTTAGAAAAGTTGTACTAGTTGCAATAACAATATTCACATTATTCTATTTACTATGTCCCAGTAATACTGGTAATTATGTCTTTATCTTAGCGTTTTCTTTGGCCTAAGTATTACCTTGGAGCGTACTTCACGTTCAAACGGCTCACTGTCCTGGGCAGTCACCATGTTCCTGCTCACGCTAAACCTTTTAACAAGCTCTTTTAATAGCTTACGCCACTTTGAACGAAAGTTGGCAATGTTAGCTTGAAACGTAACGACGATCCGATCTTGTGGTCCAACGGGATTACTCTTATATACAGAATTAGCGATCGCTGTTGCTTCTTCGTTGGTGATAAAACGACTACGAACAAACACGCGTCGTTGCCGCCGCCAATACTCCTTCTCCTTGGCTTTCTCATTCAACTGTTTGTCGTCTATTACTGGTAGATCTTGGGTTAAATGTACTTGAAGCGAATCACGAGGATATGCATATTCCGGACCACGGCGATGTATTGAAGACTGTGCTGCCGCCGTTGCCGACGACGATTTAGAAGAAAACGACAAAGTAGCTTTTTGTTGCTGGTGTTTGTGCTGGGCTTGAGCTGTTTGTTGTGTTTGTTTCTGTTGTGCTTGATGTACTTGTTTTTGTAGTTGTGGTCGTGGCGGTGATAGTTGCTGTTGCTCCTGCTTTTCCTGTTGCCGCTGTCGGTATGCTATTGAACTAGCTGCTGCCTTGGCTGCTGCTGCTGCAGCGGCAGCCGCGGCCTCTTGTCGTTCTTGATATTTCTGTTGGGCATGATGAATTCGAGACCGTGGGTGGTGTCGTGATCGCTTTGAGGGCACAGGTGGTGCTAGGTTTAGTTCGCTAAATGAAGATATTGGCCGTGCTCGTCGTTTGTTTTCTCTGACATCCGACATTGGTGTATCAAGCTGATCAATATAGAGGGTGGGATCTGCACGCGGTGAATATGCTATATAAGATGGATGCAGATGGGATTTTCTCTCTGATAATCGACGTATTGTTGTTGCTGTTGTTGTCGTGGTAGGTGCGATACCGTCCAGCGACGAGGCAGATGATGACGAAGATGAAGACGTAGAGGACACTGACGATGTTGATAGAGACGCTGTCGGTACTGGTGGCGATGGAGTTGTCGTCGCCTGTTGTGTTGTCTGTGCCGCTGCTATTGTTGCCAGTGCTGGGGGCGGTGGCGGTGAGGTCGATGATGCTGAAGTTGAGCGTGATGTTATGCTACTACTTGAAGGGCTGATATTGTTGCTACTAGATGCTAGAGCCGAGACACGTTTGCGCGGTGGAAGTACTCGGGTGGCTACGGAGATGGGCTGTAATGCTAATATAGCAGATAGGAACCAGTATAGCACCCGCGCAAAGATGGAAAAAGTATAAGGAAAAAAAGAGTGTAAGCTCCAGGTTATGTAGAGCACTTAGCAAACAATAAAACAAAAGCGGAAATTTATGAGACTGAATTACCTTTACCCTTCCCCTTATTATTTGTAGTTGTGCTAGTTGCTGTGTCAGTTGTAGAAGAAAGTTTTGGCATTGGATGAAATTTTGATATGTGTTATGTAGAGAGAGCTAAGAAAAGGAAACCAAGAAAAATGGCCTTTAAATGCCTCCTTCATCAACAACTGATAGTCACAATGGGTGTGAAGAACTCCGACGTGATAAGTGCACCCATTGTTTGCTATGGAATACGGCATGTTTTATCAGTTCTTTATGCTTTTCGTGCCGCATATAAAATATGCCTATGTGCGCATGCTTATAAACAGTATCAAATCTATTACGAATAAATCAATTTGAAGTACTGGTTTGCGAGTGGTATAAATTAAGTGAATCTTATTGTCCGAGGCACCGTGAACGCAAACGGGGTTTTCCTGCTTTTTTTTTGTGCCTGCTTGATTGTTTTGTACCGTTATTATTTCCTGCTAAATGAATAGCAATAGATGCTAGTATTTGGGGGCAGAAAAGATGATGTTATTCTGGTGTGTACTAGAAGCTGACAGAAAATTAAATGGCTCAGTATAATCTGGTATCGAGCTGTGTTCTTTCTTTTTGGTATTAGTGACATTGGAGCTCCTCGTTCTATGGGCGGGTGTCACAAGCCTCAAAATGACCAACAACATGGTAATCGAACTTGTGTCATATGCAGTCAGGTGCTGATTCCAATCGTTTTAGGTAATGTTGCATCAATGTGTTAGTGCTCGCTTGCGCAACAGCAGCAGAAGCACCAACAACAGGGTCGTACTATTGACGGATTGAAAGGTTTTTTATTTTAACTTGCAGCAAACAATAAGTAAAATCCAAAAAGTCATCAATTTGAAACTGGAAAGAGTTGTTAGCTTTTTCCTAAGTGCTGCTATGGTATCGGCCCGTTAGAAATGATCACCCCTTCCCCAAAATATTTACAACAGACTGATCCGATATTTGGCCTTCATGGTAAAAATAAACTTGTGAATAATGCTAGGATGTTATCCAACAGTCTAATTCAATTCCTCTTGTCACTAAGCTCTAAATAGATAGACTCACGCATGGTAATAACACAACGAGGCGCCGCCATGCTAGATAGACTAGTGGACAAAAAACGCCACCTTTGAGCTCAGCGAGTGATAAGCAATGCAATATAGCTGATTGCGTTTTCCATGTTTCAACTGCTGTTTTGTATTATCAGCATAGATCCGCAGTGGTGACAGATCAATAAGACACCACACTAAGGTTTGTGGTGAATGCTGACATATTGCCAATTGACCATGGTTCTCCATCTTTTAAGTTTCCAGCACCGGAGTAAATGACAATATTAAAGAGGTGCGTACCAGAAATTAGTGGTCAAAATCATCGCTTAAGGTACCATTCATGCAAAGCGGCCGTTGCCTCAAAAGTGCGTATGTTTTGCCATCTGTTGAAGAATATATAGTGGCAGCACATGGTTGGCAGCATAATGCGGCGTAAGTTATTAAGTACATGACGGTGGTGATGATGCATGCAAAATTTATGTATGTTCCATTGAGTAAGTGCATTTCAACATATCAAAGAGGGGAACACTTGCACTGATAAATTGCTTCCGCCTCCTTAAGTTGTAATCGCAGTGATGGCGCATATTAAGCTATAGTATGTTTATGCTTTGACTACACATATGTAGTGCTTAATCTAAATTTTAGTATGTACGATAGTCTCAGTATTACATGTTTTGGTAGTACAAGATGTGTATCTGAATAATAGACAAGGGAAACGAAAGAAGAAAACTCTACATGCACATATAAATGTACACCTTCTCTTCCCCACTGGTCGTAATACAGTGGTACCTGGATTTCTAACAGCATTTGTATCCAACATTCTCCATTTAGCTCCGCTTACGTGTGTGCTTACATCACTTAAAAAAAGAAGGTGAGACATATTAATATGGTAAAATAGGCAGTAATTCTTGTGAAAGACGCTTCTATCATTAGGGGAGATTATATGCCGTTGCAGCAATGGTATAAAATGAGTATATCGATGTGTCGTCCACATTTTGTTGCGGGAGATTGTGATTATACCCTGCACTGATGTACAACTGTACTGCTCGGCTCCGAAAATTCAATCATTACATTAAAAAAAGGAGGGAGGAGGTATTTGGATCATTTTAGTGATTACTAAATGTCGCTTATCACTTTGCCTCCCGTCTTGATAAGTTCTTCTCCTGTTATGAGTAGGCTTATACTAAAGGAAAAATGTTTACATGATCTATTCAGGTATATCTGCACTACGTAGTACACCATCAACAAGAACTGAATGGGCAATGTTATTCTTCTTTGATTTACATATACTCGTAAATGTATGTCAAGCTGTATAGCGGTTTACCAGCAGAAGATATTTTCCCGTACACTCAGAATGACTAAGCGGCTTTCAATTTTTTGTGGCGGCAAGTGATGCGCTACTCGATTTGGCGAGGAGGCCAAATGGTTCTTATAAGAGAGTCATTTACAACAGCTAAAAGAAAAAACAAATCATAAAATTTATATGTTCTACAGATAAATAAAAGGAAAGCTACGTATATTAAAAGGTAAAATTACATTTTTCTAAAACGACATCTACTTAAGCATAGAAGACAAGAACATTGCCTTCATAATCTTAGGAAGGTCCTTGTTTTCTGAGCAAACATGGGCTTGGCTACCAAGAGCTTGCTTCAACCTATCAATATGTCACGAAAAGAATGTCACAGTGAGTGGCAATGGTAAAGAAACCAGGCAGGAACAAGATCTCAGGAAATAGAAATGAAGGTTTATCACATACCGTTCAGCTTGATCCTGAAGAGAGCCAATGAAAATCATTTGGGCAGTGACTCGGTCGTCCGATTTCAGAACACGAGCAATGTCGTTGGGGTGGATATTGTATTGAGTGATATTAGCATCAGAAAGAACGACGACAAAGTAATCGTCAGCTTCTTCCTTGACAATCTCTTTAACAGAATGAGATGCTGCACCAAGAGTGTTATCTATAATACAAAGAAATCGGTGAAGTGATACGGTTAGTACATATTAAGAATCAGCCGCTACACTTTGAGAAAAAGAAAGCTGTTACTTTACCTCCACTTAAGCAGTATTGAGAGTGTGCTCGCATTTTGTTAATGATCTCGAACTCTTCCTTTTCGGTCTTGGGATATTTGCCGGGTACAACAAATTCGATATTAGCACCATCACCACTGTGACCAATGATACTGTAAGCGAACTTGTGTTCGAAACCACGGAAGGATTCCATCAGCATGAGTGCTACTTCAAGTGATCGTTCGAGACGGCGGTCATGCGTGTTGAACCGGTACATACTAGAAATTTGTTTCGCAAGTGGATTAACACAAAGAACGTTTTCTCTCCAACTCTTTCTTACAAACAAGAAAAGACCAATCCATACCTAGCTGATAAGTCAAAAACGAATTTCATGCGCTTGGGCTTATCTTGGAACAGGCCAATTTCAGGATCATCTTCACCGCGTTTCCGGTAGATGGCACGTTCACCTGTCAATCCTTCAATACTAGGGATATATACCGTTTTAGCAAAATGTATCCATTTGTCTTATAGCTATATATACAAGCGGCTACTAGAAGCTTACATTTTGGTATCATCAAGGTCACCAGATGTTTGATTTTTCAACCACACACGTTCCTTGTTTTTGGCTTCAGCGCTTTCGAGAATAACGCGCAATTCACGAATTTCGCGGCGCACATTTTCCATGTATTTTTGAAATACCTAAAAATAGATAACAATTAGCATACGCTGATACATATAGAAAGGTCAAAACTGGTTGATCCAATTTTCTTACCGTGTAATCGCCGTGGGTCATGTCAAGCTTTTTCAACATTTTTTCCATCGATTGCTCGTGCATTTCTCTACCAAAATAGAAGCATTATCAAATTCACTGAAAAGTTTCACTAAGCATCAGGATGTGTATTTCGAGTTTTACCTTTGCGCTTCGCCCACGGTTTCCGGTTGATCACTTGCAGTGCGCTATTGAATAGATTTCATAAGAAGATTGAGTATCAAGCAGATAATAACAACGAAAAAAACAAAACAAAAACCAGTTATTGATGGCATACCAGTTTGAGATTCTCAATGTCTTCAAAAGTTGCTTCATCACGACCACCTTCGTTCAATCCAGCGCCTGCGCCACTGCCGCCGCCACCGCTTGCACCTTGCTGGCTTTCTCCGCCGTCACCGCCATTGCTGCCGTCACCAGCACCCTGACCGCCGCCAGAGCCTTGACCTTTTCCATTGCCTTTACCTTTGCCTTCGCCTTTGCCCTGTCCTTTGCCAGCTTCGCCAGTGTGCTCACCAACTTGACCGTTTGCTTCTTCTTGATCCTAAAATTATTTTACGTTTTCATATTGACTCATATCCATGGCTTATCCACCCTTATTGCTTCTGTAATACGGTACTGTACAAACCTTGTCAGTTTCATAGATAATGGACAATGCGTTCTGATCTACGCCGACCATCTGCTTCCAGGTCTGTGCAGCGTTGTATAAGTCGGTAGATTGGACTTGCCACACGCGTACGATACCAGAAGCATCCATGGTAACCAAGTTACCGTTGTTAAGTTCACACATGGATGCAACATGGCGTTCCACTTGGAAGCGGGCAAAAGTTGCGGCCGGGTATTCGCTATTTGTACACGGAAAAAAAGCGGGTAAATTAGCGATATGAAAATGATAAGGGAAGTTTAAAAGCAAGAGGGAAAACGTACGCATCAATGTTGCTCATGTCAGCCAAAGGCATCTTGATGCGCCATACTTGGTTACGGGCGGGGTTGATAATATCCAAAAAGCTTTCAGGACGACCGTCGGCAGATGGCTTGATGACCGCCATTTGCTGAGATCGGGTCAAGTACAAGGCACAGCCCTTGATACGCTTGGGTACTTCCTCAACAGGTCCACTTATAAGGTATGCCAAAAGATCGACAGGGCCAGATTTGTTGATAAAGTTGTCATGGTTGCAGCCTTGCAGAACAGTACCGAACTTATGCGCCTTTGCATTTTGTGCAAACTTATATCCAAGTCTAGTTTAAAATACAAAAGTTCAGTTTTTTGATGACTTGAATCATATGCAAAGGTTGTGCATGCAGAGAGCATTTTGATCAAAGTGGCCTATTAACTTACGCAAACTCATGCCAGAAAACGTTGGCAAGCTCACCAACAGGTTGACCATTTTGACCAAGAATTTCGATGGGTTCGAGGACAGAAGGGATGCCATCATTCATAGAGTAAAAGGCGTACGTCTTGGCATCACGGCTACCACGGGCAAACCAGAGGTTTGGCTCAACAACAAGAAGTTGTTCGACTATGCGAATATACGATAAATTATGCGTCAGAACAGATTACTAGGAGGTAACTTTCAATTCTTTGGTATACGTACTGCGAGTTGGCAACGTAAGGGTATGTTGCTGGGAAGTGTTGAAATCGAGAACAGCAACACCAGCCTTATCTTCTTGATAGAAAACTATTACGAAATGCAAACAAAAGTATATGATGAGTAGAAGCCCAAAGAATAACTCTTTCTGATTAATACGGGGTTGATCAAAATCTTACCAAGGATACCGAGCGAGCTCAATTCGTCACACATTACTGACTTGACAGGTTCCATTCCACGAAGCTATTATCATTTTCATTTCAGAACACATAAACGCATAGTTTAGCATCTTTCCCGCCTTTCAGCTTCATGAAGATACATACCACCACAGAAGTCACAGTCTTCTTGTTGAAATCGCAGCATAGCAATTCATTGTTGGACGGATTATGCAATGCCAAGTACTTGACAAAGCCCTTCACACGGATAACAGCAATACGAAGACGTGGAGGAGCTGTAATTTGATAGTTAAGAGTGATTAATAACCTCTAGGCAACACACAGAAAAAGATAAAAAAAATTCTCTTACCTCTTTGCAGAGGGAAGTATTCGTAAAGATCCAAGCTGTCCACACGCTGATGGCGAGGATCGACATGATGAAGCGTAACAGGGTTCGTAGTGACGGCGAAAAGAGATCCATCATCCAAAGCAGCAATATCTAATGCCTCGCCTCGGGTTGGAATAGTAAAGTTGTACAGTTGTTCCGAGAAGGTGACGGATCGACCTTCCTTTCGATCCAATTGCTTCCACTTTTTGCCTACGTCTAGTTCCCAACCGCCCTATTGCACATACAGCGTAGATCATTATGTCAGCACAAAACCTTTTTTCTACGACAAGAGTCGATATTTGTTTATGTAGGTGCGCGTGGATCCTGTGTGTTAACATACCCGGATAGCCATAGCAGCGGTCTCCACCTTGACTTCGGCCTTGGCAGCTTGATCGACACGGCTCCATCGTTCGCTCAACAGCGGCTCGCCCAATTCCACGATTTCACCGAGGTTCATGGTAAATTCAGACTCCAAACCGACGGGGATACCATGCTTTTCAAAAATTTCAATAAGCATTTCCTTCGACGCTTGATCATACTGATCAAAATCAAACACGTTCTGCATGATCTTGGAAATGCCTTCGCCTGGATAATTTTGTAAATGGAGTACAATATTGACCAACTCGCGAGTGGAATATGGATATGTAATCAGACTATATCATGTTGTTCAGTGTCAATAATTTGTTGTATAACATGTGATGAAGTAACTATTATTTTAACTTACCCCTCATCAACAAGCTTACGCAAATCTGTAAATGCGCTCGAGAGCTTTTCGAGCATATCCTCTGGAACATCAGGGCCGTATTTGCGAAGCAAGTACATCTACGTGCGTATAGTTGAGAGTGTCTTGTTAGGTTAACTCTACCCTCTTGATCTCAAAGTCATACAAACAACTATACCTCTGATGCCTTGTCCGGATTATCAACAGCATGACTAGCAACAACAACAATAACAGAAACGTGTAAGCAGACAAAAACACGGTGCGTCACTCTATCTTAGAACATCCTTACCAACTAAAAACATCACCAATTTCGCGATAGAAATCGTTACCTACGAAGCAAGGACCATGTGTTAAAAGTCAAACTGTTTATCAATTTCCTCCAAACAGAATATACAACATACCCAAGAAGGGATATCCCGGACGGTTGGCGAGAACAATCATGCGGAAATTCTATTTTTTGTATATGGATCATTGGTCGTGCGTAAGTGGAAGAGTACCATGTCTCATGGATAAAAGCCAAACTTACAGGATGGATAAGCAGATAGCGATCACCATCTTGAACATCGGACTCCTTGGCGACAATGCGACGACCGTCTCCCAAAACCATTTGGCCGTCTTCAACCAAACTCTTCAATACTGCAGTAACATAGGTAGGAGCCTTATCAGCCTCATCGATAACCAAGATAGTGCCTATGTAAATCATTACATACATTCGATACATTCGAAAAGTTGAATATTAATAAACCATATACTTGACCTCCAGAGTCCCTATACAAATTCCCTGTGTATGTTGTTGTACAGAGACGGGGGTATATTAACAGCTTACCATCACGAACAGCCTTGACAAGAGGTGAATCTTCAAAGATGAGAACACCATCACGGATAGCAGGAGTGGTGGTCAGACTTTGCACAGTGCTGTCACGATGCAACTGAATGTACTCGCGAGGAAGCTGAAGCAATTGTAAGAAATAGTCAGCAAGCTTGTTCTTGCCGACACCTTGATTACCGATCAGCAACAAGTGGTCACCGAGCTGATAGTCCTTGAGCATTTCGCGGAGAATTTCGGTATGGGCAGGATTTTCATGGAAAACAACGTTGGGAATAAGCATAGGATCGCCACCCTTAAACACAGATTCAATCACGTTGCCGATTCTGACTTGTTCAGGGTTCTGGCGGGATGGCAGGAGTTCTATCTGAAGGTCTTCCAAACGGGCTTCATTCTTGGGTGGGTAAATGCCGTTGGCGATCATCAGTTCGTGCAGAACTGTCTTTGCAGCAACAGGCATGAACCGGGAAAGAGCTGCTTTGTGGATAGCCTTGTATAGATCTTCGTCTTCGAAATATGCAAGACGGCGACAAATGCGAATCAATTGGCGTGTCGATAATGCGCTTGAAAGCATTCGGATTGTATCATCCTTTTCACGACGAAGGCGACGCGCAAAAGTAAGCAATTGATGCAGCTTGGACTCATTGACGCCAGGTGAGAGCGTTTTGAGCACCTCTTGTTCCTCCTGATACACACAGTAATGTATGAGTATGTGTTTGATTATAATGTGCTTTACGCATAATATGTGTGTGGCGCACGACACACAAACGAGTGTCCATGCATTACCTGAGAGGGAAGACTGTCGACAACAACGAAATGGAACATGGAGAGAATTTCGGCCGTCAGCCAGGAGCCTGCTTGGGTATCACTTTGACCACTCACACCAGCACGTGCAAGAGCGATGATGCGGAATGAAGGATGGATGGGCACCAAACGCTTAGCGTCAAGCTCTTCGATTGTCATTTTATTTTTCTTCATCAGCTTCTCGTAGCGATGGGCATTGATCAAGCGTGTTCCGTCAGGAAGCTGCATTTCACGTTCGCAAACAAGGCGCTGCAAAGTGTTCAAAGTGCCGTACGACAAAGCTTCGATACCATCCAGAACTGCCAAGTGACCATGGATCGCAGCTTCGACCAAGAGCGAGTTCTGCAGTGTTTTTGAAGAAAAGGTTAATTCGCGTTTGAGATATTATCCTCTATTCTACCGGGTACACATACATCCCACACGGTGTCACCCTGAGGTGTAGTCGAACGCCGTTGAAGCAGATCGCGGGATGACATGTCTCTGTACAGAGGAATGTAGTCGATGGTGTAACCAAGGTTTCGTGCAACTTTCCAGAAAGAAACAATTGCGGGGTAAATAAAAAATTCATGTCGCACAAAGAAAACTCTTTGGATCATTAACAAAAAGCGATACTTACAATGACGAACCAGGGCAGACTTGCCAACACCCTTGTGGGTGCCCACCAAACAAATATCATGACCGCCAGCATGCACAAGAACCATCGACGTAAAGATCTCGCGATGATATGGCGTCTCGACGAAGAATTCGGCGGGACTGAATGGATTGGGGCCACTCGAGACGGGCAATCCCAATGCTGTTTGATTCACATGTGAAAAGGTAGCAATAGCACGATGAACTTGGTAGCTCTCATCAATAGAAATAACGGGCTTGTGAGCTTCAATATTGGCAAGTTGATATCCAGAGAAGGTTTGGGTAACTTCTTCGTGTGCCTCGACCACGCGTCCACGCACACCAAAACGGCGATAAGCGGATTCAATGACGCCCAGCTGTTCGAGGTCGCACGTTGGCAGCATAGGGTAAGGATAGAGCAAATCCACAAAGAAACGTGGATGTGCATGTGGCAATACAGCTAACAAGCTGGCCAGTGTCTCGACGGTCATGGGGAATTCAGGTACATCGATCTCACGAGCAGCGCTTTTGTCAGGCTGTACACTCAGGACTGAGCTAATGGATACAAGTCGTTCGACCAAATCACGAGGGGCCTTGTTGTTGGTAAGTGTCATGATCTGGTTTACTTGGGTAGTGTAATGAGGCGCGCGGACATCACGGCTTTGGAAACGCGATCGCAACGGGGGATCCAATGGATAACCGACATACGGGGGTACAGGCAGACCTATGTGCATATACAGAAGTATTAGTAAACGCCGTCAAAGAGTTCCCCAGAACAGACACACGCAATCTTGGAAGAACTAGTATCTACCTAACGCAAATACCAAGAATCGGTCGCTGACTTTCTCAAACTTGCTGTAGCCCGCAGCATCCTTTACATCCTTCGTTGTCAAAAATCGGCCATCATCCAATCCCATTTCTCGGTTTTCGAGCAAGTTGTTTAAAATTGGAAGCACGTTGCGCTCTGCCTTTTCAATGCCATCCAAGACCAGAATGCGTCCATGGATGGCAGCACGCACAGCTGCCTGATCCACATAAAAAGATGTGCCATTTTGTAATTCTCGGCGTTGTTTCAGATCAGCATCGGTGACATCTTTAGATAATGCGACATATTCGATTCTGTTGTTTTGTACACAAAGAGTTATAAAGGAAAGGACATAAAGTAAATGTAACAATGAATCTCACACTTACTCGCGTTGTGTCATTTCGGCGTATTTCATTATTAATGATCGACGGAGAGGACCAGGCGGACCGATCAAAAAGATATCTTGACCGAGCTATATGGATCTGAGTAAGCATATATATCACGAGGAACATCATACACTCCACTGATGTGAGAAAGGTTATTAGCGTACCTTATCCTTTTGCATCATCCTGCAAAGCGTCAAGTTCATTCCATCCCAGGTCAGATATAAAGTGTCAAGAAACCAAAATTGTGTCTATTCTGAATTGTTTGCATTACTTACCATCGCAAATGTCTTAAAATTTCCTATATTATACTTTTTTTTAGTTCAAGTTCCTGCATGAATTTCCGCATTGTTACAGAGCTATTTTTTTATACCTGCGAGTTCTCATAAAAAGGACTTTCGTGCTCCGGAACAAGCTCGGGATTCTCTGGCGGCGTAACTTGCATCACGACGTCGCCGATGCGAACAGACTTGACATTAACTGGACAACAGTATGAGTTTTTTTTTTTTGCTGTAGTCTTTTAATAAAAGAAAAAAGTGGAAAGAAAGGTTGTTTCATATTACCTTCGTGAATAAGATCGCTGTCTTCTTCAGAGTCGGACCAGCCGGCTTGCGTCTCTGACAAAGCCTTTCCCAATTGTCGCAATCGTCTTCTTGCCTGCTTTTGCTGCTGATTTGTGGCCATTGTGCTGACAGGTGGGAAAGCGGATTATGAGATCTAAAAGTGAGAAAGAAAAAAGGCCAGCTTTTGTCCTTCTCCACGTTTTCGGCGTTATGTCCTTAAATTTACCGGATGAAGGTTAGTCATCCGAATTCGGTGTGCGAATCCCAAATAGCTCATCGACACTATCTATGGTAAAAGATTACCACTCAGGCTCATGTAAGCTGTTATACCCCACACACACATACACAACCTTTTCTGTCACCTCATTTCGTCATCCTCCTGTATCCGCCTTCAATCACACGCACACTTCTTAATATGTCATCATAAAAAAGAAGCTCTTCTCTCGCTTTCGATCATTATCTTCTGATAAAATGCGCGATATTCTATAAACGAGAACATAGCGTGGCTGTACTGCCAGCTCCGCGATATATAAGGCTACTGAACCGTATATCTAAGCGACGATTTTCGGCACTTGGTATTAAGTTTAGTCTGTAAAGAAGTCGCCACAAGCTCGTCACTGCATACCCCAGAAGTTTTGCATAGTTTGAGATCTGGCTTTTCTGATTTAAGGAGATTCATCCAAACGCCCTGCACCGCTTTACGTGTGTGTTTCTTGAATTATATCTGCTTTTGCAATAAGCTTTCGACCAATTCCCCCCACCAGAGCTGACAGAAATCCTCTAGGTCAGCGCCGTTTGTAAGAAAGCTTGACATGGATTTTTCCCTTCCCAATGCATATTTGGCATTCTTCTTTCCTTCCCTCCTTTCTCCTGCCATGTTTATTTCCTCAAACGGATCTCATTCGCTTCGTAAAACATTGGTATGAATGCCTTCGTAGCAGTGAAAGAATAATATAGGTGTTTGTCGGTCAGTCACCAGTAAAAACTGAAAATGATATAGTAGAAGAACAACTATGTGAGTTCATGAATGAAAGCGAGAGAACAGGGATATTTGATAGAGAAAGAAACCAATGGGCACACCTTGCTGAACGTTATAAAGATCTACATCGTATCTTCTTTAATAAAGAGTGTGTGATAATAACATGCATTCAATATGTAGAGCACAACACTTTTTTGTAAACAATGAGATAAATAACCATCCCAACAGCAGCTTACACGAGTGATACAATGACTCAACACATACTACAAAACAAACAAATGATATGTCTTGCATCAGCGTTCAGTATGTAGCACGGCCGTCTTTGCTTGTATCCATATTTAACACGACACTGTATAATTCCCTGCCATCCAAAAAAAAACCGTATAAGCGCAGACAAGCGAATTATTAAACAAGGATAGGAAGAAGCGATTCATCGGCACTGATATACCTATATGACCAACGTCATTGAGGTTATTATTGTCAGCAACAGCACGATGACCCTTATTGATCTCGCTTCGAGCCACCTGTTTTACGCTGGCCCGAAATTGGTAGACCGGAGCTAAAATCTCCCGTTGCATGAGTTCTTTGATGATACAGTGTTCTTTTCCTGTTTAAATTCGAAATGCGAGTTAAAAAGAAAAGCGCATAGGAGAAAGCTGTTACGGAAGATTGCAGTGCATAAAACAATCAGCAAGCGCCGTTGCAACTTCTAAAGCTTCATTATCATACCAACAACAACATATGGTGAACAGCCAGACCAACGATATAGAGCTTTCCTGCTTTACAACGAACGGCACCGTCGAGAAGCGTAAAGCCAGATCCATCTCTGTCTCACAGCAAAATCAATCAAAAAGATGGCAGAAGGCTATCAAAATCTTACAAAGATAATAAAATTAAAAGTGTGAATAGGCAGCTTTTGCTTTTGTGGAAGCTGTAACCGACGACGAGAGCAAAGCCGTTCAGACTTGTGCGCTATTGGTGGCTGATGTGAAGCTGGGCGGAGTTATTGACGTGACCATGGAAATTGCCCTACTTCAGCAGAAACACCAGGTTCGTCGACAACATTCATTCATACACAACTTACTAATTACACACAACCATGGTCGTCCGCATGCGTCTTGCCCGTTTCGGTCGTCGAAATCTTCCATACTACCACATTGTTGTCGCCAATGCTCGGACAGCACGTAACAGCAAGCCCATTGAAAAAGTGGGCACTTACAATCCGATTCCCGACGAAGCAGGCAACAAACTTGTCAATCTCAACTTCGACCGTGTAAAGTACTGGCTGACCGTTGGTGCTCAACCTAGCGAGACCGTCGAAAAGCTACTTGTCAAGGTATTACACTAGCTTGTATTCTCTTTTTGACCGTCGAGCAAGTAATTGGTAGAAAGGGGATTTATAAGGGATTAACGGGGAAACCAAACAAAAAAAAACAATTCTTTTGTGTAGGCAAACCTTGCACCGCAAGCACCGAAGCCTTGGATGAAAGAAGCTGCCAAACGGTTTGAATCATCCTCCTCGTCCTCACCACAATAAGAACATACACTGCATTCATTCACACACACAACATTGTACATCTTTTTTTTTTATCCAAAGTGAAAGGGTGAAAAAAAAAAGTATCCATCGCACTCACCTCTCTCTATTCACCGTGTACACGACAACCTCGCGCCTCTTCAGAACCACAACATCACACAATTTGCTTTTGTAAAGTCTCAAAATGTATAGAAATTCCATAATAAAACGGATTCACCAAACAACAAACTATTGTGTACTTGCCATTTATGTCTATTCCGATAAAATACAGCAGTTGTACGTCTGTACGCGCATGCGCGGATTTATTGAATATAATGCATAGGGTAAGAGGGATAGTAGGACACGTTACGGAAGCGGGAGGCGGAAAACGAAGTGCGTTAAGTCTGTATAAATAGAGGGAGTAATTCAACAATTACGCGAGGCACTTTATTTGTTTGTCATATTAATTACTTTCTACGCTCTCTGATCCTTATTGTTGTCCATATGAATGTTCTTCTGGATTTCTTAAACAGCAAAATTACTTTGTCACTGATCCAATTCAGTAAGCTCCTCCAAAAAAAAAAGTTAAAAACTTTTCACATTCATTCCACTATTCAGATCATGACTATAGCATTGTCTTTTTCAAAGTGGATGGGAGTGTTGTTCCCATGAAAACTTAAACACAAGACCATACTGTGTGTGTACGGTTAACAGCATATCTGACCGCATTACAAAAGAAGCCGTCTCTCTCTCTCTCTCTCTCCCCACGAATTTATTGCTATATTGGGAAAGATGCTATATTGTTCTTGTTGTTAGGAATTTTGTGTCTCCATATAGCAACCAGCTAAAAGGATCCATGGCAACGTACGACATAGTGGCTTGTAGATGGAGCAACAAGCAAGCAAGACCCAGCTGATGTGCAACCCGAGGATATGAAATAAGGTTGGGAGAATTAAGAAAAAAAAAAGAAAAAAGCTTCTTTTTCATTTGGGAGAATCTGTGTACATAAGCGGATTTGATACAGAACTTTATTACTTGCTCACTTACTTTCAAAGAAAATTTTAGGGTGAACGAACGAGCGAAGCGAAGAATGAGTAAAAAGGCATACAGAAAACAAGTAAATCAGACGCATAGCAGAAAAAAGAAGCATAATTATGATCAAGGAAAAGGAGATGTATAAGAGAATGTAGCAGTAACTGTAGTAGAGTAATTTTGGTGCCCTGCCATCACGTCGGGTAAAAGGTCGTAGGTTCCCGCGCTCTATGAATAAAACTGGTAAGATTTTGATGGCCAAGGAAAATAAAAACAACAGGAAAGGCTAAAGTATTACAGGCTACTACTACTACAATGGGAAAGGGAGGAGGAAAAAAAGTCGACCGGGGGCTATAGCACAGCCGGAAAAATAAAGGTAGTAGAATTATTGCTTGTTGTATGGCATGTGTGAATCGGTAGTGAATATTGTTGTTAATGCTTTGTGTGCGTGTGTGCTTTTACGCTTTCATGGAGATTGCGGTGTCATCGTGCAAAGGCTGATAATCAGGCGTTTAGTTAGTACAAGAGCCGTTTCCTTGTGATTATTCAGCTGATCGCTGTAGTGATCAAAGATTTTGGACGCCTAGTAAGTAATCATATATGATATAAATAGGAATTTTAGTCGTTGATTTAGGGCGTATCACTGTATACGAACCGGGGGAGGGGGTATACATGTAAAAGGCGAGAGAAAGACAGATGACAACTGGTGTTAGGTGGTACCTCATCTTGTGCCATGGCTTGCAACCGTGCGCGGGTTGTCTCGGCGTCTTCCTGCTCTTCACTCGCAAATCCTCCGGACTGTCGTGTCAAAAGTGAAACTTGCTGCTCCTTCCATGTCTGCCATACGTGATACGCGGCTGCCATGGCAATCGTCTTATCGCTAGAGAAAAACAACAAGAGGTTGAGCTGCGTGTAAAATTGAAGTATCTTCTTTTAAAGTATAACATAAAAGTCGTGCAAAAGTATACGCGTCTTCCATACAGTTACACAAGAAGAGAGAGAGAAACGCACATTCGTCACGTCGTTTACCTTAAATGAGGGTTACGTTCAAGGTACACGAGTTGATGGCATTCTTTAAAAGCATTCAGTGTGAGACCTGCGGTAACTGAACTTTGAGATCCTCGTTTCGCAGGCGTCAGTCCGTACGCGGGAAACTGATCCTGCTCATTGATGCTATGACTAGATGATGTGCTTGCGTGGGATAAGGTCCTCGATAACGACGCTCCAAATGCAGAACTGTTCATAGCAGTGAAGGGATTGTTCGAGAAACGGTAAGCTTCGGTGATGAAATGATGAGGTATGTCACCAGAAATCCGTATGACCAGCGTTCTCGCGTGAGACGGACAACATGTATGTGGTGCGTCATCTGTTGACTTTGTTGCTATACTTTCTGTTCCTTCATCCCCGTTACTTGCATTCTCTGCTGATACAAAGACCCATAACTGATTCTCTTTGTCGATCGTTTGATGTGGTGACAGAATGAGTTTTTGATCGCCTGATTGATGACCGGTGCGAATGTCGAGCACCCAGCCCGAGTTCGATTGAGAGCAAATGTAGTAGGTAGGAATGTTCGGATCGTCGCATTGAACACTCCAGCGCTGGTTGAGTGCCTCGTCCTCGGGCTTTTTAGAGTATATGCAGATGTCTGTGTCTTCAATCAGACGTAACCGCCCTATCCATTAATTTGTCCAACGTCGCGTGTTACTCTTAATGTGGTTTCTATTATCATAGCCTGAATGAAAAACCGAAATATAAAAAGCAGTTAGGAAAACAGCTTGCCTTTGCGAATATCAAGTACGAGTTCTGTTGCCTTGTTCACCAAGTGTTGTCCATCCCAGCACCATTGCTCTTCGTCAACATGACGCGGACTGCACACATACACTTGAGACCGCATCAACGGCTCGTCGTCTGTGGCTACTTTAGCTGCTGAGACGACATTATCCGACGACGCTGATTTGATGTAGAACCACTTGACGCGCATTTCTTCTGCGTCTATCGTTGTTGATGCCATCGTTATGAATTGCAGTGTAGCAGGAAGGGGAGTGGGAAGAAAAGGAAGAGGAGAAAAGGCTGGAATCATCCATCATGGGCCTTTTGATTTATATACCATCTTCTGCTGCTGCTGCTGCTGTTGCTGCTGTTGCCGTCCCCAGTCATTCATCTTTCTCTCATGTCCAATGCAAATTACCGGATTTGTTCTTTTCGTGTTCAGTTCCATCGGTAATCCTTGTATGTTCACTTTGCTATACTGGCCCCCTCCACACACACACGCACACAAAAACTCGTCTTTTTACAGTGGCGAAATCCCCATTTCTGTGCGTTTGTTTTGTTTTGTTATTATCAACGAATATCGCCCGTCAGGTTGCTCCATCTCTTCCGTTATCGATCTTTTGCCCTCATCTACTTTATCACCTCGTCGTCTTGTCTTCTTCCAGAACTACTACTGCTCCTCCTGTGTGAGAAAAGAGTCTATACGGGCAAAGTTCCCTCGGTGTCTTGTTTTCATGGTCCCACAACAACCTACCCTCGCCCTCTCGTCATCCAACGTTCCACTTTTCTTGTTCGCCAGACATCCAAGATCTTATTTTCCGGGGAGTACGTGCACAACCTAAACATTCGCACCTGTTTCCGTCCCCCCACCAAAAAAAAACAGAGCCTTCTCCAAGTTCCTTGTCCGGTGCAGCTGCTTGGTAGTGTGTGCTTATGCCTGGCAGATCACCAATCTTATTGTGTAGCCTTCGGTTTATGTCAGCCTTTTAAGGGCCGGTCGTCGTCTAGCCTTTTCAACGTTTCTCACGCACAGTCTTCGTTGGCCTATCTTGAAGGTCCTTTTCCCCAAACTTTCTCGTAGAGACAGAAACGATATCTTCCCTCCCCTCGGCAACACACCTGTCGTCAAGCAGCTACCAATGCCTGAGTGCACGGACCTTTCTTTAAAATTCGTCATTAATCACTTGGCGTATGCCCGACGTTTCAACAAGTTCATTCCGGTTTTTTTTTTTGCTGCCTTGGTGTACTTTTACTTACCCTACTGTCTTATTATAGGTGTTTTGCGGGATAGATAGTCATTGATATTTACGCTTATATATCTGGGCCCTGGTCTGCTCGATAAGATATATGTATGATTAAAATCACAAATACAAAAAATACTACGTCTGCAGGAAGTAAATTATTTTCTTTGCAGCAATGGCATTAGCTATTGTTAGACGTATATTCGTCTTAAGTCTATTTAATATTGTACACTATTGTAACGTCTTAGTTTGTGTAAGAGTTACGAATCCCATTTAATAGGATGGATAGTATAAGAAAAGTTGATAAATCTGGATGAAATGCTAAGTATTATGCAAAAGAGATGAAATAGAAGTGTGGGAGTTCAACAACCAGGAATTATTACGTCTGGAGCCACAAAAGACAATCCTTTTGATAGGAAAGGGAAAAGCTAAGTTAAGAGAAAGAGAAGCTAAAGAACTGAACTGTTTATTATTCAATACAAAATATTGGTCTATTTATACTAATTCTAATACACTATCTATATCTAATCTAATTGGTCCTTGATCCAATGGATACCGCAGTAGTGCGAAATGGTCTTGCACCTTGTGTGAGTTGTTTTTGCACTCGCAGTAAGCATATTGCTGCGGGTGTGAGATAAATTTGCACTCATAGTTACACCAAGTCTGTGATGAAAATGATAGAGAGTAACCTGACAGATAGTGATACAAGTAGATTACAAAGCCAATACTAAGGGGAACAGTCCGTTTATTGATACGAATGTATTGGGGACAACAAGGTAGGTTACAGTATGTCAGGGTTAAGCTCTACATAATATGTTAATAAACACAATGTCTATGCCACAGTTTGAAGGCATCATCCGGGCATCGTATATAGATTACATCTACGCGTTCTGTACTAGAACAATGAAGCTCTCTTCTCGTTTTTTTCAGGCAAAAAAAGGGTCTATTCCCACTTCCCAGCATTCTCCTGCTGTTGCAGTAGCAGTGTATACAAGCTTGGCAGATCAAACACAGCAGTCAATTTATTTACCTGTTGATTCCTGCAGATCATTTCGCACGTACTACTTTGTTTTCCCACAAAATTCAGTGGTATACACACTATCAATTTTGTGCGGTTTCAACGGCTTTCCTGTTTGGCATATTTAATATGACGTCTTTCCATAACAACAATATGATGCATAGTGTGGGGTCAGGGGTATCTTTCAAAAGGTGGATATATGCTCGAGAGCGAGAAAGTGATTAAATACATATACCCATCAATATTCCATAGTATCGTGCTTATTATGATCGTGTATAATTAGTGCTGATGCTGTGAGCCCTTCACATTTATATTTAAAGCCTCCTCTAATTGTGTGAAGGAGCTCCCACTAAGTATCTACTATGTAACAACTTATACATTCAGGAACAAAATATGAAAGGCGAACATTTTCGTCATCGACAAATAAGCGAGCATACGATTCAAATTGATGAACTCCCATACTAATTTTTTTGCATGGCATACGACGTTTCGTTGCGTCCCTCTGTTTTGGAAGCACGTTCGATGAAGAAGAATTCGAAGCTGTTATCGCAGGTTTTCTTTTCTTTTGTGTGTGTATGTGTGCGTGATTTGTAAGCACTCTTCCTCTGTCGGATCAAATTTTAAGCTTAGTAAAGGCGAGGTGATTTAGCTTATTAGCGGGTCAATCCCTCTGTTGCATGGGGGGGGTAGAATTGTTATAGTAGTTCGATCAAGGGTTGGTCAGTACGTATAAAGCCTGAATCATGCTCTTCGACTGTGTAGCTAATTTCGAGAGTGCCTGCAAAGACGTATCCGGAAAAATCGTAATTATACCGTCCGGAGACGTTTCCGTTTAATTGGTAGTGGCCCATTACCGAGCGGTTGACGGACGAGTTGCATCCGATCGTGCAAAGCAGTTTTATCGGGGACAAGCACGACAATTCACGGTAGTTTAACGTGTTTGTAGTGCTGTCTACTAGAGCGGGAAATCCGTGGGGATTTGACCACACCGTTTCCTCTGTGCTGTGGTTACTGCAGACTGCGAAATGGCCCTCTTCGTAAATGATCGGTGCTACACCCCATGTTGTACAAGGAACACTAGTTTCTGACTCTGGTGATGCAACAAACACTGTTTCAGTTTGGTACATTAGCACACAGCACACAGAGCAGTGGAAAACGGGTAAACTGTTAGTGAATGCAGTAAACCGTTCGACGGAGTTACGTCTTTGTCCGCTAAGTACAAAAGGAGGCATAGAGATGATTGGAAAGAAAGTTGTAAGAGAGAAAAAATGTAGAAAAAGAAAAATTAACAATTTTTACTTTAAAACCATTGAGATTGCTCTAGGGGCTCAAACAAATGTGGTGGAAGATCGTTTGCACCGAGCATTTCGTCGTCTACAATTTCTGCACTAATAATGGTGTCGGTGGGGTTGTCGACACCTACACGTGGGAGCTTGGGCTCCACAGTAGAGTCTACTGCATGGCGTTTTTGGCCAGCCCTCGTTTCTGTGAGGTTCGTTTGCCCTCCTCCTACGCGAACGCGAATTCTTGTGACAGTGTGCTGTTGTTCGGGCACTGGAGCTACTTGAGGGAGTGCCTCTGACAGCTGAGTAGACACAAACCGTGGCATAAGTTGGGCCGGAACAGCAGTTGGTCTGTGCACGTCGGTTGCTTGCGACACACGCCCTGGGAAATTTAGAGCTGGGTGGTGTGTGTTGTGCCCTTCGCAAGGAATATACGAAGTAAAAACCCCTTGGACAGTTGCTGCGTAAATTGCTGTGTCGTTCTCTACGTCGAAGTTCTGCCGATTGCACAAGGATGCAGGTATTTTGCACTTGATCATACACGGTTTACTGTAGATACTGTTATTCTAAAATGTACTTTGTGGCTAATATTTGACGACTTACCCATCGACTATAGCTTGACCATCAATTACAGTGTCAGGTGTGCGAGTTACCCACGACAATAAGCTTCCGGTCGTACCACCTGGCAAGTATGCCTCAGTGCCAAACACTACATTGGTTTTACGGAAGAAAATGTTGTGTGTCATAGTTTATTTGTAAAACCGAAATAAAGACAAAAAGAAAGACAAAGACAAAGAAAGAGATATACTATTTTATATGTGTGCTGTGAGGGAGTGAAGAAAAGAGATGGTAGGGGTGGCAAGAAAAAACCAAGGCGGAAAAAAAAACTTGACACTGCAAAGCGCACTATGCCGTACGCATTACTACATCGTCTGTTGCTGTAGATGCGCTCGTGGACTCGGATGCGCTCTGCGCAATGCTGAAAAACATAGCGTCTAAAAACGCTATCAGCATTGTCTGCGTGAGGTGACCTTGCTCAAAGAGGACCGGCGAGTTGACGAGCACCGTCCGGAGAACTTGCGGCGTCATTCGGGCAGGTTCACCGAACAAAAGCATTTTGCGGTGGCTGCTGGAGAACGACTCTGCAAGCGCCAAAACCGCAGAATTCTCCAACCCAAGAGCACTACGTGGGAAGTGCTCCTGGAATTGCCGGACAAAGACCTGGTCGTGTGCCGCCGTTTGCCCTTGGCGGATTTCAGCAATGAACTCATCGCTGAAGTCCTGGCGCAGTACCTTATCGGCAAACAAACGCTGGCGCGTCGATTCGACCGTCGCATTGCGGTTCACTGGCCGCTCACCCTCGACCACGCGGTCTACCACGAAACCGACATTGACCGCTAGTGCCAATTTCTCTGCTGTTATTGAGTAACTTGGTGCCCATGCGCCCCGTCTGTTCAGATAATTCTTGATTGTGAGGCGCCCTTGCACCACTAAGGATGACCCCTCGCGAACATCGTTTTCACGCATCCATGTGAGAAGCCCCGGGTCCGCCACAACAGCCTGTGCTGTTTCTATAGTGTCTGGGCCACTGGCTTCATCTGTTTCTACCACAGACTCCTCTTCTTCTTGGCCTGAGGAGTGGGGCTGTTCAAATCACATCTTAGTTTACATTTCAATATACAATGTATACTACTATCTAAACAGCTTGAGCACTAACCTCTTGTAAGGACAACCCACAGCTGGTGTTAGGGATCCGTATCAGAACCGTAGAACCGGAACCGAACCGAACCGGAACCGAACCGGTTCTGTATACGTAGGACCAAAGAACTGAGAGGCAGAGATTGCAATTAGCGATTTTGGTAATTAGTATAGAATGGGCTAAAATGGAATTTACCAACGATGTTATTCCAAAATGACCAAGAAGTAGTGCATTTGCAAGCCATACTTTATTTAAGAGCTTAACAAACCCTGCAAAAGCAGAAGGGAGGGAAAAATAGTAAAGAAGAGAAAATAAATAAAAAAGCAGAAAAAGAAAGCAGGAAAAGAAAAAAGAACTAGGGAAAAGAGGTACAAAATAGAGGTGCGGAAAGGAGATACAGGAACGAAGAGACGGAAACGTTTTAATCGTGAAAGTCGAAGGAGCACCACGAATCCAAAAGCATTAGCATTTCGATGGTGTGCGGTTGGAGGCGGTTTCGTGTGCACGGCAGGAGAAGTCGAGTTTGGGAAAAGCAACGTTCCAATGGTGTGGAAGTGACTGGGACCGCCAAATATTTTGCAGCCATGTTTGGGCAGGTCTATTTGCACACCCCCTCATGCACACCCCCAGTCACACCCAGGTAGGATTTCCGTTACACACACCCCGCTGACATTTCTTTCGTGCACACCCCCTCACACCCTTTTGACTGAAAATTGTGCAAAATATTTTGGTCATGCACATCCTTTATTAAAGTTACAGTAACGCAGCTTATTCCTGAAGCTATGCGAACTTGCAATAAAGAAATGATCCAGCATAAAGTATATGCTTAGATAGAAATATATACGAAACACCTCTTTACCTATCATCATTGTATATGGGTATACATAGGACGGACCGTTTTATTATGTAAAAATCCAGGAACATTTGATGTGATACAAACGCGCTTTTATTTATTAAAATTTCTACCTACCTCATTACTGCTCATTTAAACGCAATGTCAAAAACAATGACCTCAATTCCATAAGAACTTAGCACTACATGGGATGGATTCGATGCCGCAAAGACTGCCTGCTATGTACTGTATGGGGCAAAGAAAATGGTGTCTCGTTGCGTACTATTAGAAGTAATAAGACGGGAAATAAGAGGAAGCTCCAGATTGCTTGCAAGCATTATGGTGAGCTAGTCAACAAGGGCGTATGTGAAGAGCAGAAGACCACGACAAGACAAATGGTTATTGTAGATGACGAGGGCACGGCCATTGCATCATCCAAGGGTAAAAAGATCGACACTCGTCAAAGGGACTCTCAGCGGTTTGGTTGCAAATTCGAAATGATCCTTCGTCCTTTGAACCAGACCAGCAACCAATGACACATAGTCTCTTTCTATGATGGCGGTCATAACCAGGAGCTGGGAAACGAGCTTTCGTCGTACCCTATGCAAACTCGATCACGATGAGGAGGTCGTTATGAAGATGGTACAGGCGCATGCAACCAACAAAGCTGTATTGTCTTATCTTGCCAGCAAGAACAAGATTGCTCATCCTAAGGACATCACCAACCTTCGTCAGCGCATCTTCAACAACGACCCAGATCATGCAATGTTCCAGCTAATCAAAAAGCTTCAAGAAGACGAGTACGAAGTCCAATGGAAAGCAAAACAAGAAGGCGACAAACGCTTTTTGCAGTCTCTCTTCTTTGCGCACAGATCGGCAATCGCACTCGCTCGCCAATTCCCGGACGTTGTTACCTTGGACGCCACTTACAAGACAAACAAGCACCGGTTGCCATTTATCAACATTGTTGGAACTGGCAATATTGGATATCCCCAATTGATGACTTTCTGCATTGCTGGCTGCTGGGTATCAGAGAAAACAATGACAGCTACGATTGGGTGATTCGCAAGCTTCAAACTGTCGTTTGGCCACTTGATCAGGTTTCGTCCCCTGGTGTGTTTGTAATAGACAGCGAAACTGCTTTGACCGGTGCTCTCGACCGCGTTTTTCCAACGGCGAAGAAGATCCTATGCAAGATCCATATACGACGCAACTTCAGGGTCAACCTACGCAAGCTTTTTGATGTCAAGGACCATTACGAGGAACTCGAGAAAGCTATCAATTATTTAATGGCTAGTGAGTATCAAGACAAGTTCGACGATATGCGATCCACGATTTCGAACGAGAAGCTCGAAGAAAAGGCAATGAAGATATATGAGGAGGCTGCTCAAAAAGCAAAAAGACCCGACGTTGTCATGGACTATTTGCAAAGGTGTGTAAAATTGAATAAGCACGGATTTTTTGACCACATGATACTTGGACTTAAACATGTTTTTTCGGTATACAGAAAGCTTGCTTCAAAAGACAAGTGGGTAGGCAATCGCCTCACTTATGTAAAGCATTTCGGAAATGACAGCACAAATAGAGTCGAAGGGACGCATGCCAACATGAAAAAGGCAATCATGTCCTCAAGTGGCAATCTCCTAACTGCCTTTACGCAAATTGACGAGTTTTATCGATTGAAGGTTTATCTCTTATAGTAATTATATTGATCCGTTAGTGACGCGGCTCTTACATGCTTTCTTCCTTATATTAGAACTTGAATTGGAAGCGCCAGATCGACAAGGAAAGTTTTGGCGGAAACTCGCATATCCCACCACAGCAAAAGCAGCGTTTGGCAGCTTTGGAACGTAAAATTTCCAAGTTCGCTTTCTACACCATCCGTGACGAGCTAACAGTCAATAATCCGTTAAAGACTGATCACTGCCATTGTGCAATCAAGTATCATTATGATATTCCGTGCTGCCATGTGCTTCCATCACAGGGTGAAATCCCCTTAAGCTTAATTCCTAGATGCTGGCACCTTTATCCTGAGAAAACGGCATCTCAAGGTAGTCATGGCTGTTATGTAAAAGCTGTTATATTTGTAACGTACAGTAGCTGATTTTTGTTGTTATTAGGAGAAGGAGAACCAAACACAACAAGCAAAAGCAATAGCAACATTTTGGCGATGACTGGTTCATTTACAGCCCCAAGCCTGGAATCGCAAATCGAAGGAGAGCTCACACGCCTCAACAATCTTGTACACCGCTTTCCAGATAAACAACAACGTGCAACTCTCCTCGCGCACCTACAATTTATCAATGATGATATGTTCATCGACGTTGAGCAGCTTCAGCAGCCAAAATCAATCCCCAAAAGCACCCAAAAACCACAAAGCAGCAGTAACAAGCGTGAGCTGATCGCTTTAGAGAATCAAGACTCTCAAAGCCGAAAGAAAGCAAACACCGGCATTGGTCGTGATGCTGCAGCAATATGTTTAAGTTTTATGCATTAAGATGTATAGCTAATTCTTTTATTTAAAATTTAATATCTATAGGAACGGAAAGATGGAGCCAGCAACAACAACAAATGAAGCAAACAACATGGCACTTACCATCCCTCCTCCTTCAAAAATTCGCTTTGTACCTAACCTCAACCTTGTTTGCAAATGGATTCCTCCACCAGCTGTTGAATTGGTGCATAATCCCATGCCAGACGGTAACTGTGGCTTTCGGGCCTTAGCTTTTGAGCTGTATAACACAGAGGAGCGATACGTCGATGTCAAGACCAAGATGCTCGATCAGTACCTCTCCAACGCCAATATGCTTTACCAATACTATGACAAGGGTCGTTTACTAAAAGTACTCGATCCATATTCAAGTGAATGGTTCGTCTCGCCTGAATGCAGTCAAATTGCCACTGATACGTTCGAAACGCCAATTGTTATAGATGGCGCACAATCGCACATTTTCTTCCCTTTAACAACCAACCCAGTACACGCCAAGCGCACCCACCCGATCGTCCTCCAGCTTATTGGCAACCACTTCATACTCGTTATGACCAAAAACGACGCAGCTATCCAGTGGCCTGAAATATTCCCTGAGGGTCGCGGACCACACAAAAGCATTCGCGATGATCCTTGGTATCCCCTTTTTGAAGATTCTTTTGAACGGTCTATTCGACCGTTTTCCGATTTCACGATTCCCAATGACGAAGAAGTGCATCCCATTCACGCATCTGATTCTGAGGGCGAAGACTTAACCACCTGTAACCGAAATAATTAATCAGCTATTTGACACTTGATCCTCTTACTTTTTCGCTACCTTTCTTACTTTCCCTGTCACTTTCTCTTTTTTAATTCTTTTTGCCAACACCTTATACTTAGACTAATAGACGAATCCTGTATCAATTTTCTTTATGCATTCTGCCAATTCTTTTCAGTCAAAAGGGTGTGAGGGGGTGTGCACGAAAGAAATGTCAGCGGGGTGTGTGTAACGGAAATCCTACCTGGGTGTGACTGGGGGTGTGCATGAGGGGGTGTGCAAATAGACCTGCCCGCCATTGTTTGGCCACTGGGGCTGGGATTTCCAGTATGAAAGGACCAGTGGTTCTTGTCCTTTCTGGTTTGGTACCGGTCTTCTTAATCGCTCGTCCAAGTAATCCTCTAATTCGTCACCAGCCGTGGACGTCATATATAGGCTGTACAAGCTTTGCATCTCGTCATTCACTTCGGGCCTCATAACAGCGCCTTTCGAGAATGCTGCCCAGGCCTCGTGCACCATCCGCTGGCTCGAAACTTGGTATTCGTCTTCCCACCCTGCTTAACGCCACCAAGAAAACTTCATCTGCGGATCCAATGCCTTCGCAACTGCGTATACATCCGTATCGTCTACCTTGCAATAGTACCTTTGGATCTTGTCGAGGCCACGTCTGGCCGCACGTTTTAATGCCGGCTTGAGAATAACAAGCTCCTGATTTCTCTGGGTTTGAACCCAGACGCATTCTATATTCTTGCCGTTATTTATATGCCCTTGTCACCAACTCGCCTAGCATTGATTAGCCCTTCTTCTCCTTCCTTCTCCTTCCTGCTACTTACCGAAGTCGAATTCGATTCAGATTAGCGATATAGAAAAGAAAAGCTTCTGAACGTGAGACATAGGGCGAGTTCTCTGCGATGGAGTCATAATCCTCTTGGATTTCGGCTTTCTGCCGATTTTTGTTTTCTAATTTATATTCCCAAAAGACACCCGTCTCCGCACTTTGCATTGATTTTTATTAGTCAAGAGCTCAATGTAGTGTGAGGCTTATTTATTATATACTCTTTTTCAAGACAACTTACTGGTACTTTCGCGTGGTAACTTCAATTGGGTTGTGTACAGGTTCTTCAGTAGTCGATACTCCTGTGATCTTCCGGCGGATAACCATCGCTGACAACGTCCTCCAAAGTATCCATCAACTTGTTATAATGGACAATCGCGGTGTTGATGGTAGGGTGGCTCGTACTGGCGGACAAGGCTTTGGTCGACTTATAGAAGGGCGCCAAGATTTCCTTCAGCTGGTCGATACGCTTCCATTCTTCCGTTGTGAGCTTGAACGGTAATAACTCATCGTTGGTGCTATTCGAGCAAAGTACGTTATATGGTTCACGTAGTAAGGCTGCACGGTCAAGCATGTCATACGTCGAATTCCAGCGGGTGGCCACGTCGAGATGGAGGGTGAGCTGAGTGGAGCAATCCGAGTTTTGTTGGCGCATGAACTGCTCCATGCGCTGAGGCGAAGAACTATGTAAAATCAAAGGTATAATGAGTAAATGGTGCCAATGATACCATCGAGTAGGGAATACGTATTTGATGATAGTAATCACTTACCGAATCTTTTTGATTCCTTTTCGTAGCTTGACCAGCACATTCATTGTTTCGATCTCTTGCTCCTCCAAAGCGCGTTCTGCGTTTACCTCGAAGGTTGCATTGACATCGACTTCGTCACTTTCGTCCTCGGCATCACTATCACCAGTATTGTCGCGCAACGTTGGACCAAGGCCCCAAAGTAGGATGTCTTGGACCGCCAAGTTCAGCACATGGCCAAGGCATGGGATATGGTGCTGGCCTGTACGGAATGACCTGATACAGATGGTATTGTATAAGCTCATGAACCAATATTGCCAAAATTTCAAATTCGCATTTATACTCTCGATACTTACCATCCATTGTCAACAGCGTGGTGCTCAACGATCCGAGCCATCTACTTCATATTTGAAGCATTATCCGTCGTGATAGTAGATAGTTTGGGCCCTAGGCCGAACTCATCCAAGACACGGATAAAAGCATTGGCAAGATTTTCTGCTGAATGGGGCCCCTCCAGTGGTACAAATCCGAGGATGATTTCATGCTTGGTCCAAGTCGATGGGGAAATCCAGTGGCCAGTAACAGAAAGGAAAGCATCGTTGTAGGGGCTGGTCCAACCATCAAGTGTGCATGAAATTGCAGGAATCTTGTCCAACACGGCGCGCAATTTTGTTTTGTACAGGCCGTACTCCTCTTTGGTCTAAAGGTAATAAATGGGATAATTTTTTGTCTGTATTGTGCATGGAAAAAATGTATCTAATATTTACCTTATTCGCAATTGTATCGGCACTTGGGAGCTGCACCGTTTCCGTGGCAGATGCAGATTGTGCAATCTCCAAAAGTTCCTGCAAATCGTTGTTCTCAGCCAAGGTAAATGGTAGTTTGCTTTTTACGATGAACCTGACGAAGGCCTTCAGAAATTGCTCGGGTGTGAATACACGGGCACGCTTCGTCTGGACAAAGGAATCAAGGGGACCACCAGAACGCTTGCTTCCGGTGTGGGGGCCGCACTCCCTAGCGATACTATGGACCTTGTTCAAGTGCTTGATCAATCCGGACGTATTGCTTTGCTCGGCAGCGAAAGTTTTGGTGCACTTTCCCACCAGGCAACGGATGCGCGGCTTACCGTCCTTGTCATCATAGCGCTTACCGAAAATATACTTGAATACCCAACTGGATCCCTTGCCTTGCGATTGGTTAACAGATACGGAAATAGACTCGGAATCAGTGTTGGCACCGCCGGCATCAATGTCTTCATCAGTAAGCGATATAGTATCGACTGACATGGCGGAAGGCACACGAGAAAAGGTTGGGGTTTGGATAGGAGTTTCTTGTGCCTTAATGGAAAAATATTATGGAGATCAATACACGTTTGAAATTTGCAATAGAGTTCACCACAGCACGACATAACACGACACAACACAAACCAATCGCATAGTGATATTTACCCCATCATGAAGAGCAGCACGGACATCGCGGGAAGAAGAACCAATTTGATAAGCCATGATTGAAATGTAGGAAGGCTACAGAGTTTTGAGGTAGAGTAGTATGTTAAGTGTACGGTAGATATAAGGATCGATGCTTCAAAAATAAACACCTTTATATATTTTTCAAATGATGCCGCTGATGTCATTTATTGGACTTCTGATGGACGGATCCTTACAGATGATATCATCGACTTGCAGTTTACTCAACTCAATTCTTCCGACAAAGCAAAACGATGATGATATCATATAACCTCATCCTGAAAAAGGTTTACATTATTGCTGGCTGTCAATGCTTCTATGAATGACGCGTTTCGGGGTTCCTGGACGTGTAGTAATGAGGATCGGCAATAAAAAAGGAACATCTTCCGATGACCTCATTTGTAACCACTTATTCCGACATCAGATGCGCTAATAATAGAAGGAGTTCTGCTTCGGCTAGTGGAATATGTGATGACAACCATTATCATCCATTTTATCCATAAGGCAACTGTTTATCATGTGTGCGAACATGTAAATGAATGATCTGGATGTACTTCGTCTGTAAATTCCTTTCACTTAATTTGACGTGATTGGAAAAGAAATGATCGGAAAAGAAAAAATACCCTCATTTCCTTTGTTACTTCTTCTGACGGCAGCTTGCTTTCTCCGCCCATGACGCGAGTCATTACTTGTTCTTCTACTTTGCTACCCACAATGCATTTTTCTCCATAACGTACTACTTTACTAGATTTAGCATGGCTTCTCGATCAGTTGTATCAAGTTTGTGCATTCCGTCTGAGATTGCGCATCCTGGGGCCCGTAACAGAATTATCTTACCGTTCACCCTTTGCCTTTTATGAGACACTATACACGCGTAGAGTCGCAGTAGCTGTGTGTACTGCCGGTTGCGGTTTAATTTTTCCAAATTACGATAACTTATTGTATGATACTAGTAATACTACGTCGCTCTAACTACTATAAGCACCAATTTTGTGTAAAAACTGTGCTTTAATCTTATAACGATGCAATGACCCACATCGTATAAAAAATGTTTACATTCTGTTTCTCTTATTCATTTTGAGATCGCTGTTCAATGTACAATAATAAACTATTCCTTTTTACTGCAGTATTCAAGTATACCGCGATATTTGAACACACACATCAGCTTTCATTAAAGATACCGAATTTCGTCTTTTTTATATACATGATGGGTTCGGTTCTTCGGTTCGATTCTCGGTTCTACGGTTCTCGTCGGTTCTAGTCGGTTCGGTTCCCTTCAAGAACCGAACCGAACCGAACCGTACGGAACCCTAGTGTACAGTAGTCACCAAGCAATTAAATTAATGGTGACAATCCCACTAGCTAACCACACTCACAGTGTGATAAACGTAGCTTGTTGATAAGTAAAAGAAAAGAGAAAATTTCTAAAAGACACTATAAATTACAGTGAGAGTCAAATATGTGACAACCCCCTTAATGTATTACTTGAGATGTCGATTAATCGTGATCTACATGATTTTTTTTTAGACTGAAAGGCTGTGGTAATTTGTCAGCTGTGACAGAACATGGATGCCTACGACTCAGTTGGTGGTTCAGAATTTAGTAAAATTACAACGCATCTATGATATGTGGAAGCACTGTTCCTTTTTGCTGGGATGGGAGGTATTAGGAGTTGGACAGCGATGTGCTGATATGGATGCATACAGAGACGGTCGTGCTACATATTATGGAACGCTAATGCATGGCCCATCCAATCGTATTTCTATGCAGTAACCAGTCATTGCATTGCTCGTGTAAATTGCCGGCGAAATGGTCATTTTCAACCCGTAGCAAAACATTCTCATATCCCATTCAATGTCTGACGGAATATATCGCATACTTTGTCGAGGAATACTAGCTCTTCTTGTCATTGGCTAGGTACACACATTGGCTTCTCTCTTTGCTTTAAGTTCGTGTATCAACCTGCTTTGTTCTTTCTCTTGCCCCTTCGTTGCTTTTTCTTTGGTTTCGCATATGCTTATGATTCATACAGTCGATTTTGTAATAGTATACAGTAGATAATCTCTTACTGGTGCCGACAATCAAGACACCGCCAAATTTACCAAGATCTTTATACCAAACACACTAACAAGTTGAACAAGATAGAAGGATAGGGTCATGTAAAATGTATATATGTATTATAAAAAATATGATGATATAAAGTTGTAAAAAATGCATATAGAAAATAGGGTATCGAGTGCGTAACTTTTTTCTCGTTCTATGTAGAAAGACCGGCTTTCTCTATAATAGCAGGCTTCTGGGCTGCAAAATATCTCCAACACATCGATGTCTTGTATTCCTCACATTCAGTGGGCCACTTATCCAGAACGTCGTTCACTTCATTGAGTGAGATGTCATTAAATTCGCATACCCATGGTGCAAACGTTCGATAACGTCTCATCATTAAATCCATAAAAAGATATCCGGTTTCTTTCAATGCTGCATATATATAAAAAGTAATTTTATGAGGATATTTGATTCTACCATGTAAGACACGTGTAACACGGTAGGGTTGCTTACCAGGAACCGAACTCCATTCACCAACAGGCAACTCGATTGCCCGCTCATCTATTTCGACGTAGCCAGTTTGGTGCATCATCGACGCTATTTGGTCACCAAATTTGCGCTGAATGCCAACGTCCTTAAACAAGTTTGTAAACCAATCGTCGACAATTTTCAAGAGTGGTCCTGGGGAATTTACAATGAGATCTTGCTCGTAAATCTCAACCCAGCCTCCTGGCTTCAGCACGCGAAAGACTTGTTTCAGGGTCTCTACCCATTTGTGAGCGGGCGAATTGACCAGCCATACGTCCCGCATCATCAAATAATCCACAGAGCCTTCCTGTAACGATTCAAGGCCGGTCGTGTCGTGTTGCACAACGATATTTTGGAAGCTGAGGTTGTTGATAGACCGGCCCAGGCTCGACAAGGTGGCCGATTGGAAATCCATCCCGATCACTTGGCAGGTCGGAAACTGCTGTGCCATTTCCATCGCCCAGATGCCTGGAGAGAAAAGCGTTTCACTCTCTGTTAGTTACACAAGCACACACAACACTTCGGTTCAACGAGCGGATGGTGAGGTCCGTGCTTTTTCCGATCGTCATCATTGCACAAAAAATAAGAAAAAAAGAGAGTTTGGTTACCTGTACCACAACACCAGTTGACAATCAAAGTGGGAGACTGAAGGGGCACTTTGAAATTGGCGCGCCACACATATTTTAGCAGATAATGCTACATGGATAACGAATATGCGAGTAAAAAAAAAGCAGAAAGAGACGAATGAGCTGTTTTTGTATGTGAGCTTTTAACGCACCAGCGCGAGAGAGGCCGCATTTTCTGCCTGCACCATACAGGTACAATAATTATGCATGACGCAATCCTCTTATTTCCCCTTCTTACTTGTCGTTGCTGCCTGTTGCGAATGTTCAACACGGGGGTGGGAGGGTGGTGAAGAGGAAGGCAAGCGTTAGAAAAATTTGATATTCAATGAAAAATCAAACACCAGCGCTCGAATAGAACTTGCCTGTCTCGTTCTTTGCGTCGGCGACTGTCTGATTCGGGTAAAAGATACAGTTCTTTTAACAACCGTTCACCCGTTCGGTCTATTTGCGCCTCATGTTCAGTGTTTTCTCTTACACAATTAATCTTTTGCGATTTCGCGGGATGGAGTAATGCCCCTGCATTTTGAGCTATTTGAATCTGCTCATTACTGACTTTGTTGTTGTTATTGTTGTTGTTGCTGGCAAACTGTGTATTAGTGCTACGCGATAGTGGTGTATGTTGTTCTATTTGCTGCTGCTGCTGCTGCTGCTGGGTGTTTCCATTGTCTCTACCAGTAGTAGTGTTGTTTGGGAAGCTGCTTGTACGGCTGTCCATGGACGGCGTACCCACAGTCATGGCAGTGGCTACAGCGGATATCATAGCAGAACTAGTACCGTCGGCTAGATAGTTGGTGGCGCTGCAATTGTCCAAATTGTGCGCCGACGTAGCTGTCTTGCTTGTATCACTGGAATCGGTGCTCGCGCTTCCACTACTGAAGCTTCTCCTCATGGATGCTTGAGGGTGTTTGATCATGGTGATTATGTTGTTACTATGCCAGCCCATCTTTAGGCTCGGCCGTCGTCCAGCACCTCCTCCTGGTGTGCTTGTATATGCGCTGCTTGGGGTACAGCTTGGACTATTGTAGTTCTGGACTGGCTGTGCACCCGGCTGTGGCTGTTCTGCCTGCTGTTGTTGGTCCTTCTTAATTCCTTTTGGGTGGCCTCGCCCAAGAAATCGGATGCCGCGTCTACTCCCATTGTTGCTGCTTGTTTCTTCGTGAGCTGCTGCTGCTCTTCCACCGGTACCCTCGGCTGTGGTGGTTGTGGTTGTGGCTGCTGTAGCAGTAGTATGCGGATGTTTCTTGGTACTTTTGTTGTTGGAGAGCTTGCTTTCGTTTGATCCCATCGCATCAAGGGTGTTGCTGTCTTTGAGTAATTTATGCTTGAAGAGATCAAATTGTTGCTCTCTGATGCATTGTTTTCTATGTGTGCTGTTTAGATTTTAAAAAGAGGAAAAGGGAAGAGGGAAGAGAGAAAGGAAGATAGCAGTGGTGGGGTTAAACAACCCTGAAATGCGATTCAAACGGCGATTTAAAGGCTTCATGCAAACAACTTTTTCCTACTCTCTCTCTCTATCTCTCTCTCTCTTCTTCACCTTTTCCTTTTGCTTCTGCTTAAACAACAATAACGGAAATGCCATCCACGAACACGCGGCCGCCTATCTCGGGAATGAAGCGTCCGGCACTGGCGACGGGCACGTCATTCGAAGCACTGTACACCACATCATATCTGACCCCGCATCCTGGAATCAAACGTTCGGCTTCTGATACTTTCTTGTTCCAACGCTCGCGAGAACAACAACAGCGCGTGCGAGAAGAGGAGCGACGCAGTCTTTTACAGGGCCAGCAAGATGAGGAAAAGCCCGAGCTTCCGTTGCTAAAGATGCTCTGCCTAACTCTGTGCATGGCCGGCGTCCAATTCACTTGTAAATTAGTCACTGCTGTTTTCGGTCGTCGTGTCATACTGCCACATCAGAACCAGCGGCTCATTTCTCTTTGCTCTGTAAACATTTTTTCAACTAGGGACGGTCGAGCTAGCGTACGGCACGCCTTATCTTCTCTCGCTGGAGCTTTCCAAAGACATCACTGCGCTCGTTTGGCTTATAGGACCGCTGTCTGGTAAAATCAATGAATCACTTTTGGGATGGGCTCGGTTAAACGTATATTCCGGTGGATAGAGCGTGCTGATGTGATTCTGACATATCTTTGTTCTGCTCTCCCCGACCTATAACAGGTCTCATTATGCAACGTGAGTTTATTTTAGCATCTCCATGCTCTTACATAATCTCACATCGTGACCAATCAATACAAATGACTGACTTGTTCCTAACTTGTTATCGTTGAAAAGCGATCATCGGTTCTTTGAGTGACCGTTGCACTCTACGTCTTGGTCGACGTCGTCCATTCATTATTATCGGAGGCATCTTTGTCTGTTTTTCGATGATCGGCGTAGCTTTTGCCAAGGATATTTCTGCCTGGCTGATATGGTTATCTGGCTGCACCAGCAGCACACCGGAAAACATGGCTGAGCAAGAGCGACGCGGAGCAATTGTCATTGCCATCTTGGCTTTTTATACCCTTGACTTTTCGCTGAATGCTGTACAAGCCTCCTGTCGAGCTTTGATTCTCGATATTCCACCGTTATGGCAGCAGCAGCATGCAAACGCATGGGCTGCACGTCTGTCCAATGTTGCCATGGTTGTGGGTTACTTTACCGGATTTGTTGACCTTGTCGCCCTCCTGTCGTTCTTGGGTGATACACAGATCAAGGTGTTTTGCTTGGTCGCTATTGCTGTTTTTACTGTAACAGTAGGAGCAACTTGTGTTACGACTGAGGAGAAACCTTTTACTAAAGAGGACGAAGACGATGCCGGGTAATCCTGAATCAAATCTGTAATTACATGCTTTGTGCTCCTTTCTAACTGAGACAACCCTATTTATGTTCATCAGCCATTGGTATTACACGCTTGCACATATCTGGCATGCGCTACGCTGTTTGCCAGCTCCCATCCAAAAGCTATGTAACGTTCAGTTTTTCGCGTGGTTGGGCTGGTTCCCATTTCTTTTCTACAGGTAGTTTTGAATGAGGGGAGGGGGCCGGAATGCATATATTGATATTCATTTTGAGCATAATCTTGCTTTATTTACACAGCACTACCTGGGTATCGGATCTATATTTTTCTACACATCCGCAAGAAAATCCAGATTCATGGGCCAAAGGAACTAGAGCCGGATCCTTTGCATTACTTCTCTATGCCACAGTCTCGGTTGTTTCTGGTATGGTACTGCCATGGCTTGTTGCACGCAAACCATGCTGTGCCTCGTTGTTTACCTTGAAAAGCATGTATACTGCTGGTAATCTGCTTTTTGCTAGTGCCATGCTTTCTACTATCTTTGTATCAAACGTTGCTGTTGCTACAGCAATTGTTGCTATCGTTGGCATCTCATGGAGCGTTGTTTTATGGATTCCGTTTGCATTGGTTGGTGAATACATCACACTGTCGTCTTGCTCTTCGGTACCTTCTAAAATGAACACACCCGATATTTCATCAAATAACCTACTCTCGACGGCTACACCGGATGCTGCAGATGGTACTACCGACACGCTTTCAATAGCATCATCTCTACCATCTGTTACCTATGGCGCACTAGTATCTGATCTGTCGAACAGCGATCACGAATCTCACGATCAAACCGATGTCGCACGTCAAGAAGAAGAGGAGGAGGAAGAGGACGGATTTGAAGATGAGTTCGACGCTGGTATGGTGCTCGGTGTGCACAATATGTATATTGTATTCCCTCAGTTCGCCGTTGCCATTATCGCTGCGGTTATATTTCGCCTCGCCGGTTGGATCGAGTACGGACAGCAGCAAGATACGGCCAATGTTGCTTGGGTATTGATGTTTGGTGGAATCATGGGGCTCGTGGCGACTGTACTTTGCCGTTATATCATCGAAGTTCCGTCCGGCAGCACCAGTCGCAAACTAACGCTTATTCCTACTGCAGATCGTGTATCAGTCTAAACACATTGTACGTTATCATAGACATATACCTTGCACTAGTAGTACTAAACCTTATAAAGTATAGTCCGAAGTATATACTATTTTATTCCATTTTCCAGTAACAACAGAGTATACAGTGTGGAAGATAACCAAGAGTATCATGAAATGTAATTTCGATGCGGTGTTGTAATCAGGATAGAAAGAAGGAAGCATTCTAACTCTTCAGGACTAGCATAAATCCTACAAATTCAAAAAGACAAACTTTTTGTACATTAGTATTGAGGGGAAAAAGCATAATATCAACGTATTTACGCATTCCCTTTCTATCCATTGTGCTCTCACTCTACATCTATCTGAGCCCGATGATGATCCTTTCACAAAGCCTTGTCTGCTTTACCTTCATAATCCACTCAACCTCTCTTAGGCATCCACACGCTCGAATAGTCTCGGTACTCCTCCATTGTGGTATCCTATCTTGCAAACTGTGTACCAACTGCTTGACTGTGCTTTATCAATGTGGTGATAGTTGTATTATGCCAATAATTCGATGCAAAAGAATATGTACAAAGAAAATAAGACTAATGCCATTTTCTATCGTCGCCTCCATGAACGGTTGGCGGTGTTTCTTGTAATTGGAAACGAGGAAGAGGATGATGTGACTGTATTGATTTGACGAATGGGTTGTGATGGAGATGGCGCTGGCGATGGCGATGCGTGTTGCCAATTTTCCCGTCGTTCTTGTAGTGCACGAGCCATTTGCGCTTCTAATTCTTGCTGTACATGTGGAAGCTTCTGTAGTCCTGATCGACCGCGCAGCTCGTTCACTTGGTCTGTACAAGTGGGACAAACAGAAAGTTTGAGCCTATTTAATGCATACCATCCTATCCAAGCACAAACACATATTAAAAGCTACGCTACCATGCAAAGGATCATATTCTTGACTTTGTATCCGTTCTACCGAATTTTTTAACTCATCTCGTTCTTTTCCAAGTGACGATTCGGCTTCGGCAACCTATATTAATAAATATCCGAATACTAGCTTTTAGCATAATTATTTTTTACAGGAATGCCTTCGTATATTAATCCTCCTCTATATTATCACTTTACAGATGTGAAGAGAGACACTCACTGCTTCTATGTCACGTTGCACACTTTGAATCATTTCGAGTAACTTTCGTTTCTCTTTCGTTAATCGTTGTCGCTCCGAAACGATTTCGTCCAAAAGCTTCTCTTTGTGATCGAGCGATTCAATCTTTTGGACAAGATTTGCTTTACAGTCGAGCAGCGATTGCGTCGAGTCCCTATAAATACGCGTAAAAAAGAGAGGGACGTGACCATCTTATCAGCTTTCGCCTAAATCTGCCGCTTTCAAAGAGGAAAAAAATAGACACAAATGAAATTACCGAAGAGCCTTTAACGACTGTTGTTGAGTTTCCACTCTGAGAATATCCAATTAGTCTCTCTTTCATTGTTGTTGCCACTGCTGTGAAAAAGCAGTTTGTAAAAACTGCTACCGACTAGCGTTACTTACTCTTCCATGGTTTGAATGAGAGATAAAGAAAGTTTTTGATCGAAGTCAGCTAGAGCCAAACGTTGTGTCACGCGTTCGGGAACAGGTCTGGCTGCGAGCCGCAGATCAAATCGGAGGATCCGCCCTTTTCTTAGCTTATAAGAGTCACATAATAACCGTCGCCCGCTACAAGTTTCGTTAAGGGATACTGATGACACAAGGCTATGCATGAATGTCGTCGGCGCATATCGGATCGTAGCCGTTCATTGTACAAATGTATCTTGTCGGGCTTACCAACTAGATCTTGGATACGTTCTTTCACATCCATGATTCATTGATTATAGTGCTGCGTGACCATTATCAGCGGCTACAGTCAACATTTTTAGATTCATACACCATGGGAAATTTTCTGAACAATCTGAACAAAACATTGGGACGTTTTCTGAGCAAACTGAACAATCTGAACAAACTGATACAGTTATGGAGACGGCTTGTGCGACCATTGCCAACCGCAGCGATTGGTGGTGGCCTCTTACGTGTTTGATTTTTTGCTTCTGTTTTTCCCCACTTTGTTTTTTCTAACTTTTTTACTTTTTCGATCAATCTTACTTCTTTTTAGCAATGAATCCCTTCCAGCATCCAACTTTTTTAAAAAACGAACCGTTCCTCACTGTTCTTACGGAGATTCGCGACAGTCTGTTTGGTCTGGAACGTCGTATGACCAACATTGAAAACGCGTTGGGTCTCAATCCGCAACAGCAACATCCTCATCCGCAACAACTTCTCACCAATGAGCAAGATGTACGTGAACGGATGGCGCAGTCGTACCAACCTTCGCATACTGCGCAGCTCTCTCCAAGTGAGACGATCAAGAAGGCGCAGTACATGGGCAACGGCGGAAACGGTCACCAAGTCGCACATAGTGCAATTTTTGAAAGACTTTGGTGGCCTTGATCAAGAAAAGGCCGTGGCCATGTACCACTCGCTGAGCGATGGGTTCAAGACTCACAGAGGACGGTTGCAGAGTGCACACGCTGCAACTTATTGCGAGGTTCCCGATCATGTCAAGAGGACAGAATGGAAGACATTCGAAGAGAATGTCAAATACATGTACAAGCTGCCTCTTGACAAATGTGAACAGTTGCGGATAATTTTATCCATGCTGTATTCAAAATGATTACCAGGTATATATGTGATTAGGGGTCATCATTTAATAGTGTAATCGTATTATCTTTACAATCAAAAAATATTAGAAACAACACCAATGTTTCTGATGCTGGTTCATCGGTTGGTGCTCGGTCTGCAATGTAAGCAAATGAATGGTCGACAGAATCTTGTGGATTATACTAATTTATGACTAGGAGTCGTATGGACTTAACCAGCCAACGAGGAGCTTCCCCTGCACCAACGTTGCAAACTGAAGGATCATTTATGTCAATGTAAGTTATGTACGATATTATGTTAAACTATGCATACTAGTAAAGTATGCTTTATGGGACAAGTGATCATGTGAATCCTGCTGCTCAAGAACAAACGTAAGTGATAACAAACTAACATCTTCATTTTAACGTGTTCTAATCGAATCATTTTGTTAGACCACTCCTTTCAGAATCACCATCCATCCCAATGCCATCATCTTCTTCTTCTTCGACTCGTCGACTATCCCAACTATCCCTTCCCCACAAGAATCCGATCAACCTACCACTGCCTCTCCATCCATTTCTTCATCATCTCCTGCACTACCACATCAACCTACTTCTTCGCCATCCGCCGTCCTCTCCATTCCTTCCTCCGTAGCTCCCCCACCACAACAACCTACTGCATCACACACTGTTAGATTGCAGCAAGGTAAGCGTAAAACCCCCTCATTCCCGCCTCCACAACGCAAACGTCGAAACTAATATGGAAAAAAATATGAACAACTACATGATAATCTTGATAAATAATAAATTATGATTATGCTAAAAAAACCCTATAACAATTGATGAATGGTGCCGCTCCTAATGTTCACTTCTCCGTTCGATCTGCCAGTTTCACTATAGTATATCTGTTCAAAGTAGGAGTATGATATAACAATAAAATTGCACTCAGTACTGTAGGTGCAAAGTTTTCAAACTTCGATCAACTACAGTAAGTGTTATCAGCCTTGTTGGATATAACAGATAG